AACCAGTTAGAATAACCATCAGACTTTAGCGATGAAATCATGCATTTGTTAACATGTGAAATATTCACGCGTCTAATAAAGAACATGTAGTAATAAAACTAATGACTCAGAAAAATAATCCGCAAACACGAATGTGCAAGGGATTAAACGACCCACACATTTCACTAAAACGTTGATTTAAGAACACAAACCGCATAAAAAACATTCAGCAAGATATCTCGGCGTCTTTAAAAAACGGCAATATTTTTGCCCGCGTTAAGGAAGAAAAGCATTCCAAACGTATCAAAAGTTTGAATTATAATTTCATCTATTGCTGATATTTTTCTTATATGAAGGCGTCACTGGTTCACTTATTTTTTCATTTGAGGTATTCTTGGATTGCAAACAACCTCAGCAGAATTTTACCAAACAATGTGGCTTGATCGTAATTGCTTGTGCCCACAATACCTTTGATAAAATTTTGTTTTGTATTTTCCGCCTAGGCAGCCGTGACTTTAATGCAAACCACCTATATAGGACAACTGTCGAGTGGAAAAAGCAGTTGCTAATTCACTCCATACTGGAGTAAAAGTTACGTAAAGGTAGATGTTAACTTTAAATATCTTTGTTGAAAATCCATCAAACAAAAGCAGTCTTTTCGTAGGTCTTGAATCATGAATTTACCCTTCGTGCCACAAAACCCAATATTGACTGAATGTTATTATTTTGTCTGCATATTGTATTCTTGTTATTTCTTGTAAGTTGCACATTAACGCGCAGGCAAAAGTAGGAGCCAGCCGCTGTATATAGCCTATATTTAACGTCAGACAGCCAAATATTTACGCCCAAATTGCACAAAGCTTATATGAAAAAGCAAACAAAACAGAGCGAGTATACTGCATTTCATCAATATAATGTTTAACCATCGCGCATATGCTACAAACAATTTTTATAAGAAATCATCAAGACGTAAGAGAGAATTATTTGTCGTAAGATATTCAAAAGGCATATGGTGAAATATTTTATCTAAAACATTTTAAAGAGTTCAATCATTACATGTTACACATTCAATAGTTTTGGCGTGCAACCAAACAATCGTTTTACTTACAAGAAAAGCTCAACTTGAGTCTTCGCGAAAATGCTAAAAGATGATAGTATATTCTTTTTACTGTTACAGTCCGTAGAAATGGGCTGATACAAAAACCAAGAATCTATATATTTGCAGGAGAACACGGAATGAAATCTTATATTCAATGAAAGACATCTTATATAAGTACCACACCCACTTTTTTGGTCTCAGTTGGTTTTGCCAAAATTTATTTTATAATTGCCAAACAACGTATTGTTGAATTGGTATAGTAAAATAATTACCATGAACTCGATCATGCAGACTAAAAAATTGTTGGTAGTTTTCATTGTCTATCGTTACTGGCCGGTGTGTACATTCTTTGTTCCAATTGCTTAATTAGGCAAAGGATCTTAGGCCTGCTTGCAACGTCGAATTTCACATTTGAGCGAATGTATTAAAGACAAAAGGTAATGGGATGAAATCCCTCATTATCCTTTGTTTTAAATACATTCGGCATATGCAAAGTTCGACGTTTGAAATAGTTTGTTTATGTGGAAGTTTTCTGTGGAAAGAATTATTTAAAGCTTTTACTCCCTTATAAAAGTAAAAGGAGAATAGAATGTTTGTCTTGTTGGATGACACATTTGCATTGTAAATAAAGAAAATCCTTTACACAGGCCTTTACCAAAACCATGACGCATTTGTACATTGCATCGCATGACGCATCGCATTTCCTCTTGTTAACTTAGTTTACATGTTCTTTCATGAAAGATCGCTATCTTTTTATTGCATATTTTGGTGATCTATAAATGTGTGGCGATGAGAGAAAATCAAGTGAACAACAATATAGTTGGGTACTGAACAATTTGCTAAACGTTGACATAGCAAAATGTGAGACAATTTAAAGATAAAAGATGCGAAACGAAAGGCAAGGGATGGGTACAAAAGATGAAAATGATGTTGATGATTTGAAGCAAAACTATTTACTCCTGATATGTTAAAAGTCTTATTAACCTGGTTATTTGAAAACTTGTAACGGAAGTTTAAATCATAATTCTTTGCAGTAGCCGACAACCACAAATTAAGTTCCTAAATTATAACTCATCAACTTTATCTTAATAATTTGATAGTTAAGCATTTGCGTCTTATAGGAAGGTTACATAACTGACAATATAACAAATGTTCACAACCGTAAAAATGTTTCACAAAAGGTTCTTTGTCTTCCACATGCGTACAACATGGAGGAAATTTTGTTAGGCTAGATTGCAGAATACCTATACACTCGGTTTTATAGTGTTAGGATTAAGGGTTATCAAAAAATCACTTGTCTTTGCATTGTATAGTTGTTTTTTAATTTAATCTCATAGTCGAAATAACAATTTTTGGGCCCAAAAAATTCTTGGGTCCCAAAACTTTTTTTGGCTTCTACGCAGAAGCTGAATGAACCCATTGGTTAATGTAGCACTACTGCTACATGTTTGTAAATGATGATCGTCCAGGTTAATAAAGTCCTGAGAAGGACTGTTTTTGTTGTTGTTGACTGACGTTTCGACAACCTTAGCGGTAGTCATCTTCAGAGTCAAATGAGGAGTAAACGTCAGGTTAGCCGTATTTGTTGTCTGGTTCTTACGTCATTGTATTATGTGTACAGGAAATGTGTATTGTCATTGTGGATTAGTGTGAAGTGAAATACTTTATTTTTAGTTGTGATGCGTATTGTCATTGTGGATTAGTGAAAAAAAATAATAAAATATTTCACACAATACAATGACATAAGAACCAGATAACAAATACGGCTAACCTGACGTTTACTCCTCATTTGACTCTGAAGATGACTACCGCTAAGGTTGTCGAAACGTCAGTCAACAACAACAAAACAGTCCTTCTCAGGACTTTATTAACCTGGACGATCATCATTTACAAACATGTAACGATACTCCCGGGTTCAAACCATTTACCATTCACTTTGTAGCACTACTGCTTTGCTTTGTAAATTGATCGACTAACTAACGCTCGACAACAATTAAGTGAGTAGCTCTTGACGCCGATCAAATATACGATTTTCCCAATGTGTGAAACTTGATGCTAGCACTACTAAAACACCACTGCTAATTTCTAACTAATATTCAACAACAATACAACTGATTTCAGAATGATGTGAAGCAACGAGCCAACGATGATATTCTCCAGGGTTTTGAAATTTTTGAACAGATTCGATTAGGGTATAGAGATCTGCAAGTACTCCATGAATTCTGAGAAGATCTATTTCTTAGCATATGAACAAATATGTAAATAGCTGTAAGAGTGACTGCAGTTTTACAGTTGATAGTACTCAAGAACTGGAATATACTAGCCGTCTGGTATAAAACTGCGTTTACTATTCACTCATTGAAAGGAAAATTTGACGAAAATTATTAAGAATCTTGATTTGCAATGAGGATATTTGTTCAATGATTATACAGTTAACTCAATGATGTCATTCATTGTTCCCATGGAACGTTTATTTGTTGATTTGCATGCAATCATGTAGTTATATATAGGCAGTGCGTGTCTTCTTATTCAAAACATTTTATACAACCATCTATCTGTTATATGTTTTGGATTAAGGTGTATAAGTAAACATTGTTTCACATTAAATGCTCGTGGACTAAAAACGCTGAGTGAAAAGTGGAGGACTTAAGAAATAAGCATTACCAATAGGAAATGCTTTTATCTCATACCACTTTATGTCGGTTTTTCAGACGCAGAGAAATCAGTATATAGTGTATTAATGTTAGGATAGTTTTTGACATTGCGAGAACGATGCTGAAGTAACTGGAAGAATTTCTGATTGTGCAGCAATAATAAGCCCTTAATAACCGAGCTCGAGGCCTTTACGGAGAAATATCGGACCGAGGTCTTTTTGTACAGACCAAGCTCGTAGGGCGAGGTTTGTACAAAAAGACAGAGGCTCGATCTTTCTAAGTAAAGACCGAGAAAGCGAGGTTATTAAAGGATTATTATATGGCATTATTTGAACTGAAACGAAACTTGCTTTCTTTCTCGTCGTTTCTGTTTTTTTTACGGGTTGGCTTTCACATTTCTAGTTTTCGCTAATAAAAAGTAAATCAAGTAAATGGTTTGTTTTTTTTTACAAACATATAAAAAGTAAATCGTTTCAAATTGTATCGTCTGGATAGTTAAATTATTTTCCAAGTGTTTTTCCTTCGAATCACATTTTTAAATGGTTTTTTGTGTCGTTTATTTTGCGTTTTGCTTTTTGCATTACGCGTCCGAGGTCGATTACGTGAAAATAATGGCAGGCAAAAATGTTTCTGAGCCAATCAAAGCGCGCCATTTCGAGTACTACTGAAAATATTCGGCAAACGGATTATGGGTTGAACTAAAAGACGCACAAAATAATTTCTACAAACATATAGTTTTAAGACAACTCAACTTTTATAGTTGTCCAGACTCCAATCTTCTCATCAACCTGTTTGTGTACATCCTTATCGTTCTCTGCCAGATGCGAATGGATTTGACTCATTTGAATTTCAAAGAGCTCGCATTTTACCTTCTGGAGACGTGCAACAAAGTCAATTTCAAAATCTTCAATTTAACTGAAAATCAGTGGCGTAACCAGCAGGCAAACTAGATCGTGCTATGTAAATTCCAGACATTAGCATTATTTCCTTTAGAAATGTATTGTTTTTACAGTGAGTGAACTTCTAGATATTCACATAGAATTTCTGTAATTTTTACTTTTTTATAAAATTCTTCAAAGACTTTCTCGCACTCGATGTGCAAAGTTCTTAAGTTTTTTCGGTTTTAAAGGGCACAACCTTCAGGCTTTAGTAATTTTAGTGAAATTAAGTTCGTTTCATTGTATGTTTGTGGACCAAAGCAGAACAACTTGCTTTGTCTAAATCAAAATATGAAAGAGTTAGTCACGTGACACAACAAAGCTATGCAAATTACTAAATTTGCAACAATCACTTGGTCTATCGTCAATAATCCTAGTTTGTAGGAACAATTTTAACGAAAATTCTAACAAACTTAGTTATTTCTTTCTAATTTTTTTCCTTTATGGCTGTACAAACCGAAGCAGCACCATTGACATTGGCCAGAGGTTTGTGATTATATTTCAGATTGATATTTGAAGGCGATTTGTCACATTTACACATTGTATATTTTACAGACACATATTTATAATGTTTTCATGTTTATGAATGTTCGCAATCTTCAATTTCGACGTTTTAACCTTTAATATTATAAAAAAATTGTAGAAAAGGTAATAAAATGTATAAATGCTTCGAGAAGATGACATTAAACATTCTTCTTTAAGTAATGAAATTGTCGTTAATTACAATTCATTCGAAGACGTATACTAACAGAAATGCTGAACATTTTGTCAGTTTTAGATTAAACATGTGAATTTTAAAGAATCAAAGGGATTTTGTTTAATTCATCTGAAATCTGAATAATGAGATCTAGTAAAAAATGGAACATGGCACTAGCCCACTACTTTCCTGTATACTAAGATAGATATACTTTAGAACAGCTACATACTGACAGGCCTTTAATAAGTGATCACCCTAGGAGATTTTTTATTAAACTGCTTAATGCCGGCCTTGAGGAAAATAACCTCAATTATTATAACATATACAACGTTAGTAAATTTGAAATACACAGTGATATGTTTCAATGTACATACCGAATAAAAGTTCAAAAATTAAGCAAAAATTTAATTTCTTTGAAAGTTAATACATATGTATGCATAAAAATGTCAGAGATTAAACTACTGAAAATAGTCATAAATGTTTGTTTGTTGTTGTTAAAGACTTTGACAAGTTCCCAATAAGGACTAATTATTTTTTCCTATTTGATGTTATGGTTACAATACTGCTAAATACAGTTTCATAACAATGAGTAATTAAGTTTGGGTACTTGGAAAAGGTCAGCATGCTTCCTAGAACTAGGTGACTGTTCAATGATCATCTAAATAATAATTTCACATTTCCTCAAAGAAAAAAGGTCAATTAATTGTAGAATCACATATATAAACTATTGTTACTACAAAAATAAATAATTCAACTGGTATTATAAGGATAACAAAGGATTAAATCACAATTTCTGTATTTGTTGTATTTTGTTCCTAATAAATCTATAGACAATTGTTTTCAGCAGATTATAGCTTAAATTTATGAATATTTGCCTCCCCAATTATTGTGTTGGTGGTGTTACTGTTCCACAATAAAACCAAAAAAGGAAATAAACATTGCACTATTTTTCTTTATGAAAGACCAAAAAGTACACTACTCACTAAACTATTTCATTATGCAAATTTTCCATCTTTTTCATTGTTATTGTTCACTCTATTGAACTATTGAGTATTCAGACTATAATCAAAGTTAAGTTCTGCTAGTATCCATCTGGTAATATCTTTGACTTTAGGGAGGTGTCGTATTATAGGATACATATATGAGCCAATCTTTTAATAGGATACATATATGAGCCAATATGAGCCAAACTTTGACTTAAAAGTCAAAGTTTTCTGTTCTCATACATTGTGGCGTGCTTTACATATATACATTGTGGCGTGCCTTACATATATACATTGTGGTGTGCTTTACATATATACATTGTGGTGTGCATACATTTGTCACTTCCACTTGTTTTATCATTTTCATATTCCTTTGAAATGTGTGCAAACTTGAAAACATACTAAGTTTCATATCAGTTAGGCTGAAAAGTTCTTTACAAAGTAAACATTCTTGATTTTATCCATTTAATCAAACAACCTTACTTGGGGATAATAAAACACTTGAGCATTGTTTTATTGTAATAGGTTTCAAGCCAAATTCATAAAATTTGTCTCATTTATAATTGTATTTAACAATATGCTGTCCTTTGTAAAGTGTAAACTTTGAATCTTGATGGTTGATGAAGATGATTTTGTCAGCTAAACACAGTTTGTTTTTTAGATGTAAATCGTGCCATTGAACTTCTCGAAAAGCTTCAACAAAGTCAGTATACCTTTTTTTAATAAAAAGTTTTAGAATGGAGTTTATAATGAGAGGCCATTGATGCATGTGTATGACCAGTTTTGAGGGATGGGGTGGCCTATGATTGTTCCAACATAACTGTAGTGGGCAAAATATGAAACCTGTTGATCCATGTGAATGTTTTGAAAGTATGTGCAGTCCATCATTGCAGCTGCTGTGATTAATAATTTTAAGGTGGCGAGGTCCCTATTGACAAACTTAAAGCATTACAGAAAGTTCTTGAAAGTGAATTTTGTACATCAATTCGTGAAGTGTACGAGCATGTATATGAAACAGTCGACGTCGGTGGTAGTCCAGAAGTTCGTGCATCCGCCACAGCAAAGGTAACATTAGACAATACTGTTAGAGGTTTTTATGAAATTATAGAAACAGTTGATTTTTCTGTTCTATCTTTACTTTTGATTAAAATTCTAAACAGAGCTATTTTATCTACTAAAAGAATAGTTACAAAAAATTGTATCTTTGGGACACAACTTAAAGGAAACCACGGGTTTTTCTTTTCAGTACATTTAACTTATTGGTAATGTCTTTACCGAGTAATATCAGACCGAGGTTATTTTGTAAAAATTAAACCCGTAGCAAGGTTTGTGCTAAAAGACCAAGGTTCAGTGTTTCTTTGTAAAGACCGAGCGAGGTCGATAAAATCTTTTTTATGTGGCATGAGACATTTTATATACTTTTATATTGTGTACAATAAAACACGACATTTATTTTATTTTTTGAGATGCTTGCATATTACAAGCGTAGTACACACATTAATCACTCACTTACCGGGTGTTTTTTCTTCTACTCGCATTCCTATATGGTTCTTGTATCACTTTTTGCGTTTTAAAAAGCTCTGGTAGTTTGCTTAATAAAATTCGTTTGTTTTATTTCAAAAGATCGAAAAATTACGGGAAAGTACTAATGGCCGCCTAATATGTTTTTAAGCCAATCGAAGCGCGCTACTTTACCGGAAGTGGTGCGAGGAAATGTAATAATAAAATTTAAAGTTAACGTTTCAGGTAGTTGATGGTTAATCTTTCCCTAGTGCACCTAAAAGTTTACAGTGGACGAACTTGTTGTTGAGATAAGCAAATCACTGGGAAAAGCTTATACGATTTAAGTCCCGTTTCCACTTACGAAAATTTGCTGGATATCTGTTTTTCAAGCAATGATTTCCAATTTCCATTCATGCCAATGTGAAAATATATATGGAGGCATTAAATAGACGTATATTCCTTCTTTTACTCATAAGAAACCGCTACATAAGGTTGGAAACACAAAATAAATGCAAGAAAATATGTTGTACGACGAATATTTGCTGAGGCAACGACTAACGGCGAAGTTGCCACTTTTATTCTGGAAATAAGACTTGTAGACCACGAATACTTTTCAAACATTTTTGTATTACTTTATGCTAATTGTTTCTAACATCTGTGACCTGATTGGCTGACTGCTAATTTTCCACCGGACTTAATACACAAAGTTGAAAATTTTACTTTCCATGTAAAGTTTTCTTAAGTGGAAACGGGCCTTTAAAAATTGCTTTTTAAACTGCAATGCGCAATTATACGTTACAGCACGTAACCACACGGTACGGTACGGGCGAAGTGAAAACGGTCTATATAACAGAAAAGTAACATAAAATTAGACTTTAGTCGAATATTTTAGCATTCATACCGGGCATAATTAAAGATTCGCTTATGTACACTACGGTTGAATGGAAGTAGATTTAGTTGTGTAAGGCAATAATTACCTAACCAATAACGCTTACTGTTACATCAAATCTTTTTTAATGCTTTGTGTTTTAGGCAACTGTCGCAGCTTTTGCAGCTAGTGAAGGCTACGCTTACCCTAGAGTTGTAGAAATTCCAAAGGTAGATTTACAAAAATTCGTCATGCATCAATAATCCTTCATCCATATAACATTGAATGCCATATAACATTGCATTTAGAATGATGAAGGCCTTGGTTTTAACGTAATGGGAGGCAAAGAACAATCGTCGCCAATTTACATATCGCGCATCATTCCTGGTGGCGTCGCTGATAGGTATGAACTGGACCTGTTTAGGTGTTCGTGACATTTTTTTCTACTTAGCAATCACGAATAAACATGCACGATTGGGTTTTAGTTTAAAGAAGTCTCACGGTAATGCTTCCGAGTCTCACGGTAATGCTTTGCGCGCTTTTGTTTATTTCGAGCATGTGCAACCCTCGACCTTCGGTCTCAGGCTTGCACTGATCTACTTTTGACCATTGAACTGTAATAACAACTGGAACGATAATTCGGGAGGGAAAATTGAAGCCAGATGATGGCAGCCATGCAGGTCGCTCCAGCCTTTTGTAAACTAAATGCAATTTTTATCCATAATATTTATATTCATAAAATTTTAAAAGTAAACTTTGCGTTGCTTTTTCGAAATACTGTTAAATTTGAAGAATATTTTTCAAATTTAAAGATTGTCAAAAAAAATTGGCCAAAAGTCATAGTATTGCTGAAAAATTTGAAAGCAAAGTCTAAAATCATAAAATCTTCGCGCGTTTATTTGTTGCTTTTTCTGACTTTTGAAAGTTCCAGGCACAGCCAAACGCTCAAACCACCAAAATTTTGTAGTTCCATGTCAAATACACAAACCTACAAAGTTTGGTAAAAATTGAGCTATTTGCAAAAGAGAAAAATGCGTTTTTCAGTATACGTAGAAGGATTTTTCATGGCATGAAACACACACACAATACAAATATGTATTCAGCTCAGCGTTATTAAGAAAAGTTCAAGATCCTCGCAAAAAGAGTTTTTAAAAAGCTTTTTTAATGATGTAAATGTATAAAATCAAGATTTTATTTTAAATACATAACACCTAGCTCTTGCGCTGTCCGTGTAAAGCATAAAAAGTGAGAAAAGAAAAAAAAACACGTTCATAAAACGAGCCGGTAAGCTTAGTACGTATTGTTAACAGAAAACAATAAATAAACAAGGAAAATTATACGTCATCAAATAAGATATATCACTGGAACATTTTTAAGATGTGAAAGGACGTGAATCATACTCTATTAGTTTTATAAAATGCTCTAAATATTGAAATACTTTTATGTATTTTTTGGCATTTAGTCCGTCATTATTTATAGTATAAGTTGGTCGATCAATCGTCCTCGATTCTTGCCGATTAATTTTTTCCCCGAAAATATCTTGCTGTAGCATACACTAAGTATGGTAGTTGCAATTTTAAAGCACAAAATCTGTCAAAAATGCAACAATAAACAATTTTTAACTGCCAAGAAGCCAAAACAAACGTAAGTCGCGAAGAAAACAATCAAAACACGCATTATTTCATGGGGAGTTGATTAAAATTTAGCTGCATGTTTGGCTTCAACCAATCACGGGACAAAACTATAGGAGTTATCGTTCCAGTTTATATTCCAGTTCACTGCTCTCGAGTTCTCCCAAAGGTCTCCTCGGCATAAACCCGTGCAAACACAGTAAACAGCTTTTAATTCTTTATGACGTTCATAAAGGTGCTCCTGCTAGGTTTTTCAAACAATGAGGTATATAATCATGACGGACAATCAAATATAGCATTTCACAGAAGAGAAACTCAAATTAATGTAAACAAAAGCAATAGCTAACATACAAACACTGCCATGCACAACTACAAACACTGTCAAAATTAAGTTCTTTGCTTTGGCTATCCATGTGGAAGCTATAGTGTTATGAACAAAATCTGGCGGTAATTATTTATGTAACATTTTCAAACCGTGTTTATTGAAAGTGTAGCTATGTAGCGCTTCTGGAAAATTTAACTACTGTATGGTGGGGGCTTAGTGAAATAAAGAAAACAAATTATGTTCTACGTGCGCTAAGTGATACGCTTTTAGGCTTTATTGAAACTCGGCTATCTTTTTGTTGAGAATAAAACGGAATGTTTTTCTTTGCTTTTATGTATATGTTGTCGAATTCCATGTTTATCTTTTAAAGATAACAATCACGTAGTTTTATATCGTGCTTTTCCGGAATCTATGACCTTGCATTCGATAAATTAAGCAGCTTATTTCTTTCCATTAATTTCAGACACGGTGGCTTGAAGCGTGGAGATCAACTGCTTTCAGTTAATGGTGTGGTAAGTTTTGAATCCTTTTTCTTTTTTATGGCCATATCTATCTATAACGGTAATGATACGTATGAAAATAATTCAATTGTATTCGTCTTCAAGTACAATACTAGGGTGTTTTACAATGGCCGATCTGGGGTATGTCAAAGTAGATTTTAGAAGCCAGTTTTAGGTTTAAAAAACTTTTTTAACAATGCTGCATGCTGGTTGGAAATTTTAAAATAATTTGAGACTATAAAATACTCACAATAGGATTTCCTCTGAAGTATTTTAAGATGGAAATCTATTTTCAGTAACGTATTCTGACCTATACCCTGGATCTGCTACTGGTCTTTTATTATCACGAATGTACACTATGTTAGACTTTTAAACCCATAATCCTATTAAGATGCCAGTTTGCGGTTTTCTTAGGAGGCACTGAAGCGGACAAAACTGCTATATGGCAAAAATTCATGCTAAATGCAAATATTTATATGTAAGTGCAAACATTCATGCTAATTTAAGTCCATAGTCTACCCGCAACACACCGGAAAATCGTAGGGTGAAACTCAAACATTGCAAAATCTAAACACAAAATACATATGGCAGAAAGGAGTAATTTCTCGAGTTTTTTAGATATTTTAAAGGGTATTCAAAGAAGGGCCAATTATTGATAACCGATCTGCTCCTTGGATGCTTTTGAAAACTTATCAGTGAAAATTTACGAAGCATGTGATACTCGGGTAGTGCTACTCAATAATTTGAATCAACCCAAAGAAGATTTTCTATGGGAGAAAATATGTGAACTTCTTTCAAATTTCTCGTTTCACAAAACTGTATACTGAAGAATAAAACAACCAACTAAAGACTGACGAATTGTTAGTACAACCTTAAACCATTGAACTAAAATACGTGGAACGCAACCTCGAGCAAATAATTGAAGCCATATCTTACGCCAGACACGCGAGATTTTACCCCAGACACGCGTGTTTAGTGTTTCGAGATTCTCTCGCGGAGTAATAATTGATTGACTACACACGCGTGTCTGGGGTAAAATCACGGCTTCAAAAAACTATTAGGGTTTTGTATTACAGGTAGCGTTCCATGTATTTTAGTTCAATGCCTTTAACTCTCCTAATTTTCCTCTACAGAGTGTAGTGGACTTAGTGGAGGTCTGCCTAGCTATAATATAATGAAGAACAGATGCCTCTCTTAAGGTCAAAGCATTTCACTGGGACAATAAATTTTTCTTGCTCCCTTAGAAAATCTTCTTTTGCTGGATTCAAATTATTGAGTAACACTACTCGAGTATCATGTTTCGTCCATTTTTACTGATAAGTTTTCAAAAGCGTTCAAGGAAGCAGATCAGTTATCGATAAATAATGCGCTTTGAAATAATGCCCTTTGAAATATCTAAAAAACTCGAGAAATTATTCCTTTCTGCCATACGTATTTTGTGTTTAGATTATGCAATGTTTGAGTTTTAACCTATGATTTTCAGGTGTGTCGCGTGTAGACTATGAATTTTAATTAGCATGAATATTTTCACTTAGCAGGAATACATTTGCTCTTGGCATGAATATTTGCACTTAGCATGAATTTTTGTAAAATACACGTAGCAGTTTTGTTCGCTTCGGCGCCTCATAGTTTCTCATAATTTATCGTAATTTATCCCAGCTTTGTAAACTCTCTAATGCAAATTATTACGCAGTACTCATTTTACTATAACGTTGAATGTAGCATTTGTGTCGTCCTAGGCCCTTTTTAACTGAGTGCGAAGTCTTTGTGGAGAAATATCGGACCGAATTTTTTTTTGTACTTACGGACGGTTGTGAATACGGACCGTGGTGACGTCATTAGTTACCAGCTTTTTAATACTGGCAGCCAAACAGCAAAATGTTTTAAATATGTTGTAAAGGTTTTTAAAGTAGCCTGAACTATCTAAATGGCACAAATGCAAAAATGTAATTTTGGTATTTTCAAGTTTTCTTTCTTCACCTCTCCCTCAATACAATTCCAGGGAGAGGTTGCTATACTATTGACGTATATTAACTGTTGCCATGCCAGAAAACTAACTTGTTCTTGACAACCCAAGGAATTCTGGGATTAACTTAGACTAGTACATGTAAAACATACATTTTCCTTTTCTATAGAGTGTGGAAGGTGAAAACCACGAGAAAGCAGTTGATCTTTTGAAAGCTGCTGAAGGTATAGTTGTGCCGTTCGTAATTTATTGTGAACTTTCAATTATTAAGAGTAATTCTCCCTATAGTTCATATCGCAAATAGTTTGTGTAAGTGCTGCCATGGCAGCATGGCAGGAGGACGAAGATACGTGAGATATTATACAAATGTTAGTACATGAAAAACGAATTCGGTGACTTACGTATCTCATTTCCTATATTGATAAATTCTGGAAAATTTTATGATAAAGTTTAATGCGAGAATAAATTCTTTATTATTTTTAATTTAACGATTATGTTTTAGGAAAAGTTAGACTGGTTGTGAAATACACGCCGAAATGTAAGTTTGTGCCGATCAATTTTTTGTAATTTAAAAACGTCAGTGTTCGTCGTTTAGTGTATAGTTGCAAAAATAGTTGATATAATTGATACTAAGGAGAAATATTTCGACAAAAGAGCAACTGAGAAATGAAAAGATTGAAAGAGATCATATACGTGTTTGTTGTGTCGTTTACGTTGAACCCTTGCCCTCAACTGACTTTGATGTGCTTTTTTAGTATTAGATGAAATGGAACAGAGATTTGAACGCCAGCGAAGCGCAAAACGCTAAGGTATGGCATTAAGTACTTACAGTATGATTATGTTTTGCGCAACATGTTTTGTGACATGAATTGAAAATCTTTTTTACTGTAAAATATATTGGAATGGAAACTACGTAGTTTGAGAATATTCATCTCATGATAGAAAGCATTTTTCAGCGCGGGCCACACTATCGTTTAAATGCAACGAATTTCGTGACAAGTTGCTCGGTAATGAGCTGTCGTGACGACCTCTTGGTGCATTGAAAGAAGAACATTCTATTGCTTTTGACGTCTAAACGACAACGTTTTTGCAAAAGGAGGTTTTGAGTGCATCCAATTAATAGAAGTCGACAGGATCAGGCTCTATATGTCACGCTGTTGCAGGAATTTTGTCATGACAATGAGAGATATTGTAAATACTTAAGAAAGACGGTTCAGCTTTTTCATGAAATACTGATTTTAATTGCACCTCTTTTGACCAAGAGGGACACTCATTTGAGAGCAGCAATTAAAATACTAGTCATGTGATGCTTTATGTCCACTCAAAGCTGATCACTTGTCACTCGTTGACGATTTCGGAGTGCATGCTCATGGTCGACGAATTCGGCCGTATCGTCATATTTTCTTGTAGACGAGCTGCTCGTCACGAAATTAGTTACATTTCAGCGATAGTTTTGCCTGCGCTTTATGGTCGTGGGCTTCATGCTAACTATCATTCAAGCTGTTCGGACAATGTGTATAAATTCATTATACAAGCAAATCTTTTGTGTTATATTTGTATAAAAACAGTTGCTTTCGAAAGGTACTTTTGATACTTCGAATAAACGTCATTTTGCCATGTTAATGTACGAATTTCAATGGCTCTTTTGACACCATTTATTACCGATATGGCACCTTTCTCTATTGTTAATTTGATATAGCAGGAATAAATGCGAACGCTCTACATCCTTTGTCCAGCTAAAAAACTAATCTCTTATTTATTATGTCATGCATTCTCAAGTTTTATATTTTCTATTTCAAAGCCACAACATTGATCAAGGAGCAAGAAATATGTTTTGTGCAAAACTGGCATTGTAAATCTTGTCTCTTAAATCTTATTAGGTATACTATGTAATGTAGAATTGTAGAACAATGCAATATATAGTTTGAATGAAATTAGTTTTTTAACAATAATTATTACACGTGTATTCAACGTCATCATGCAGTAGCAATATGTATACAGAAATTTCAATGAATCAGACTCCTGCTTGTAAGTTGTAATTATTATATAACTAATTAAATAGGCTATTTCTTTTATTAATATATACTTTTTAACTATTAAGTAGTCTGTTGGTTGTCTTATTCAATTGAGCATTAAGCGTGGTAACACCTTATTGTCGTATATTTACTGTTGTCAAAACTGTCATTGCAAAGAATGTCTCAACTTTATTGTCAATTCTGAATATCAATATGATCAGCATGAAAACTTGGTATGACTTTTCAGCATTTCTTATTTTTCTTGACTATTTTTATACTATGAGCTAAACGTCTACGCATGCGTGACTGCAACTGCCATTGAATGACACCGAAATGGAAAACGAAAGCAGTAAAAAAATATTTCTCTGTGCCCATTTCTTGAAACTTGGTGATTTTTGAGAGAGTATGTACAACCACATAGGGTATTTGTGTGTCAATGGAGTTAAAATTATATAGAGACAGCTCTCTAAAGTATATGTAAATTGTCTTCCCGCTATACTTTAATTTTTCTTTGTGTTAATAATTTTTCTTTGTTGAATTGAGAACATAGTAAGTAAAGAAGAAACAATGACACGCATATTGTAGTTAATGTCTTTATATTTTCAGTGTCCCATCACTTGTAGGAGCAGCCATTTCTGTTATCCAGTACATGCTTCGATACACTTTGCATATTTGTGCTCTTCTATGAAAAATTCCAAGTCTTTTTCAAATCTAATTGTTCACACCGCATCAAATATGCAAAGTATAATAGTGAGAAGTCTGGAGCTAATCGGCTTCCTATGACCTTGAAAATAGTGCAAGTTCTATTTCCTTTAGCGCGCATTGCGGACTATATATTATTGTTATATATAGTTTGCTGAAACGGCAAAAGGCTGGTATAGTCAAGTGGATGTTGAGTGACATTTTATATGATAATTTAGTCTAGTTATTTTCTGTAGCATGGCGTTGTTGATGCATCGTCATATATGCGTGCTTTGTTTCTCTTTTGTCGCAAGGTAATGGATGTAAATAATATTGAAGGCAAGTGTGCTATCGACATTTTGACTCAAATAATATATTTTAACTCAATCTTTCTAATTGTTTCAAGGCAAAATTGCCGGGCATGTCAGAGTGGATTCAGGCTCAATTGGATTCAGTGGAAGAAGGGTCAACTAAAGGCATCGGCATAATTATAAAAGACCAATCAGAATGCGTCCCAGCTTTTATTGGGAGATCCAAGCCACCATGCAAGCTTTTTGCTGCTGATTAGCAGACTATGTACACAAATCTTTGATGCAGGCTATATTTCTATCCGATTTTTCAGATATTCGGCAGCTCACTTTATATGTACATTATACGTTTTAGGATACGACAAAATCGACATTAGGTACACAGTCATTTCAATTTATATCTTGGACAGAGGTACAGGAGATCCAAGATATAAATTGAAATGATTTATCTACTAATTATATTTTTGAAAAGTACTTCATAATTAGTATCACTTCAATAAGTGATCATTGTGTACGATTGAAACCCGGGTAAGAGTAAAATTGACGATGAAAACGAATATTTAGAATATTTTAATGCTAGAAAAAATTGAAAACTAGTGAAATGTTGCATTAAAGAACTTGAACATGCTTGTCAAAAAGTCTGCAACATGAAGTATTTCTAGGCGGTCACCAAACAAAGTACTAACTTCGCCCGACAAGGTTTACCTTCGGTGATCAGACAAGAAACAGTGCTTTCTTTGTGGTATGGTCGTAGACAAGCAATAAACTACTTTTGTTAACTTTAACCAAAGTAATTTGTAAGTAATCTACTTAATTAGGCTGATCGTAAGCTTTTTTTCGATACTTAGAGCTATTTTTGTAAAAACAAAAACAAAAAAGAATTTCTTTTGTTCCATCTCAGCGTAAGTTCGCCGCTTCCATATGGCCAACATTTGAAATATTTTTGTTTCAAATTTTTATGAATTCTGTTTTCACATTTTTTCTGATTGTGAGATTTTTGGATGAATATAGAATAAATGGAACATTTCGTCCTTGGTATCAATCATAAAGAAAATATGATAGTATATTAACCTACAAAACATATCTACATCACATTTATGTATCGCTTTATGTACATATTATCCATACCGTACACCCAATGTTCCAATAACCGGGAGGACATATTGTTGTACACGTTATTTATATATATATATGTATATATAAATAACATAACAATGTATATAGCTATAGCTTTAGCTGGGTATATATAGCTATTACTTAATATAGTTCATGTATATATAGTTACATTCATTGAACATGAAATGACGTGAATATTTTTACACTTATGTCGTTGAAATCCTCTTAGACTTTGACTTTTTAATGATATCTGTTATGGAGCGTACAATTTTTTTTATTGATTTTGTATGAGCTTTTCCCCTGCCTCTACGATACAGTCTGTTTTTCCAAGTTTCTGCGGCTAGCAGTTGCTGACTTGCCCTTCGCTTGGCGTCAAACTTTGCAGCTTCGATGATCGTCATCACTCGTTCTAAGCGATTTATTTGATTTATTGTTTCTACAGCTTTCATTTCTAAATCTTCATCTTTTATCAGTTTTTCTTTTGTCTTAATTTTTTGTGATCCGGTCTCATACTTCTTTTCCATCTTGTCAGACAAAATTTCCTTCTCGTACTGCAACTTTTGACGTTTTGATATTTGCTTAACGTCGTCAATAAGACTTTCTATAGTTTTCTCATCTAGACCAATGGCTTTTTCGATGTTCTCTACTGCAATGGCCGACCGTCTTGTTTGGTAATCTTTCTCCTTTGCAAATCTCACGTCTGGAGTGTCATCTTCAAAAGAAAATACTATGGTATATCAATAAATTTTAATGGAAAATACTATAACACTCATTCATTCCTTTTGTAAATTGCATGAAAATAGAATGTTTCTTAATCTACAGTATTCATGGCTTGAGTTTATTAGAATAATTGTTCAGCTATTTTTTTAAATGGTAGTTTTATCGATTGTGAAACCCGTGCTCATTTTATTGATATACGTTCAAAATTGCTGTAAAGTTATAAGCCAAAATTTTCCTACTTTTTTCTGAATAAACACGTCAATTTTTCCCTGGATGTTAAGACACCTAACCTCATAGAAAACGAGTGATTTGTGTAGCGATATAACATTTCGGTTGATTTAATGTGCGTAAACGTCATTCACTATTTATATTGTAATCTTATTAGTGTTTTTTCAAATATTATTAGACAAATTATGACAAATTATGTTGAAGTATACATTGTTGGTGGATTAACTCATTTCAACAGCAACGTTAAATAGACAGTGTATATTCATATATTCAATTGTGCCCGACTTATTTCTTTTGGAAGAGGGTTGTATGGCTTTCCATAGAAATCAGTTGGCACAACTGAGAACAAGAAATACACACCTCATCTCCCCTCCCCCAATAGTGCTCTAGCCTTGGCCTTGACCATTACTTATTCATGAACATGCTATTGCATGGTAACCTCACCTGGTAAAAACACTGGTGGAGTAATCGGTGAAAGAGGAATGGGGTTGGTAGCAATATATGGAGAAGGAACCACTGGTGCAATGGGAAAATTTTGGTTTGGAGGAAATATTTGGTTGGAGAAATCATTTTGCGAAGAGAATGATGAAGGTTGATGAGTATATGTATATGGAGTCATGATTTGTCCCGGTGGAGGTAGAATAGGTGGTGGAAATACGGATTGATATGCTGCTGTATTCTGAGACACTTCCGATTGAGATGGTGTATCATCATGTGATACTGGTTTATTTGCAACAAAATTTTGATTAGAAGTTATTCCATTTTCAGTATTTTCCTCAACTTGTAAACCATTTATCACAGGTGCTGATTTCAGAGAGATTCCCGGCTTTGTTTTGTCTTCAGCTTTTTTTAAAAAGTTGCCATTCGAAGGCTGAAGGTCTGAAAGCTCTTCAGAATTTGATTTGGCTTGCGATTGTGAGGTAAAATCAGACTGAGTCACTTGTGGTGAGGAAGATGAGGGAATTTCGTGTTACTGCTGGAGACGAACGGCTCTGTTTTTTGCATTTGTGTTGTCTCGAATTGCGCTGACTAAATAAATTAACATAATGAATTGTTTACCTCAAAAGGAAACCATTCATCTAAGAATTATTTCGATCACATTAAATTCTCAATAAAAATTATCAGGTGCTCTCATGATAAATCTTTTGTAAAAACGAATGATCATATACAATTAGCTTTATACAAAACTACTTTAAGTGATGCAGTGGAAGCTAAACAACAGCAAGTAAAAAGTTGATGAAAAAATGTATTGATACTTTGAGTAAAAATGCTTGAGTTTGACTTGAACTTTCCTTCGGTGGTTAAGCACCGTTTGAAAATGTTGAAAAAAACAGTTAACAATTTAACACAACAAATAGTTTTAAACTTTCAAAAGAATGAACTTTTGCATCACGATAGCTTAAAACCTTGTATTATGCAATGTTCATATTACAATTTTCCTACAGACAATCATTTGCGTTCTGGAACAGAAAAACTAAACATTGTATTTCTAGCAAATTAACATACTATTTGTAGGTGCCCGCATATTTCTTAAAGTGTTTATATTACGAATTTTAGCCCCCTTTTTATTAGCTAAATTGCAAGACCTTGTTTCAGTGATTTCAAATCTGCAATTATAATTGAAATTGGATTGGTGAAAGTGATTTTACGGACGTTCAAAGTCACGATTTTCAGCATTTTTTTTGCGAACTTTTTGATCGGTATGCTAATGACTTGTGACGTAGAAAGTTGAACACATATATCAACATGGCGTATTCTTCTAGTAATCTTAATAAGAAACGTGGAGGAAAACGCTGTGTTGCCGGCGGACCTAATCAAATTAGTTGCGCCAATGATTCAAAAACCGAAGGAATGTCGATGCATCTGTTTCCTACAAAAGAAACAGAGCCGCAAAGACATAGAAAATGGGTAAATTTTGTGCGTAAACATAGACCGGGTTTTGAGGCTTCCTCTACCTCGTGTCTGTGTTCTGCGCGTTTTGAAGATTCTTGTTTTGACCTTAATTTGAGCGGGCAAGTCAAGCTCAAAAGAAGGTTGAAGAAAGATGCTATCCCAACCATTGACGTGGCTGGGATTCACAACGATATAATAATACTGGTCTGGAAATAATATTCTATTACAGAGGTTAGTGATGTAATTAATTCAATAGACCCTCAACCTGTTTTTTTTACAAGGGTTGCATTTACTATAGGCATTGCTTTCGATACAAGCACACTTTTATGTTGAAAGGAATGGTAAGAGCATCGTATTTATTATGTTTTGAGAGTGTTTATGTTTTATTGTCAAAAAGCTTTATAGTAGCTTCAACTTGAAACTTTAGTTGCATGAACTTTTGGGCATTAAATTGATTGCGATGAGCCAGTTAAATCAACAGTTGTTTAAAGTATGTTACAAAAAAATGACAAAGCTCATCCATGTTACCTTTGTTGAAAGTGGCGATGATTCGCCAAAGATTCTCCACTGAGCATGGTCTTCAGGTGTTATCACACCGTTGGGCTTTGGATTCGGTGTTTGCACGATCTGCGATTGATCTTGATGCTGTATGATTTTGTCGTTTGGAATAATCGCCGATGGCATTTTGGTGGACTTTTGTTTTTCTTTTAGAAACATGGCGTTTGTAGAAGGAATGAAACCGGGAGGAAGAATACCCTTGTCCTGGGTATTTAAATGTGAAGCTGAAGCCGTATAAACAGGTGGTGGTATAGCTGGTAGAGCAGGAAGAGGAGGGAGAGGAGGCGGGGATGGTAGGGGTGGTGGAGGGGGAGGTGGGGATTGAGATGGAGGAGGTTGATGATGAGGTTGAGATTGAGGTAGAGGTGGAGGCTGAAATGTAGCCGATAGTATTGATGTTGGTAGTTTTGAATTGAAATCAACATGGGATTGCTGAAATGGTTGAGTCATATCTTGAGCAGGATCTAATGATGGCAATCCATAGAGATAACCGTAGTTATATTGTGGAAATTGATAAGCAGTCGGTCGATGTATACCACGACGTTGAGCTGTTTCTACTCCCTCTCTCGCTCTTCTATCAGCGATAAACTTTGCTACTTCCAAAGTCGTCACAATTTTCAAAATTCTCTTTGCTAGAGATATGACCTTCTCATCATTCTGTGCCACATTATTTTTCTTTTCTGCCTTATAACGCGCAATGTCAGACTTCAATTGCTGCGTTATTTGATTCGTCTGATCCTCTATGAAAAAGGGATCCGCTTTTACGCCTTTTTCTATACCTGTGACGGCGTCTGCTGCCCGATCAACATTGAACAATTTTGCTTGAGCTTCTTCAATACTTTCATCTGCAATTATTTTACAAAATTTTACTTCCGTGTAACATTCATTTAATAGTTATATCCAAGTTAATAATATATGCATACAATGATAACGAGGAAATTTTGGGGTGAGATGTTTAATTGTGTTTGTTCTTCAACCTTAGCTACGTTATTTTGTACAAAATCAACAATGCTCGTAGTGAGAATTCTCGGTATACAAAAATTATGTAAAGTTTTACAAAGTTTACCAAGTGAAGCAAAAATTTTGTAAAGTGTTACCAATTTCTCGAGGAATTCGCACAATTTGATTCTTGCTTTGTTCTACATCGATGATCAAATGTTTGCCACCGATAACAATATCATTCATGTATACATGGGTATCAACGCCTGAAGAAACCATATAAATTAAATATAATGCTATTTTCAGGAGTTAAAATTGTAAGTGGAAGTTTCTGTTAATAATGTCTGAAGTGAACTGCTGTGTGATGATGATTCAATGCTATTGTTGTTGCCTACATGTTCTCTGGATTGAATAATTTCTATGGACATTAATTGTAGGACAATTGACACTTTGTTTTTTTATTCAAGCCTCCCACTATTTAATCAAAACATTGTCAAAGTCTTGCAAGGCTGCGGAGAAAATTGATGGTGCAATAAGTGCAAGCGTGTATGTAAAACAACAGTTGGAAAAAGAGTAACTGCCTAAGAAAGACAGTAAGACACTTTCTTACAGAACACAGCCCCGAGACAATTAAATAATGACATCCGTCTTTCAAAACACTCTTATAAGACCGACCTTCTTTTTAGAAAGACATAAATGTCTAAAGAAGCAATTATCAAAAAATCGCAACCTATCTAAGGGTTAAATCAATGCAGATAACGTGCTAATCAACATTTTGTAATTTTCTTAACAAATCAAGTCTCTGCAAAGCGAACATTTCTCCTTAATGGATGTAAGCACCTGCATCTTACTTTATTAGTGCCTCATAGAGTAGACAGAGCTTGCAAAATCATAAAGCATTAATGTCAAATAGTTGACAAGCTTTATGTTCGTAAATCATTATAATGCAACATTACCCAGAACAGTGCATCAATAATTACTCTAGAATAACAAAACGTCCCAGTGCAAATTTTCAATGCCAAACGTCGAAAAAGACCGTATATGATTTGTAAAGACCTCTTTCTGATTAATGACCGTTAAAGGACCCTTTATGATTTTTTGAGAAGTCTTTAAAAAAATCAATGTGATAAAAACAAACAAAGACGGTATTCCAAAGTTCCTCATATCGATGGAGAATGTATATTTTTGCAGATTTATGTCGTCAGAAGGTTTTGAATTGCCTTGACAACCAAATAAAATGAAGTGGCGTGCAGGTGTGGAAGGCATCAAAATTTTGTCTATCAAAATTACTTTTGTTTATAGTGATAGATTTCGTGCGTTGACGGCAGTGAAGGCCCAAATTTGATCCATTCTTGGATGTTTTCAAATGCAAAACAGAGGTCTTAAGTCTAGTATTTGTTTGTATAATGTCATAGCTAAACTTTGAATCAGCCACAATTTCTGTAGTCATAAAGATAAAAATGTCTGGAGGGGTTCAACCTTATCTGATACATGCAGGCAAAAGCTAGAAAAATGTAAGCCGTTAAGAATCGCAGATGCCTCATGCAATCTGACAAAACACGTAAACTTTTGAATTTAAAGTGATCAAAAACTCAGAGTGTTATCAGACAAGTTCACATGAACATAATGAAAAATATGATGGTGTCATTCATATGGAGGTGAAAGTTCTTTCCAAAATGCATTTTGTGCATTTACTAGACAATTACTTAAGGTTAGTCATTCAATTCAATTTATTGCGTGTGTATATTCTTCCGTCTTAAAAACACCTTTCTTGTTAATATGCATGTACGTACTTGACCTGCACACGGCTACTGATTTTCAGTAAATACGATTGCAGTATTCATATAGGAAGAAAGCTTACAGACAGACAAAAGATTTTTTCGTTAAAACTTAGGCGTTGAGGTTTATAGCTAAGTTTAAGGTAGACATTGTGTCTTGTGCGCAAAAGCAAATCTTATCAAAACTTATCGCGGAATTGGTATTGTTAAAAATAGAATACTTATCTGCGTGGGATTGAACTTTTCATATTATTACAGAAAATTTAAAAGATCTTCCACGTTGTAATACTAGAAAAAATTGTTTTAAGAGTCCGACGCTTTACTTTCCTTCACGGAAATTATTACAAGGACAGAAATAATGGTTTCTGTATAGAAACGTCAAACAACTACAACATTTTTGTTAATATTACAGTCTTAATGATCTTGAAATATAACTAATGAGAATTATGAAAATTAATGAATCCATGCTGATTCAAACATTTCAAACAGATTTCAATGAATATTTTGTACACAAAAAATATTTATTTTAATATTTTGTTTCATTTTTCAATGGAATAAAGCACCAGGTAGACACCAATAAACAAATATTAAAAACGTTTTATTGCTTCTTGCTATATTTATTTGCTCTTGAGTTCTCTAAAAATTTGCAGCAACTTTTATTTCTTAAGTGAAACATAATTTCATAGCCGCCATTTTTTGTTCAGTAATACTACCAATGCAATGTATGCTTGGAAAGGAGGAAAGCAAAACTTAAAGGCGTGCAATATAATATCGAAAATACAAAAGAGTAATTATATATATGACTTGTATGCGTGGATAGAGAAAGGAAAAAGATATTTTTATTCCACTGCTTGGAAACTACTATTTATTTGATAACATTAGCTTACCTTGGTATGAGAGGAAAAATGTTAAAACAAAGATCCAGAACATCTTGCATTTTCTTCAAATCTAAATAATAAGATTTCCTTATGGATACAAAAATGAACTTTCATAAACTGCGAAATTGGAACATATTTGCAAGTGTTACATTTCACACCGCTCAAAAATATTAATGATGCTGTGTTTGCTAAAGTGACAGCTTGCTTTTTATATGGAGGTTGCAGTTTGGCTGTGCAAATCGAAACCATGCAAGTGAGAACTTATGTTTATCTACCTATAACTTTATGTTTCTTAATTGAGATCTGTTAGTAAAAAATGCAGAATTGACAGGCTGTTTTTTTATTCATTTATTTTTCCGTATCATTTTTATCTTAAAAGATTTTAAGGAAGTAGCTAGCATAAATTGATGAATACTTGCAAGGAGTTGCGCTCAACTGAAACACTTCATATTCAGTTAGCAGAACGTGAACATCCAATCGTTGCAGCTCATCGCAATAAAGCGCCTACGACACGAAGTTACTACTGTCTTAATTCAAAGGTCTTCTAAAAGAGTAATGCACTTTCTTTTAACATCAATCTTCACATGCTTACTTCTGGAATTATCAAATTTATAGTTTTATGCAAATTGGAGAATTTATATTTCATCCCAAAAACACGCTACAGCTTTTTCGCTCTTGGGATACAAATCCAGCAGAATTTCATCAAAACTATTTTATTGTGATGTAAACTGATAACCAACCTAATAAAAAGCAAATTTGTTCATTTTTGACTAAAATAAACACAAATAACAAAGATGTTAATCGGGAAACGACTGAACATACACTTCCTATTTTACATATCAAAAAATTTCGATAAATCCCTAAAAATCATGCTAACAATAACGTCACAAATAGAGTTCATAACAGTTTTAGGAGATGTTTCATCTAAAACAACGAAAAATTTCATATCATATATACTTAAGTGAGTAATTTAGCAATTACAAGAAACTAAAGGTAATCTTTCGACCTTTGTAACTCATCGCTTTGCCAGCAAGTTCTAAAATGTGATAGTATGCGCATTAAATCCTCTTTTGACAAATCAACTGTGTAACTAATTTCTGCAAGTGACAAGAAAAATGTTTGCTGTCTAGATTAAAAGAAAGTATCTAGTCCATTCACAAGACGAATGTTGCTTTTAAAAGATAATTTTTTATACCTTAGAAAAATTCATAAAAAGCCGAAAAAACTAACAATTTATTTTAGTAGCTTTAGCAAAATATTTCACAAAATGTGTTTCTGGATGTCATGGGTATATTGCTGAAAAGTTTGTTTGAAAAAAACCCAAATTTTATGCAAATCAATGTAAAAGAGGCGATTCTGGTTTATTTCAAAATGCTTTGATGTTTAGAAATTTTTTATAACTTTCAATGCAGTATTTATAAAAAACTTGTTTTTGTATGTAATTTGAATTCAATTGAAAAAATATGTGGGCGGGGCAGCTGTTTTTTCATGGCTGAAGGACAAAATGATTGCTGAAATAACAAATAGATTAAGCAACACGTAATTGTAAAGTAGTTGTTACGTATTTCTCTGCTTGGAAGCACATACTGTGTAACTTAATAAAATCTTTGATTTCATGAGTTAGGCAGCTGTCTTTCGTTAAGTGAAGTGCATGCATGGAAGTCCTTGTAACGAAATAGATGAAGCAAAGCGTTTTGATTTTTGTGGTCGATTTAACATACTTTACTAGCGGTTTCGGATACCGTATTATCCCATAGGATGGCAAATTCATCATTTCCTATCAAATTCTCGCATGCGTTCTTGATGTTCAAAACAATTCGCGCGAATTCAAGACGTTAAATTTGATTTCATCTACTTTCGAAGTAAAAAAATAAGATACCTTCACCATTTTCGTTCCATATCATGTATAGCTACATATCTTGGAATAAATTAAAAAATAATCTCCCAGATCAACAAATTTTCCAATACATATTAATTGAAATGTCAAATATTACCTAAATATATTTGAAGTTACGTAATATCAATGTAATATGCACACGTGACAACATCAGTAGTTTCAATAGGCTCCTATTCAATAGGAAAAGCCGTTTTGCTTTGTAAACATGGTTTGTGTTAAAAGCAATACGACTTTGTGAAACAACCTGCTTTCTGACCAAAAAGCGGAACAAAAGAAACAGGTGGCCAGCTGACTGCAGTGACTGAGCTTTTCAAATTTTCATAACTTTTCCTATCCTGTTACAATCTTTAGCCATAAATGAAATATCGTGAAAGAATATGCTCTCACTTCTTTCCAATTATTTCCTTCAGCAAATTGAGATCATGCAAACGACAAACTTCAAGTTTATTGTGTTTATTAATAAAGTGAGACCGCGAAAGCGGAAATATATGGCGAGAATAACATATTAGCAGACAGTAAACTCTGATAGCAACTTCACTTCGCTTAAACTAAACAGTTCTTTAAAAACTGAATTTTAATCTAAATTCTTCCTATGACGACAAACTGCCGGTATATAAGCATGCATGCAGACGCTTCAAATTACTATGAGAACTCGAGGAATATATAAAAATTGAGACGGTTGATATCATGCTTATGGCACAGATCGTCGTCATCACGTTTCATCAGATAAAATTCTGTTAGACTTCTCTTTTTAAAGGTCGCAAGGAAAGCTTGCTGTGTCTATGTTGCACTGTCAATGACTAAGCAACTGAAGAATGCAGTGAATAATACACGCAAAAGCGAAAATCTTATTCGAATCGAATATAATATTTTTGAATACTTTTTTACTCAAAATCATCGACCGGCAATTTTTGGTTTGTAGCCAACCTTACATTCGAGTCTGTACAAATGTCCGTTCAATAAAACGTTTTGCACCCTAACCAATTGGCCACAACAACTTTTCCTTGTCTTCGCAATGTGCTGTTGTTGTAAAGTAACACCAAGCAATTGAACGTTGAGTTTAGTGCCTGTAATGTGTCCATCCAAAGGTGAAATGTTGTATTTCGCCAATTTTTATTAAGCTCCATCGACAGGATGCGAAAAATCATGTGTGGATAGAAACAGAGCGACATGCAGATGATGACCAACATACACATGGAAAAACGCTGTAAGATTTTCTCACTTTGATTCTTATAAACGACTGGCTGTGATCCAAGGCTTTGGCTGAAACTTCCAAGTGGAACTATGCTGCACCTTATTTTTTTGCGTGCAATGTAGAAAATTTTAATATTGAGATAGTACATCGCAAGAAACATGATTCCTATGGTTGTGACAGCACATTTTCTATATAGGTTGTACTCTTCTTGAATGCGAAATATGAAGTGTGCTATCCCAAGTGGCGTCTGCAGTGCCAGGAAAATGATCACCATTCTCAATTTTGTCACGTACTTCTGGTGGAAAAACGGATGAACGATCGCGATGTACCTTTCTGCAGTCATAGTTAGCAATAAAGTCATGGAAAAAAGGATCATTTGTCTCTTGATCGCTCCAAGTGCTATTTTGAGGTTTCTGTCAATGCTTTCGTTCAGATATAAATTCATAGCAGTTACTGTAAGCAGTGGATGTGAAAAACCGATCACCAAAAGATCAGAGACAGCCAGAATCATAATCAAAAAGTAGCACAACCTCTTGTAAAGTTGTGATCTGTACAGGCCCATTATGACTATCATGTTTAGTGTAAAACCAACAGCCAAGAAAGTAATATTCACCATGCATAAAAGTAAGATGTCAAAAAAGTATGTTTTCATCGCTCACTCATGTCAATTCACCACAACTCAGTCTGCAGATCCTTAATTTTTGTGTAAGCAATTGAATTCTGTTTCTTTTATGTGATTGCATTAATGTGAGGCAGCTGTCACTGCGATGTTATGATAATTCTTCATTATTAACACTTGCGGCAAAATTGCTTGTATTTAAAATAGAGGAGATGCTCGTGTTCAGTTTAATACACGCAATACTCAATGATGCAACACTCGATAACAGTTTCCGTTGAAACGTGGGCATGCGACGGACAGAAAAGTATGTCACAGTTGATTAATCATACTAAACAAAACATCAACAACTTATAAACTTTGGATTTTTAGTGAAAAAATCTTGCCTGTTTGAGCTTTTAATTTGCACTCCGCACAAATGAGCTCATATTTACACATTGATTAAAATTTTTCGATTAATTTATTCTTGATAATGAAGCAGAGAGGCGCACCAGGGCTGATATATTTGAAATGATATTTACGAGAAGTTGCGCATGTTTTAATTAGAAGATTTTAATTAAAAGTCGATGGAATCCAAAGTCCGTTCTCAAGAAAGGCTCTGCCTAAATTGAATAATGAAGAGTATAATGAAGAGTATAATTAAGTGGCTCTTTATTGAATAACTAGCTTCATCTTTTACATATTTTTGCGGAGGAACAAACAAAACCAATTGATTTATACACACTGAAATATTTCGGCTATAGCTAACGAAAGCCTGCCTTTTTTTCACAGTTGAGTTTTTCATTGTGTAATTTATTGCAATACTTTGTTACCTATGAAGCCCGTACCTTCCCATTCTACAGCATATGTAGTTTTTTCTAGAATGATCGATAAAACCGACAACATTTTGACAAAGGCAGTAAAGTACTGGTTCGTGTATTATGAAGGTGTTTTCAGTGACTTGTGAACCTTTATCATCACGCTTTGCAGCAGTAGCTAACTATATTATTGCACTAAATTAATTTAGACTTAATCATGATCAAATCAATCATACAAAAAAATTTTTAAGTTATTTGCAAATATAAATGCTGAGACTTTGATTAGCTAGCTATTTATACGGAAAATCAGCACGTTTACTGTCAATTTTGATCGAACTGCTTTCGACAGGAGCAAAAAATAATGTTGCTAGCAAAGTCTATTACCACCTCGTTAATCGCCATTTTGATTAGTTATTTTGAGTTTTGTGGAAAAAAATTCTTTATAAAAGTTCTAATAATTTCAGCCCGGTTAGTTTTATAACGAGAAGTTGAAACTAGAACATTCCGTTTTTACCGTTTTTCAAAAGGAGTAAAAAATTCTTCTGGATAGGAAGACTTGGCTATTGGCTGCACTGTGAACATTTCCTGTTTGAACATTTGAACACTATCAATAGTTGACATTACTTATAATTTGATTGATACATACTTATTATCAATATTTAATATTGAGCATTGTATTATACTGAATTTTAGTAATGGATCCTTGGATCCATATGATTCCTTTAAAAGCAAATCTCAAAACTCTTTACATTCTCATCAACATCTTGATATAATGTCCAAACAAATAGTTTATAACTGAAACACCAGAAAGACTATAATCTTTATAGTAGTAGAGCATCCATTGCTTTGACTACATGCAAAGTTGAAAACCTACTTAAACATTAATTTTATTAAGTTGTTTGGATAACATATGTTGTACAGAATCAAAAAGTCAAACATTACAAACTTATTATAAAAATTTTTCATGCATGGTCCACAAACAGCAGATATAACTAATAAATGGGAGAAGTTTAGACATATATATATATATATACGAATTTATTTAGTAAAATTCTTGGAACATTTTTTCTATAATCTATTCTCATGCAGAATACAAAAAAATCACTTTCCATACTAAACATTTTCAAAGCGGTCTTCTTTAAATATTTGCAATGAAATGATCAACTCGACCAGGAGTTAAATTTGTCCTTACTCAATTGATTGTCGCATCAGTGAATGTTTGATTATGAATAATAACTATACTATACGGTCAAATATACACGGCATAATCAACTAAAGTTATATAAAACTAAGTATCTTTATAAAAGGCAATTCCTATCTCGTTTAAGATATTTTTGCCATAAATACACAGATCGAAATCCATTTTCTTTCCAGTCCTGTTTAGTAAATGCTCCCATGGTGTTCACTGAAATCTTAAATATGGGATAAATAATTTGATGGAATTGCTAGAGCTTGACTATATGAAAAAAAATGAAATAAACACAATGAAACGCGTGCGCTGATTGGTCTAGAGCTGTGTTTCCATTAGCCTGTGCAAAGCACACCTGATCTCAACCAATCAAATCAATTAAAACAATCAATCAGTCAATAAGAATTTATCAATCGATCAAGAATACATTTTAGAGGAAAAATTAAAATGTTTGTTATTTTCGCATTATTTTATTTTATAATAGAAATATAAGATGTTTTTCGTGTTTGCACTGGGTTATGCAAACCTCAGAGACGTTTGTTAGAACTCTCGAGCCGGTGCAACCCTCGACCTTCGGTTTCGGGCTTGCATTTATCTTCTCGCAAGTTCTCCCAAAGGTCTCCTTGGTTTGAATAAGCCCGTGAAAACACAGTAAACATCTTTTATTTCTTAAGTGCAAGAATTAGACACCTGCTTTTCACTGTTCCACTTGAAAGCCTATTACCAGCAATTTGTCACTGATTGATTTTAATTTTGTAAAGAAGATAAACAAGTAACTCCCTCAAATTTATATAAACTCCGACAACTTTAAAACATGAAGAAATTAGTTTCGATTTTATTGTTACCAAATATTGTCATCAAATGGACACTTCTTATCGTTTTTGTACAAGGAAGACATTTGCTTAAAAGGAGCAGAATATATGACAAAAAAGGTTTTCAATACATTACGCCGACAAGACAGTATTCCACAAACAATACAGAAATATCGGATTATCTTAAATTCTCTTGTCGCTTAAAAAGGGAAAAAGTTGGATCAATTAATCAGGATCAATTGCACCGACATAAAAAATTTAAAAGGTCATTAGACTTTCCATACCCATTTGTTGTTTATGGAGTATACCCTTCCTATGTTTATTCAGAGATCATTTCTCCTTATATTTTCCAACCCAAAAGCATATTTTTTGATCCCTCGAAATCCGATGATGATGACGCTGTAGCAAATACATACCACAAAGACGGCAGTAGTTATAACCTCAAACACAGCAATATTACGTCTAAAGATATGAATTCATCCTCACTAATTATTGCAAATGATAAACAAAAACGCAACAAAAACTTTGTAAAGAAAAAAGCAAAAAAATCGCAAGCTGTTTTTACAAAGAATACAAACAATTTTGAAACTGTCAAGTTCTCAACAGTAATGACGAGAAATGCTTTCTTGCTACCGTTATATCCTAGCAACGAGTATTTCACTTTTTCTAAAGCAAGAAAAGACCAGTGGTATTATTCGCCAGCACTATATGCAACTGTACATCTTCCCAAAACGAAGTATTACAGTGAAGTAAATGTAATGCAGACGAGATACCTACCTTATACAAGATTTGAAATGATGCTTTCATATCCTATGCCTTTTGAGATTTACCGAGTTTTTACACTTAACGTAAAAAATAAATCAAAAACTGGAATTTCTGTGAGCAAAAAGGGAGGTAAGACATTGAAATGTAATATCATACTTTGTGATGAATGACGAACTAGATTGCTTACAACCAAACTTGTATTAGTATAGTACTAGCAACTTAACCACAATGAGGTTAAAAACTCATGACAGTCAAAGGTCTAAGTCTAAATAAATATGACTTTTTAAAACATCAGTATAACGCATTCAATAATAAATTAACATATTCACAGTTTTTACTCTTCGTTTTGAGACATTTGCTTCATCGTTTCAAGCCTTCTAATGATGAAAATATATATATGTTATGGCTGAATGAAACTTTTGAGGCCAAGTGAAAATATTTTTTAAGTATGGACCGACCTAAACGGTAAATAACAGATTTGTTTTTTTTATTTTTATTATGAAGAAATTCGCATTGTACAATGGCCAATGACCCGATGCCTAGTAAATTCACTCTTGCTATGATAACTTTCATCTGAACGAAAAAAATATGTTGAAACTAAATTTAAATTGAATGGTTTTCTGCAAACTTTGCTTTGTCTGGATAGTCGAATTCATTCTTACTATGATAACTTTTATCTGTATAAACTTTGCCTACTAGTTCAACTGTTAACATCGCTTTTAAATCAATTTTAAGAATTGACATTTTACTTCGTATACAAATACGTTGCAAAAAAATATCATTTCTGCCCAAGGGCAGATATTGTAAAAGGCTGTGTGTTCAGGCAGCCAATCAAATTGCTGGAAATAAAAAAATAAAGCTTTTGGACTGCTAAATAAAAAAATAAGAGAATTTTTCTTTCAATCGTCAGCGGACGGAATCCTAGCGTTTTTTTTTGCAATTGGATTGGCTGTAACAGTGGACGAAAATTTACGATAATTGACTGCAATCCGGAATTTTACGATATCTCAAATAAATTTTGAGTTCTGCAAAATTTTTCATTGATTGTTTAATTTGCCGCCATCTTGAATACTGCACAATCTAGTAAAGACTGCTGGCTTTAGCAAAAAAATAAATACGTTATTTACCATTTAGGTCGGCCCGGATAGAAAAATATTTCCCCTCGGTCTCAAAAATATCTCTTGGCCTGCCGCCTCAGGCTCTTTTCGTGACCTCGGAAAATATTTTTTCGTTGGGACCTCCCAACCGCGGTAAATAACAAATCTATACTTTACACCAACCTTCCATAAAAAATTGTTCCTTAAGGGTGTGCCAAAACGTGCTTGCCCACGATAAAAAGTAAGTATAAGTAAAAGCTGTGCCATTACTTAGGTATTAAATGCTAATATAATGCTTTGAGCAAGGTGGCCAAGTTATTTTCGTCGAAAACAAAAATAAAAGCGGTAAGGTGTCTTCAGAATTACAAAACTCACGTGGAATACAAAAACTTCAATTTCGACGGCAATGACTTTTCTCGGTTGACATTGCTAAGAGATGAAATATCAAAAATGTATCACAAGGATGTTTGTACTTAGGCCCTATTTCTTTGATGCGTGGCCTGCTTCAAGTTCTTTGCTAACTGATATGATTAAAGGAAAAGAAGCTTTTACGAAGAGTTGAAGCTGAAAGTAAATTAGTCAAATGACCTATATATCAGCCTAGTGGGTAGAGAAGTTTTCATGTTTATACAAAAGCATGAAATTAGAAAAACGTCCGTCATTTTTTAAGGAATTTTTGACAATTTTGTCGAAGACTTGAAAAGAATGTGTACGAAAAATCGGAAAAAAGGTCGATACAATTACATCACATACAAAAAGGTATGTTCTTTTGTCGTACGCTTTTTGCTAAGTCTTTTCAAACTATAATTAGATTTTGTGAAGAATTGTCCGAAAAAATGGGTATCATTCAAACAATTCTGCTTCTACTTTGGTACAAAAACGAGAACTTGGGCGAATGCCTTAAAAGAGTGCCATGGAAAGAGCAGTACAATTGCAATGCCAAAGTCCAAAGATACGATTTCATTTCTTCTTGATGCAGTTTCTTCCAGGAAGAAACTTACAAAGAAGTATTTTGTTAGATTACAAAGGACGGAAGAAAACTGGAAATGGTTCAAAAATACTCCATTCATTCATCGTTTCAATAAAGAAAAAAATGAGCATGGTTTGTGTGGCGTCATTGACGGGGACACCTTATTGAAAACTTCCTGTTCTTCAAAAGCTGCTGTTGTGTGTGAAAAGAAAAGAGGTTGTGTACAATGGGATTCAATTTATATTTATACAATAATAACTATAAAAATCAAAAATATATTCCTGACAAAAATGTTTATGAGTAGTTTGAAGGTTCTTTGCGCTGAGTGCTCTGTACCCCAGTAGTAGCTACTTTTTTGTCCATCAGAAAAAATGAGTGAAACTCTAGCCTTCATGTTTTCTTAAAAAATATATTTTGAAGTCATATCAGCTCCTAACAAATTAAAGGCAGAGGGATATATCATTAATCTTTTGGGCTATTCGAAAGAAAAAGTTTACGGGTTGTTTTTCTAATCGAGAAATAAGCCAAAACTGTCAAATAAAAGTAAAGTCTTAATCTGAAAAAGAAATTTGAAATCAGATTTCTATGAAAGTTCTAAAGGAATTCAATAAAACTATTCATGCAATACTGAAATTTAACATGCCAGTCTAAAGACTTTAAAGGCTTTATTTTAATTCTTTATCACTAGCACAGTACTGTAACATATCGCCGAAAACTATTACATCGTCTGCGCAACACATGCCGTGAATAATTCACACCATCTGCAATCAGATATGTAAATCGTATTGGTTAAATAGGGGTACTCATCCGCAGATCGAGTCACAAATTTACAGTTTGGTAGAGAAAACAAAATAACTCACAAATATTTATCTTTTTGCTAGCTTTTGAAGCCTTTCGTGTTTTGGCGTTTGGTGACAGTCTTACAAATGGCTATTCAAAAGATGGAAAATGTTTTCACCCATATGGATTAAGACTTGAAAAATTGTTGAATGAAGATCAGCACGGATGTTTCAAAGTTGATGTTTCAGGGAAAACTGGGGAAGAATCTGCTCATATGCTCCAAAGATTGTCTCACTATCTGAATCAAGGTAATTACTTCATGTTCATACTCCTAAATATTCATATTAGACAAAAATATCGATAAAAAAGTACTAGCTCACGAATAATTTTTCGATAAGTATGTACATGTTGTACATGTTGTATGCCTCATGACTACGCTAAGTTCGCGGATGCTTAATGTATTGTCAACTGTAATTCTGAAAATATTTTCAACTATAGCATATTATACATAATAGCTTTTAGTAGTTTTGGTATTGGGAATTCAACATATGTACCCTCTAAAAGCAAAATTTGCACAGTAATACATCCGTGAAAATAAAGCAGTTGTCGGGCATTGAAATTTGAAAGGTCTTTAACTTTTCAATACAACCTTTATAATGTTGCCTATTCAAATTCACCGTCCATGACTCTCGAGCAGTGTTTGTGATAATAATAAGCTCAATTTTAATGGAATATTAAAATAATTACAATTTCTGATCAATTCCAGGAAGTAATTACAAATTTAGAATAATAAAAGCAAGTGATATAGTTTTGGAATCATGCTGCCAACTAATTTCAATTTCGGAATAATACAAGTCAATTGTTATACATTTATAAAAAAGTCATATCTTATTTTGATCAAAATACTTCAAAATATGACTTTGTTGTTCGTAGAAAAGCCTCGTTGAATTTTGCAATTTTTATGAGAAAGTTCGCTATAGTGGTCAATAAAACAACGTTGTTACATTTGTGGTATGTTATTTATCACATGTTATTGCTACCACAAAACGTCGCATGGTACTTCTAGATCAAATGTTAACAATATATGCAAAGCTTTTGATTCATCAAATCATTTTGGAATTTAACATTGGTATGATCATAAAGCCTGATTCAAATTTCTAGTATAATAAAGTGGGATTATGAAGGAGCGCTTCCAAACGAACATTCTAACGACATCGAATGTGCTGTGAAGTGGAGGTCAATTTCATAGCAGGAGCGTCGTATTTTTCATTTTACAGCTATATCAGACAAGGTTCCTAGATGATTGTTTGATATCTGAAATCTCGGTCCAAAATTCTTTCGTGAAAAAAATTCGAATTTCCTGGCATGCTGTCATTTTCTCATATTTCATTTAACAATGCTGGGATTTAACAGTGCAATATTGGATTTAATAGTGTAATAGTTTATAAGATTGTAGCAATGAATACATCCTATCTCGGGAAGTATGTCTACATTGAAACTAAAACAAATGATTGCATTTGTTGCATTTGTCTCTAGTATTGAAATCTTTGTAAGAAAAAGAAGCAAGAATTATTACGTCACGCAATGTCATGTATCTAATCTATCAACTTGTTGAGCTTCTAGGTCCTTTTTGGTATAAAAAGTTTTATGGTAATAGCTTTGTAAAATGGCAATAGCATTTTCTAGTCCGGTGAATTTAAGAGCTAGATTTATTGCAGTCTAAAAGTTTTGTATTTTTAGCAGATGAAACATACTTTAATTGGATAAGGTAAATAATTCCTTTGACCATTTCTTTTCATTAGTTCTAGTAGCGCCTGCAGGATATTTTTAAGAGAAGGGTAGGGTAGGGTAGGAGAGCTCCCAAATTTCACTTACGAAGGCGAGTGTTTTGCACCACTTTTCTTATCTCTAGCAGCATTCCCAAATGTTTGGATCAGACAATCTAAACAGTTGAAACCATTTAGTAAAAGTTTTATAAAATAGGACCTTGAGGGTAGTGTTGTAGGCTTTATTTGAGTGAGCAGAAAGATGAAAGCTAAATTCTCCCAAGTGAACGAAGCTGGAAAACCTAGAATACAACGAAATAAAAATCACAAAAACATACAGTTACAGCGAGGGTTCTTGGCTTTAAAAGTTTGGGAAAATCATCAAACTTGATTTATTAAGCTTGCATTTAACCGGCCAGAAATGTACTCCAAGTTCATTTAGGCAAAAACTTGTCTTTGTTTTCATGCCTGTTAAAAATACTCACGACAGTATACTGACGACAACAATTTCAATTTTCAGATTTGGATAGCCTTTTTCAAACACTGGCATTGACCAATCAGAGCATGCGTTTTTTATGTTGATTTATAAAATATTTTGCTTGATCTCTACTTTTCCTGGACAAATGTATTTTAAATGCCAAAATTTAAATTTGAAAGTGTTAATTTGGTTATTAAATTAGACACTCACTGGCAGGTGTTTTAGCTGTGGGACTTTAGTTTTCCACATGCAAACACACGAGAAATCAATAGTTAGTTTGTTCTTTAACTTATATGAAATAGAAAATAACTTTCAATTAAAAAATGAACCCCCCCAGCATTGTTTCCAGCAGGTCTGTAATATTCATTTTGCAAATATTCGGTCCTCAATTTTAAATGTAAAAACAATCACTATATTTAAAGTGCTGAATAATTGAACTGTTTAGTTAATGGCCACTTTATATTCTATATTATATCTATGATCTTTTTAGAAAAAATGTGTTACAACTGGGTATTGATTTTTGCTGGAACCAACGACTTGCTCAAAAGCAATAAAACTGGCGACGAAATTGTTGAAAACATTATAAAAATGCTTGAAATTTCTCATGCTATGCATGCTAAAACACTTGTACTAACTATTCCTAAAATATTTTGTGAAGTAAAAAACTGCTCGCATGTCAGTGAAAAGAGAAAGTTTATAAACAAACACCTGCGTCGATATGCTATGATAAACTCAGGAAAAGCACACGTTTGTGATATAGCTTTGAAACTATCACGTAATAAACTTTCACCTGAAGAAAGAAAAGATTTTTGGGAGCCTTCCGGTGTTCATCTCACATCCAGGGGATACGATAAAATGGCGGAAATTGTTTACCAAACTCTAATGGAAGCTATACATCTCTTTGAAGGGTCATCATTATATCACTAAAAGTTACTGGTAAGCATGCAGGTGAATATATTTTTGAAAAAAGACAAAATCTATTGTAAAAAATTTTGAGAGTATTTTATGGAGTTTGAAAAGCGTGAAGAAATACAACAATTCAATTCAAAGACAGTTGAACCTCGCGATAACTATATTACATGCATTGCAAAAGTTTTTTCTTAGTGTAATACATATAAATTAAGCAAACAACAAAAGGTTAGAGTGCGTTCTAAGTTCAAACTATAATTATATTATAAAGGGATGTTGATAGTTTTAACTTTAAAAATGAATTTGTATGATATAATAACTCTTAACTTATAAACTTTCTTAACTTAATAAACTTTCCACGTGTGTTGTTTTTGCTTAGTCAGAGCTAAACAAACTATAGCATTGGAATTTTAGTATCCGTGCTTGTTTATTGCAACCATAGTGTCAATTAACAGCTATAGGTGCCCCGTGAACTGTTGCTTATTCTTGTTTGATTTAACTTTAGTGAAATAGTAAGCATTCAGTATTATAATATATATGTACCATCGCAGCCTATGCTAACCACAAAACTTTTTAAAATTACAATAGCTTGATTTAATTACGTGTGTTTATTTTGCTTATTAATTTATTCTTAAATAGCTAAAAGGATTTCCTGACAATAATAGTGATTATAATAATAGTTAGTCCGTGATCTGTGACCGATTTTCTTTCATTCCCGTTGGACACCTCAAGGAAGGTCGTGAAAAATTCAAGACAGAACGACTTTTACATGCTTAACGCAGTTTTACTTCTTGTCATCTCCAAAAAGCTGCAGTTTTATTGCTATATTACATTAAAATTTTAAAATTTGTAGCTCATTACAATTTCGGAATCCGCCATTTTCCTCAGGAAGCGTCATGTTATTTATATTTTGTGTGCTAGTGCCAGACCTAATAAAGAGCTATTCCGCACGATAATACTGGCAACATAAATAAAATGTCTGAAAGAAATACGTATTTCACTCGTGCATTAGGTTGGATTTTAGCAATTGTTGCGAAGATAATATTTTGAAAGTTATAATCGTATTGGGCTAGATTATAGAATACCCGTCCACTTACTACAAATCCAATTTTTAATGGATACGCGGATGCGCGGTCAGCAGTTAACAGTGCGGGCTACGGTTTGTAGTCCATACACGGTTATGCGGTCAGTGATAATTAATACAAGAAAATTCAACGTCACTGCGAAGTCAATTTATAGTGGATATGCGGATATGCAGTCATCAAAATCTTATATTTAATTTTTAACATAGGCAGAGCCATATATACAGTCCAAGAATATAAATGGCTATTCAACAGGCTTTACATACAACACGCCATCTGGAAACTTATATATATATTTTCTTTAAATTGACTTGATGTTGCTGAATTTCTAATCGCTTCAACTTTAACGTATATTTACATCTTACAATCTTATTCTTTTATTCTTTCATTCAAAGTTCCCATATATCTTCTTAGCATCTTCCAAAAAAACTTCGAATAAGTCTTTGCCTTTATTTTCGTATCTCCACAGAAACTCTGCCAGATACGACGAGAACATATATTTTCGTATGCCAAATGGTGGAAACTTTACCTTGGCCTGGCGCCAATGTCCTTCAATTTTATTTGTGTGATCTCCATTTTTGTTCACGAATTCCACTGAATGGTTCACTTGCTTGTAACCGTGTGTTTCTAGATTTAAATAAGCCTTCCAACAGTCCGATATGATTGTCGTGCCTTTTTCTAAAACTGTTTCAATTATCGGCAACAACGTTCTCTCACTCCTGTCTTCTACTGCAAACATAAAACTCTTTCTACTGCCCTCTTCTATTCCCCCAAATACCCATTGTCCTTCTACCCTATGTCCTCTATGATATTTTCGTTTCCCAAATTTGCTCTCATCAATTTGCACCCTTACACCTGGACCACCAATTTTTTCTCTGCATTCAAAATAGTTCAACTCGCAAATTTCCCTACAAAAACGGTCCCAATCAACTACTGTATTTCCACTAACATCTACCTCAAATCTTATTGTTTCCTGTTTAACATCTCTACACCACCAATATGTCAACTTGAGAACTTCTTCCAACGTTAAATTACTGCCCTCAAACCAACCTTTCCGAATAGATAACTCAATCTTATGTCGTTTACCTCCTATTTGCTTTCTACATTCCCATTTACAACCGTCCGACCTATCATCACACTCGACCAATTTCATAACGCCATCACAACGAGGGCATAGCCGATTACTAGCGATCAACTTCCTTTCCATTAGCCAACTTATCACACAATTTCTACTGGTAAGTACGCCGTCTTTAAGCTTGTCGTATGTCCAATAAACATTTCCTTGGTTTGCTTTTCGTTGATAACTTCCTATCCATTCGCCGCATTGCGTTGCAACACTTTCGCATTGTAGCAATAATCTGTTTGAATTTCTTTTGCTTTTCCTTGCCGCTACTTGAATCCCAACATTTTTTTTCCTCAGCGCCATACATTTTGCGTATTTCATGGTATTAATCTGCTTATTGCTGGCTATTTCCTTTGCTAGCATTTGTAGGCAACAATCATATTACAAATTATATGACGCTCCTATTACATAACTTCCTTAAATGAGTCATTATTCAACTACCTGTTAAAGTTATTCAAAGACATCGCCTCACACATTGCAAAATTCCTATGATACACTAACTATCCAATGGTATCGAAAAACAACAAAATTCTTTGATGAAATTTTAAATTATGAGAGTTTTTGAAAGCGCATTTATTATTACATTGCCTATCGCTATTCTTGTTGTACAGAAGAATGGAGTGGGGTGATATTCCCTTCACACGTTTCGAAAATTATACTATCCACAGTTCATACCACCAAATTGTTGAAAAAGACTCCAGCTTTCAAGATTAATTGACGGGAATGCTTTCTACAATATTCCTTCATGGCCGAAAGACAATATTCTGGAAAAAGCCACTTCAAGATTTGGATACATTCAAGTTAACTTTATTCTTATTGGGAAACGGGTGTTCTCCACATTTAACTTACGAATGGATAGTTACATCGACTTTCTGGAACAAAACGAAAACAAAAAAGCGGAGCATGCAAGTGAAGTGGATTCTCCAAACAATGGAAGAAAATAGCACAAAGTGGTTTTACTATGATCTTCATTTTGAAAAATATTTGTATTTAAATGGCAAGGAAAGAAAATTATAAGTACTATAAGCATTGACTTCACATCTATTGTCCACTAAAATATTTCATGCGCCATGAATAAACAATAAATTTAGGTTAAAGAAATCTGCTAAATTAACAGACGGGCTATGTTTGCGAGAATTTCAATAAACTTGAAAACGCTAATTTTCTCTAGTGTATGTGAGTTTTTATGACTTATCAAAGACTTTTATGGATTATGACATGCATTTATATCAGGTACATTTTTGTATTTCAGGCTTTTATTATGGTCTTTTCTGTCAAACTCATTTTCGAAACACCCATTACTCTTCGCTAGTTTTTAACCAGGAAATCGCACCAAATAAATCGCATGTCATATATATGACTAACATAACTAGTCAGTGAAACATTTGATAGACCAATCAACGACAGTAATCAATTTTATCTTATGCCTCGTTCTTTAAACTCGTCACTGCGTATCCACGTATCCGCGTATCCACTAAAAAACATAGCTTCAACTAACTTTCTTTATATAGGTACTAGTCCTCTTATCTTATGCCTCGTTCTTTAAACTCGTCACTGCGTATCCACGTATCCGCAGAATTAAAAGGGTGCCTTTACAAATTGGACGGGTATTCTATAATTGCTTCTCGTATTGTGCAAGACAAGGCGCACTTTTTTTAAAGGTCTGTCTCGAATTCGTCGTAAATGTCATCATCTAAAAACTCCTCTTCCTCAACATCATTGTCGTCATCAATATCTACATTCGTGCATGCAGTACACGACCATACATCTGTGTACTTCACTCCGGCTTTGTTACATGAACAACGTTGGGAGTTACATCCACGTTGCAGCCAGTCTTAAAACCACAATGAACGTTATCAAGTAGCGAATTCGGCGCTAGGGGAATGGTCATCCATACGACTTCAGACTTGCAGTTTCCCGTCACTCGTTTGCCACCCATTTTCATCTGGAGGAGTAATATCCATTTGTGGTTGTAAACAGAAAGGCCAAAGCGCGGCTTGGCACAAAAATGAAGAAGGCTGTAAGTTCCATAAACTTCCATTTCTAATCAAGAGTTAGTGTAAATATTGCTAAAGTCATTCTTATTGCATTCTGTATACAACTGAGAGGTATTTTGCAAAAAGAAGTTAAAAATCTCAGTTAAGAAGCATAAAATCTCAAAACACCAAGCTAGAACTCAACATTATATGATTCTTAGAACAAACTTAGCTACTATTTGTTTACAATATGTCAGAAGTGGTAAACTTTTGTATTTTTCAACAATCTCTTTCATAGGTTGTGATGATTGTTAATCTTCAGTTAAGGCTTTATGCTCAAGATCATGTTTTACAGTTCAAGAAATAATATTTTTCAGTGAGCCATTTCAGAAGCCAGAAAGCTGGGGTTTTTTGCTTGGGTTGAAACTTGTTTTATTGTAAATTTGATTAGCGAGGACTTTCATAGATAAAAGTTGTCTTTGTCATACCATGAAAAGGAGAGTGAAAGAGTTCTGGCACATTGATTGAAAAAGTGATCCTGTATATGTATTTATCAACAAGAAATGTAGTTATGATTCTGATCTATACATACTAATTTACTAATTTACTCTGTGTCCTTTGATAAAAGTTTATAATTTTGATTTAAAATAAAGAATATCTGAATTATTTTTGAAGTCATTCTTTTTATAATCAATGCATGGAAACAGCAACTAAAGATGGTTTTGGGACATTGGTATATAATGGAGACAAGATCCTCTGTTAGAAGTAAGTGAGCAAGCACTTTAATGCTTAGTGTAGGTTCTACAAAACCAAAAAAATGTTGTCCTTCTATATTTAAAAAGAGAAATTTCAGAATTCTACTCTTCCAAAGTAAAGAATGGACTTCACTTATCCTATGTGGGGTGACCTTGTAGAAAGAGTGGTCAAAACATTGAATAAAAGTAATTCTTGTGTTTAGTGAGTCTAATAGCCTGATAGCAATACTTTTAAAACTTTATTTTTGCTCTTGCATCACTTAAAGCAGGTTAATCAGAAAAGCATGTACTTTATGGAATCTGTAACATAGCTGTAAGCTGCTAAATGTTTGTTCTACAATTTTTACATTTATCTTAGGCCTATGCATAATGATGTGCCTCTTTAAAAGCTTATTAACAAAAAATTCTTTAGTGGTAATGATCAATTTCTTACCAAGCTTTAGTGTTTGCATTCTTTAGTGTTGCTATCCTTCGAAAAGTGAAGTTGCGCACGATTTAACTATGAGTTCTTAAAACTGACAAGATTTAGGTTTAAAACAGGCTTCTCCTATGTTGATACATAAGTGCAAAGGTGACAGTTTAGGTTTGCATCCAAAATTTTCGACAGAATTCTTCATTTAAAACTTACATTTTACTTGGACTTTATTAAGAGTCTCGCCTTTTTGCCACCTTTCAAGATGGCGCCCGTAAATAAATTTGCCTCACCATGACAACGGCAGTTAGATACAAAGAGTTCCGCACCGAAAAAAAATGGCGACATTCAAAATTGAAGGAGCGAGGAATTTTGAAATTCAACCGCGAAATACTAAAAAACTGCAGCTTTTTAGAAGTGACAATAAAAAGAATATCAAACAGCAAGTGACTTTCTATCTATTTTGAAAATTTTGCGACCTTCCTTGAGGTGTCCAACGAAACTCATTTTTAAAGCATATTTTTGAGGCACAGATCACGGACTAAGTCTTTGTTTGAACAGATTTACCGATACAGTTAAAAACACGGTTACATAAATGTGGAATATGTTATCTAAGTTAATATTTAGAAAAGATTGAAATAATGTCAGCACTCATCATCGGCCATAATCTACATACACGCCAGCTATCCGACATCAAATTTAAAAAAATAATAAAGTTACTCTGAAATGCTTATTTTTGAATGTTCATTAGACAAGAGATATGCAAATGCGACATGAGATATAGTTGCATATGCAATCGCCACGACGCTAGCTCGCTATTAGTTGTCTGTCGGTTGTTTTTTGCAACTCGACTATCGAATTTTGAAAGACAGTTTTTTTGTAAAAAAAAACTGAAAAGCTCTGCTGTTTGAGTTTTAAATCAGCAATGAGCATCAGATTCTGCCAGTTTTACATGTATTGCGACTATTGCCTTTGATAAATCACCATCAAGCGTCTGGACAGCTAATGTTGTTAGGAATCATTATGATGGAGGAGCAAACTGGATTTGGTTACCTTAGTGAATAAGTTCAACGCTAGGTTTTCCAAGTGTAGAATTGTTCTTTGAACATGAAACAATGAAATCGAAGGATTCACCGAAGCACTCGTGCATTATTAATATTGCCTCTTATGTTTATAAATTATTTCCTAGTACACCATTGATTCATTATATACATGCAGCCAAAAAGATCTGTTCAGCAGTAAAAAAGTTTAACAGGGTAACACGGAGATTTAATTTAAACAATAAAAAAATAATAGTATATCTAATAACGAACGGATCCTCGTCTTAATTTGATTACAGCTTTGTATAGGTTAAAAAAGATGTTCACAATATGTTTATAAAGCTTTGATGGAGATAATATTATTGGATTACTACGATCCAACATTACTAAAAAACCCAGGGCATTCTTTGTACTTACTGTATAGCTTTGTTATAGCTAATCATTTGTATATTCCTGGATTGCATGCATGAATAGCAGAGCTGTTTGTACAACGGTGATTGGTGAGGATATTCATATATTCAGTTGTAACAGACTGACCTCGTTTAAAATTAACTTTCTTTTGAAAAAATCATTTGGGCGCAACCGAATACATAAAAAAACAGCCCATCACCCAAATTAGCGTTGTAGTTGCGGCTCTCACAACTCGTCAAATACGTAGAATTAATTTTTCATGTAGATGTAAATTATTATTTCCAAAGCAAACTATATGTTTCAACGACTTAGTCAAAGCGAGGATTAATAATAATTTTCGAAATTTTTGTCTGAAAAAAAAGATTTGTATGGAAAGCGCATTGTCGCATCAGCCTAGTATTCAGTCCCCCCATCGGGGACCTTAGCCCCTCAGTCGGGGAATTCCCGGCGCCACCCCTGTTTACAGCGTTCAAATTGTTACTGCATACTATCCTTGTTACAAATTATTCACAAATATTACCTTTTTTTACTTTAGACCCTTCAACAAACATATTCTAGCAGCATGTAATACTGCAGTATTTTCTTTTAACTTTGAATATAAATTAACGATATTAGACCCATATGTAATGCATCTTATTCAAATGCACTAAACATTTTTCACATTTTTTGTATCGTGTGCTTAAACGTATTTAATTAAGATACGAAGAAATACGTAAACTTCATCCAATATGAACAATAGTGTCAAGACCATTACAAAAGCATCAATTATTCTTGACTTGCAACCATTCTCTTGAGATTTGCCAAACAATGTTGCTCGCACACGCCGGCCTGTGCCAACAACAACTCTGATAAAATATTGTTTTGTGTCAGACCACCAACATGGCTGAATTGCAAGTCAAGAATAAAAGTAATGCCCCATAACATTTATTCATATTAAGTTTGTATTTTTGTTGAACTAACACAATACGCGCGTACAGCGTGTGCGTATAACTATTTCATATGTTGCTTATGGCACAAATGTTCAACATGAAAAAAGAATTCACTGGCGCTTGCACGTTGTATCGGATTGGGATTGTGGCAAGTTAGATCCTATATGCATGTAAGACAGTATAATAAGGCAGTAAATAGACTAACTTCATCAAGTTAATAAGTATTTACTTCAAACTTTGTTCCGTGACGCGAGCGAGTGTGGTATAGTACAGATGGGTTTTACTGTTTACGTTTTCTGGCAGGCAGATTCATCCCAACGTGGGAGGTAGCATTGTTGATCGTGTTCTCTAAATGCACTCGACCAAATCTGCCTGCCAAAAAACGTGAACAATCTAACTCATCTGCAAACAGTTAAACACCGTTGCGTATTAAGACTTCGCCCACCCGCTAACATGAGCGTAATGATACGAAAGAATTTTGCGCTTGAAACGTTTGAGCAAATATCAATAGATTCTGCTCACGTCACCTATTTTATTGAGAGATTGCGTTAAAGCAGTTGTCAATGACGCAAGGCACCACTTGACATTACAAAGTATCTTATGTTCAGTATCAATGAACATGCAAATAACAATTTGTAAGCTGACGTTTACACTGAATTATGACACAGTATAGTGACGTTTTTATTGCGTATTGCATGTACGCAGTTTACATTAATTCAAAGATTGAAGGAAAATCTATAGAAAAGCTAGTTTCCATTGACTCCCTCCGCATCCAAGTGTATGTTCAGGTAAGAATGATGATAGCCCATGTTATTGATAATTATATCATAATTATAATGAAATTTTCAATCATAAAAATATTTGTCTGTATAGGATGGATTGACTTTAACATAAAGATTTGTAAACTGTATGAACTACATAAAATTATGTCAGAAAATATATAAATTGCTTATTGGAAAACTTATTGGAACGTATTTATATGAAAGTTTGATGTTTATCCCAAGCATTATTCCATGTAACAATTCTGAATAATGTACTTTAGTAATTTGCCTAGAATCACATATGACACAGACGATGTCTGCAGATTGTCATACGTTTGTGACAAGATGTTATAATGTCAATATTTTGTAATACGATTTCTTTGATTCTGCAAATATGGAAAGAACATTGTTGTGCTTTTTCCAATGAAGTAAATCTAATGAAGAAATACCAGAGGAGTTTCATCCTACTGTATCATCTGTTCTTTGCAGTCGGCGCAGTTTAACAATGTTTTTATTTTTATTTTTTCCTATCGCAAAGGGATCAGTGAGGCGATCGGCATATACAAATTATTCTAAAGTGTAAAACAGCTGCATGACAAATCATCCAATGATTTTGCTTTAAAGCCTTGAAACATTTCCAACACTTTGAAAATGGTAAAGAGTTTTAACTGACTTGACGTTTTGTGAAAAAATCTAGTTCATCATCGATAAAAAATTTTACTTCTTTCCACTAAAGAATGCAATTTGCGGTTTGCTAAAGCGGAGGTGTTATAAAGACAAGCACTTATGCAAATGTTGAAGTAGAATTTTTAATAATGTTAACCGTTAAACTATTCAAGAAGAAAAGCTATATAAATTTCCTTTCTGTTTAAGAAAGTGGATGAACACAGAATATATCTTAAAATCTTCACATTGAAAGCTTACGAGGCCCACCGTTTTAAGTACCACACAAATATCGACGAGATTCATCGACGATTTTAGATCGACAATGTCTTTAGCCTCAGAAATCCAGCGAAGAGCATCTCGGGCTTTTACCAAGGTAATAGCTATATCCGTATTTATAGAGCGATAACAAATATAAGATTCTGAGCACATATATACATCTTTAATCTTCTGTATATTCAAGCCAACATTACGTTCGTGTGCGCAAGAAATGAAGCGCTGAGCAATTAAGTGGAGAGTCGCATGCAGAGCTAGGAGTACAAATGGTGGTCCAACCAATTTCCTAGTTCAATTTTCAGAGCAGTGGGTATCTGCGTTTACTCAGTCATACGTTTCAATTATTTCTGTGTGAAAGTAAAGGATGATTTGGCATGTATGGCATGTTGACTAACGTTTACAGAAAAAGGTTGCTACGCTTAAATGAAACGTGTGTGCTAATTGTTTACAGGAAGAAAACGCGTTCAAAATAATAACGTTAACATTGGACCTCGTGAGTCGAACAAATTCCCCTTTAGCAATCCAGCCCCCGATGTGCTTGTCATCAGAGGAGTAAGAAATTTTATTTATTACATAAAATCAGCAATATTTGAATGAATCAACGTCGATAGCGTGAAAATGTAACTGTTGAAAATTACCGACCTTTTGCGTGCAGACGGAAATGATATGTTACGTAGAAATGGCAGACATCCCATGCCATTAACATCATATCATCGTAAGCGCAGCAATTATTTCGTAACTCTTTGAAGATAATGGTAGATTTCCAATCAAACATGACGTCATTTCAATAGATACAGAAAATGTGCATTAAGGCTGCGGTTTCAACTTTCATCTGTGTTTTGAGCAACCCGGCCTTTCTTTCTTAAGCGACCCTTTACTGCTCAAACAACTTGTTTAATATGACGTCTTTCACAAGAAAAGAATTTCTATTATTGTTGCACCAGTATTTGAGAGAATTTAGCTGTGTTGTTTCGTGTTCAAAGAATATTTAATCTATTTTGTAAATGTGGAGCGTATAGCACGACTATATAAATCGCAAGAATAATCGTGATTGATTTTAACTCTTAGTCCATTTGGGCTCCATGATGCAACTTATGTTCCATTGTTTCATTTTAAGACACTCCATTGGTAGTCTTTATCTACAATCATCATATAAATATATTTATTCTTTTAAATTGTACGATGATTGCTTCCACACAGTCTTTAACGAAATATCTACACGGACGATTGTTTAGCGATAGCAATGAGAAACCGCAAATCAAACCGATATATTAAAGAAGTTGTAAAACTTTCATTAGTTTTGTCTAATACATCCAAAAAATGTCAAACTTTATATGCAAATCAAAGAATTAAATGAAGATATGATCTTCGCACTTTGCTGGACAATTTAGGCAATTGTCTCATGAATCTGAAAAATTGTCCAGCAAAGTGCAAAGATCATATCTTCATTTAATTTTAAACACATTGCATAAAACATTCTTTCATATGACAAGTCAAAGAAGTTGAATACTTTAAAGTAGCTAGAGATGCCAAAAAATATTTTGTGAAAGGAAATGTTTGCCAACTATAGTTCTATTTTTGAAACAAAGATATTTTTGTTGTGAAAGAATCCAGCACCAAATATTCGTAATGCCACTAAAGAAAACTTATGTATATCTACAATCATTTCCATGAAAATATTTTCCCAACAATGTCTCAAGAAGCTGTCTGTTAAAGACATTATAAATTTATGAACCTCAATTGTTTCTGGTGACCGTTCAAATTCTTAAACAGTTAGTTATTAACATCACTGCTAAATCGACATGACTTGAAAATAAATAGGCTTTTTATAGTCTCTTTATTGCAGCACGAAAAATCCAGAAAAATGGCAGAAATGTCCTTTGGATGTAAACACAGCACATATCCTATCTTAAGATGTGTCCTGTGGCGTCGTTAGCTCGATAAGTGAGGGGAAAAATTTGTGTTTTTTCGTGTTAAGTTTTGAATCAATTGTTTCTTAAAGATTAAAACATGAATATATGAATATTTTCCTCCACACGTATCGAGCTGGCTATGCTACTGGGTGTGCCAAGTAAACTGAAAAATGTCAAGATTGTCGCTGATCAGGACGCCAACCAGGCATTGTTTACAGTTTGCTAGTTTTTATTGCGTATTGGCTTTCTTTAGGTAAAAATTTGAAACAAAAAGATATTCCCCATCTTCTCTTGATGTTCACCGATAGGTTTTAACACACTTCCGAGAAAATTTCAACTCTTTGTTTTAATTTTAGGTGGATTCAGGTTTTGTATCAAACTATGATCCCCCAAAAACGCGACCTGTCATTTTGGTTGGTCCATCGCTTAAAGGACACGAGGTTAGAGGTCTATTGTTAACGTTGATCTTCAAAATCAGGTCTATTCAAGTTATTTTTGTCTATGACACACAAATACATTGCCCAATCAATTGATATAATAATAAAATAGAAGTTGCCAAGACTTAAGTGTTAATTATGTCGATCCTATTCATAATTGCTCTTTTTAAAAAAACATAGGAGAAAATAAGGTCATAAAAATATCATCAAACAAGTTTTGTGTTAAAAGAAAAACTCCAGCTGTTAGAATTAATATGGCGGAGATGGTTTTTTTTATAGGGAATTGAAAATGAAAAATCAATTTACCATTTTAAGCATGACTTACATTTATTGAATAATGGTGATTTCAATCAAGTTACGGTATGAATTTCCATGCAAAATTTGTCAAACTTTTACGGGTGCCATTGTTTGAGCCTTGTCGACTTTTGACTTGTAAGTGAAAGTTTCCCGTCTGCTTATGTCATGATTTAAACAAAATTTCTTAAAAGGGATTTGATGGCAGAAAATCTCGTCTTTCTATCAAAAGATGGTGCTATTGATTGCCATAATTCATGACTTACTTGCAAAAAAAGTTCAAAAAGCTAAAAACGAAATGACCATCGCAATATAGCATACGTAATTTAATACTTAAGGAAACACTTATGCTGTTTCAAGTCAAGTCAAATGAAGTTTCTCCAAAAAAGCATGACGTAGTCCATTTATTTTATACGCCCCCCCCTAGTTCTGGTACTGGTCGTCAATTTACGTTATTTATCCATATACATCCTGATATGAGATAAATGGCTATGAAAACAAAATCCTAAGCAGAGGCGTAACTAGAACTTTAATTTGGGTGGGGAGGGTTCATATTCATACATTCCGATATGCCCTACTGATTTATTTTGAACGTGAAATCAGTAGGGCACAACTGAATATAAGAATATACCCCCCAATTAACGTTCTAGTTACGCCTCTGGTCCGAAGTATAGTGTATCGTTCATTCTGCTTCATCTATTGTAGCTACTCTCCTGTGCTTTTCCACCATCTGCTACTCGTGTAACTCTTTAGTGCAAGGTTAAAGGCTTTGTGCCTTTGCATTAGCGATTCTCACTTCAGCGTTGAATTTTCACAATTTGTACAGTGCTGATATAAATGTGTTTATGCAACCAAAACTCGGTCTTCTCTCTTTAATAAAAATCTCGGACCACGCTATCACTTCCTGGGTAAACATTCTACCTTCTCAGAAGCCATCTGGCAATGTTTGAGTCACTTGCTGAGCAGTTAGAGTTGATCAGGGAACTCGTATCATTTGTGTTCAAACCAATAGGATTTTATACCTCTTGCCTTTCTTCCTCTAGTAGCAATATCCTTTGAATTTATGAACGCGTGCGAACACCATTGTAAACATGATAGGCCTTTGAAAAAACCTTCTGAGGTGGCCACGCCACAGGGAAGATCACAACTTAAACAAGTAGCAATTACAATTAACAGTTAACTAGCCTAAGTGCGATAACGGATTCCTAAATTCCAAATTACTCCAATTAATATTAATATTGATAACTATGAATTTTATCATTAGGTGACAGATATGTTACATAAAGCCCTGTATCATTACTTAAAGACAAGGTTTGAAGGAAGGTGAGAATTATAGACTTTAGTGGTGTTGGTGGTTTCAGGGAAAATAACTTACAGCCATCTGTAGCGTAGCCAGCCCGACTTTTTACTCCCGCTATACGAATATTTTTGTGTTTACTGACCGTGAGAAAAATATATTTCTAAAGAAATGAGTAATGGAATTATTTAAATTTACAAAGTGGGAGTAAATCTGCAAGCTGGCTACGCTACTGACAACTGCACTTTTTTGGATTTATTTGCATTTGTTTCGCCCCCCCCCCCAGCCCCCACCCCACAAATAAAATCCAGCCGGGTCCCTGCCTTTTAGGCAATAACCGTAGGAAATGTAAGTATTTCTTTAACATGTAGCAAATATCCCATCCCCCGAGCCTTTGAAAGTGTATAATTCCCACACCCCAGGGCACGATATCAATACAAACACACAACTTTTTTGAAAATTTAATGCTGTGCGTAAAAATTATCGATTTCGTAACCATTAAACGGGAGCATACAAGTGTTGAAACGCAAAAACACCTCAGAAGTTATTAACAGTGGTTCAACATATACAATAATTTCTCACATGCAAGTATTTAACATTTCTCCATCATCTTATTTGTATTTTACCATGTTCCAAGCAAAATTACTAGAAAGATCTAGTATAACACTCTCAAAAGTAGTTGTAATGCTGTATAACTTAAATTCAATGTGCCGTTTTGAATATTAAGTAGCAAAAGACAGCTTAACTTGGTTGTTTCCTCGGAGCAACTTTTGGAGACGAAACCATTCAATCAATGATACCACCCACAGCATTAGATTTTTGCATTGTTCCTGGGGTAGCCCACTCGCCCAGAGGATAGTAACAACAGAAATTGACTAATCATATGTTATTGTTCTTTTCAACAATATGCAAAGTATCCTTGACTAATCTATAAATTGCGAGGGCTAAGTTAATTTATGTCACGTGACCAAAAACAGACTCAGAAATTATACCACTTATGTAATTAACTTCCAAAAATACATGGAATGATGATGGCTTTCGATGGGAGATAGCAATAGACTCGCATAATTTATTTTCCAGATTAATTATTCATCGATGTGATTGTGACATCAGTTTGGCAAAAAGAAAAGCGCTCAACCATTCTGAACCAGTCTTTCCAGAGCACTCTGGTAACTCGTTGACAGTTAGCCCAATGCGAACGTCAAGTCCAACTAAGACAGCCAACACTCTAAAAAATGGTATGAAATAACAGATAATTTTGGTTAACTTGCTTTCGTTCCATTGCATCCCGAGACCTCTTTGTTGCATGCAATTGATCTCAGCCATGATCGACGTTCGTGAGTGGCCTGTTTGCGATTTTTCGTGCACAATAGAACAGTGCTTTCATGGTTTATATGGAGGCCACACCGATCTCAAACATATTGCCACAAATAGCATCTCACAAACTCTTGCACAGATATGTAAACACGAAATGTCAAAGCTATCGAGCAGATATGGTAAACGCGAGAAACGTTTTTCATTTCTTTTATGAAATAACAATAATGCAATAAAGTAACACATAAATTGAAAACAAATGCTGCACTTCTTCCTTTAACATGTTTCATGATGATCTATTAGCAAATTCTCTTTAATTGATTTAATTGATTGAGCTAAGATCGATTTGCACGAGCAAATGCAACCTAAGCTATAGACTCTTCATCACACGCGTAGTATTGCTGTTATTTTATACTGCATTATATTGTACAAGTGAAACCACACCATAATCTTATGTCAAATATTATTAGCATTGTTGAAATAACGGCTACTCTCGACTTTTGACGATATCCAACATCATGTTTGTTTTATGCGAGTTACAATTTTTTAAGTAAATCTTTGAAAATTTAAGAAAATTTGCGCGCAACAGAGTTAACCAACACTATGGTGATCCACTGTTTGAATCCAAATTTGTTAAAGGGTACTTAATTGAAATTATATCGTCATGGCATGCCTTGTTATTCAGTTTACAGTTAGTAGTTGTTTAATTTTGATATCTTTTACAAAACAGAATGAAAATGAGTTAAATGTATCATATGTTGCTCACGTATTGGTCGATAAATAACACGTTTGATACTTGGATCCGATGGGGGAAACTGTTCAGACAGAGCATAAAATTATTAATCTGGAACAGTTGAATAAATCCAAAGATACTTATACTTTGAGGACTCACTATTTTTTTCACAATGACGGAATTCTGTTCCCTTCCGTCTTAGGAACGATTCCAGTTGTCAAATTGTGTTATGATTGGCTTAGGTTTCGGAGATGTTTGTAGTTTCATCTCCAAAAATGTTTAGACAATTGCAGTGATACACTTTATCGCTCCAGTATGTGAGATATTTCATCGCGTTTGATTGTGATTGGACTGATTTAAGAAAATGAATGAAAAAGCAAACGGCTCTTGCTCAATGTATGTTTATTTATTTTTATTATATTTTCTTTTTTTATTTCAATTGTCTTAAAGTTTTATTTTTTGGCCACTTAAGTCTTCTCTAGAATTACTTTCTAAAGTAAACAATCATTAGAAACTTTAGTAAAATACGAGACAGCAGGATCTGCAGCCATGTTTTTTCAGTACTTGCTATCTATTGCTTCGCCGCTCGCCATCGATTGATAATTTGTAGAGTAGCCAATCAAATTAAAGCATTTGCTATAAAATACTAGTATAAATAATATTTTGCCCAATGACGATTTTCAGCAATTCCAAATTTATATCATTCTCTTTTTCATGAAAATGTATCTTGCCTGACGAAGGGGTTAACAGTGACTGTGTTCAATTGAGTTGTCATTTAACAAATTCACGGATATGCTAAATTCTTATATGCACATGTACACAGGTGTACATGTACATTTAACATGTACACAGGTGTACATGTGCATATAAGAATTTGAAGAACTCACAATACATCTATAACATTCTATTCGTTTTGAACTTTAGATGAAGTCAAGCAAGAACTGGATGTGATTTTCAGCTTGCTTAACAATAAGTCACATTTAGTTGTGCTTGATTGCAAGGCAATTAATTACCCTTCCCAAGTAAGCGAAAGTGTTCTTACACCAATTGTTGTGTACATCAAAGCTGTTCCAAAGGTGAGAAGTTTGCATTGAATTTGAACGATTAATTATAAATAAACGAATGCTTCCAGGGATATTAGTGATTAAATGTGCCGCAAACCGAGGGAGGTTTAGTTAATTAATTCATCAATATCAAACCCGTGCAGTTCATTGGGATGTTATTGACAAAAACGTATAAATTCGAAATGTTTTTGAAAATTATTTTGAAAAAATTGTGTAAAACCAGACTCATTAAGACATAAATTGACTTTTGTATTTCATGAAAGTTTTTTATTGGACCTTGCTCTTGAGGAATAAAAAACGCACTGTGTTTTGTTTTACGTCTTTAAAGATGAAGAATTGCTCGTATGGGCAAAAAACTGTTTATTTTATTTTGTGTAGGTCGTGGAAAAGTTGATAAAATTAAGAGGGAAGAAAGCCTCAAAAAATTCAATTGGTCAAATTTTGGCAGCAAGAACTTTGATCCAGACAGATAAGGTATGAATTTAAGCAATATCTCAACTTTTTCAATTATCTTTCATATATTTATGAATCATAACAAAATGTTCTGTGATAATCATTGACGTAGGACGAAGTGGACATTGTTATCCCCGAATCATCTCTTGAGGTGGCAAGCCAGCAGCTGGGAGATTACCTCGAACAGAACTGTGACATTTTCTTGTAACAATGACGCAGACAATTATTCCTGTTTCCGGTTTCGACTTACTGAGATGAACCGTCTGTTGCAATATATTTGACCTGGTTTCTACGTTTCCCATAGCAATCATGTCGTAAGAAACTTTGGAAAAATGAGGATTTTTAGTATTTCAAGAATTTTAATGTTTTAAAGTTTTTAATGTTTATGAATTTAATCAACATAGAGTTCAGTAAATTTGTCGGAGGATTTTGATAAATTTAAGGGATATTAGCATGAAGCGATAGAAGCATTAGTTTTCTGATGCTTTTAGGTCAAATTCAGTGAACTGTAAAATGAACTGAAACGGTGAACAAAATACTCTATTATAGTATGATTAGAATTATGCCGATTGACACACAGGAACTGCCTAGGGACTGGGGAGACTTCCAATTTCCTTGGCAACCAATATGGCTACTCGTATGGTGTATTTGCAACAACTTAAAGTGGATACATTTCACTAAATCTCATTTCAATGTTTTTAAATTTTTCGTGCAAATATATTCGCAATACTTGAAAAAAATAGACTGGATTGACATGCATGACAGCCATCATACTGGCTTCAATTATGTCGGCAAAGTTATCGTTTCAGTTATTGCAGCTTACTGGTCAAATGAAGTTTATTTGATTGTTGTTGTTCGTTTTAGAAAAAAGCAACAATTATTTATCGAACTTGGAAAACAAGCGTAAACAAGAACAAAAAATATAAGCACTAACTGTGCAATGTTTTCCCAATTTCAATAAGAATGTCTTGACAAAATTTATTCATCTTTTTGTGTTTGGTTTGTGCATGTTCATACTATGGGAAATTATTATATGGCAAGCGTCACTTCCGGCTAAGTGGCGCGCTTTGATTGGCTCAGAAACATTTTTGCTGGTCCATTATTTTCCCGTAATCGACCACCGTCCAAAACGCGTAATTTTACAGTCAAATGTAAACAAACTTCGTAATGCAAACAGCAAAACGCAAAAAACACTCGGAAAACACTTACACTATCAAAACGATACAATTTGAAACGATTTATTTTTTATGGACGAAAACCAGAAAAGTGAAAATCAACCAGCAAAAACAACAAGGACGAGAAAGAAAGCAAGCTTCGTTTCCGGTCAAATAATGCCATATAATAAACCTTTTAATAACTTCGCTTTCTCGGTCTTTACTAAGAAATATCGGACTGTCTTTTTGTGCAAACCTCGCCCTACGGGCTCGGTCTGTACAAAAATACCTTGGTCCGTTATTTCTCCGTAAAGGCCTCGCGCACGGTCATTCAGGGCTTAATATTTTGCGTTGTTGCTTTTCCCAGTTGTATCTTAATGTAGTGATTTTAATGAGATTTATTGACAATGGGATGAACTTGTTCATATAACGCTTTATGATGTGTAAAACTTCATGTAAAAATGCTTGAATAAATTGCTGTTTCTACTTTGTTACATCAGTTTTTGTAGTCACTTTTTCTTTATGCAGTGCTTCCTATAAAAACCGAGAAGAGATCAAGGATCGTCTTTGTCGGTGAATGATAAAATTTTCACCTAATCTTTGATGACACAAAATTTCACACAACAGACAAGCCACACAAAGATTGAAGATAACTTTAACGAACTCACGAATGCATAGTTTCGTAGCTTTTACTAACGTAGACTTTCAAGAGAGAACTCGAGATTAACGCTGAGTGAAGTCAATCATTACAAGTTGAAACAAAGCTTTAAACATGTAACAACATGGAGGGTGAGCAATGGACGGATGGAACAAGAAGGAGGGTAAGCAATGAGGAGATAGAAGAAGGTGCACCATGCTGTTTTCTCATTGACCTCAAAATTTATTTTGTTTAAGAAGAAACATTTTGCAGGTTTTCATAAAATTAAATAAGACGTTCAAAATACGTTTGTCCACTTTCTTCTCGACAACTTTCAATATGTACGCACTTAAATAAATCACAATCATACAAGCTATTGCATGGCTCTTGTAAGTTGTAAAACTAACGTCATACTATCTAAATGAAGTGAAATTACTGACGTATGATTATTGAAGTCACACGACAACAGAGTTGATGCATAAATGACGTCATACGACCTTAATGCAATGAAATGACTAATGTAATATGACTGACGTCATACGTCCACGAAACCGTGATATAGCTGATGCATTATGACGTCATACGATTTCAATGCTAAGACATATTTGTTGTACTATTGATATTAAAAGCAGGCTTGTCTAGACCAGGAGAGTTTTTTGGACCACAGCTTTGTCCTGAATCAACATCCTAAAAAATTGTGACGATGTTTAGGAGACATTAGTACATAGCAATGTCAAAAGCACAGTGCACTTGAAATTTGAGCATATGCATTACACAAGTCCTTCATTCAACCATCAGAGTTTTTCCAATTTGCAAACCGTGAATTTACTTTTCTACATTTTTTACGTAAATATACGTAATATACCGTTAGCAATAAATTTCCCTAAAAGTCTTTACAGTAAACCCAAAATCAACTCGTCGAATTTCACATACTAAACTTACTTTACTTTTCAGAAATTTACAAGCCAATAATTCAACAAGAAAACCGACAAATGAATGCAGCATACCTACAGAACAAGTATATATGACTTACAAAGAAATGAATGACAGAGTTGTAAAATGACACCTAGTTTCATGTTCGGATTATCTGAACATTAAATTAGCGGTCATTTTACAACTTCGTCAGGATTCATTTGTTGTAAGTTTGTCAGATGTGACACTTATTCATGTTACAAATTTGCCACCTTACAATGCGCCGTAGCACATGATGCTCAGGTATTGCGCAAGTCATACATATGTTTCATGCATTGATTAGTACTTAGTTGCCTCTCATTATATACACAAAACCGGAGTGTCTTATATAAAGTGACGTCTGTCAATACCATAAACTGGTATAAAATATGGAAGAAAAACATTCAGCCCACAACAACGAGTTCGACTTTAATTACAGTAAACAATATTTTTAAAAGTGTGCAAACCAAACTGATAGTGGGGTGTGAAATGACAACACAACGAAGCTAGTGCGATTATTTATTTATGCAATTTTTTATCAGATTTAGCAGATGAGCTTAAGTACTCTCCTATTTCCAGAATTTTTTAACTATATAAAGCAGGTGGGAAAGACTAAGCTCAATAGACCATATCCACGTGACAAATCCCTTACCGGAAGTAGCGAAGATACCGCCAACAATCCCACACAGTCTTATTATGAACTGCGAAAACGATCGATGTACTTCATTTACGCAAACCAAAATTGATGAAATGTCATATTTGAAAAATATTCCTGAAAAATGAAAAACAATTTTTTATTTCTCACGAGGCTGGATTACACGATCAAAGACCAACTTGATCGTTCCAGCTTGTTCAACGCTATCAGGCAAGCATTGTAGAACAAATGTAAAACCACACAGCCCAGACAGTTTCCAAATTAAATCAAAATGTCGTGATTTTTCAGTTTCGTTACAAAGCTGAAGAAAATACCACTCGAGTTCCATGAAAACATTCAGAAACGCGTAATCATAAGTATACATGTTTACGTACATATAGCAAGATTTACATCAACCAAAGATCTTTCTATAATTATACATGTATATAAGCAATATGCAACAGCTAGTCATTAGAAATGACGACTCACCAGATACACCATGGCTTCCACCAGCATGATTAATTTTTCGCGACTATATAGGAAAATATTGCAACATTTTCCATTTTTTCACATATTTTTATATCAATAGGGCGTAATGCAAAGCCGTAGAAAACTCGCAAGTTTGAATCGTGCTATGAAAAAATTTGCACAGTAAGACTAAATAAACGGGTGACTATGCCTATGTTCACGCTCAGCTGAATGGCTTATGCCAAGACCAAATTGTATGGCCAAAATGAGTCGAATTTCCTAAATAGTTAATAATATGATATTAAAAACTCACCTCAGAGTCATTGGTTTAAGAATTTTCAAAAAATAAACTACTGCAATCGAGCTGCTTATAAGGTTGCTTTTTGAATATGTTCATAAATGCATCCAATAATGAGTATTTTCATTGGATTTTAATGACGGTGGATCGACTAATGGCTGTATCAATAACAATCCTGTATTATAAGAACATAAGCGAGAGTATATATACTCACTCTTTGTGTTACCGAGTATTGGTTTGTTTTCAGTTCATTTCTCCAATTCAACATTTTGATATTAGTCGGGACGATCTAAACGTGCACAAAGAAGTCTTGTTCAAGCCCTATCAGGTATTTATAAACATCCTACAATTCATCCATGACAAGAAATTTATTCTACTTAAACATAACATAGATACAAAACTGTGCGTAGTTAATGGTGAAAAACGACTTCAAATGAAAATCAAGGGAGTGATTACATGAAGCGAGTTATTCAGACCATTAAAATTGGGTCGCCGAGAGCTCCAAGACATTAACTCAATATCTTATTGTTATATTCAGTTTTAAGCATTGCGAACCAGAGCGATTCTCTTCATGTAATGATGTCTATATGTACTAATGAAGTGAAAGGAAAATTTTGAAATTTTAATCATAATTTTGTTAAACAGAACTTTCAATATAACACCTTATAAACAGCTTATGCCATCTTATCATTTTTAATAAGATAAAGTTATCTTAATGTCGAGCTCACAGAACTTTAGTGTTTAAGAAATGAAAGATGTTTACTGTGTTTACACGGTCTTATGTAAACCGAGGAGACCTATGGGAGAACTCGAGAGCAGATCAGTGCAAGCCCGAGACCGAAGGACGAGGGTTGCACAGCTCAGAAAGTCTCCGAGGTTTGCATAAGCCAGTGCAAACACGAAAAACATCTTTTATTTCTTTTATAGAATAACAATAATGCAAAAAAGAAAGACACTTTAATTTTTCCTCTAAAATGTACTCATGATCGATTTGCAAATTCTCTTTGACTGATTCATTGTTTTGACTGATTTGATTGGTTGAGCTCATATGTGTTTTGCACAGGCTAATGCAAACACAGCTCTAGACCAATCAGCACGCGTTTCATTGTGTCTATTTTATAAATAATATTGTATAATTACTGAAATGATTTATCATAGGTGTTATTATATCGTTATTGAAACTAGCTTTGACAAATGGTTCCACAAAGTCGAGTGAGTGCATGGTACATTAAAACGGTAATCAACAGAATCATTTGCTGTTATAGCATTTTGTTGAATATAGAGTGGATATACGTTCATCAAATTTTCAACATGTGTTTGTTTTGATAAATAAGCAAGTTCTTAATTGTAGCAATTTTATAAACGTGAATGTCGCAAATTATCGAGAAGGCCGTAAATCTTTACCACTTTACCTTGATATAGTAGTTGTACGTGTGAAGATCTGAAAACAGCAGAAGAAAACTGATGGTATAGTTTTAAGCATAGATGTAAAAGATGTGCGTTGGATGGTAATGTATACAGGGTGTATCAACAAAAGCTGAACAGTTTCGAAAACATGGCTAGAGTCATCAGCGCGCAATATTTGCCAAACTTTCGATGGAAATAGTTAAATGGACTTCCATCCAATGGTTCATCTGACAGGAAAATTGTTGCAAATAATAACCATTTTTAAAATAAAAATTGTGTAACCTACAATCACTTTTGAAATAGTTTGTGCAAGAAAATGACACAGCTAAAAAGCAATAGGAACAAATAGAGTTAAATTAGAGCACATGTTGTTCAAGCTAGCGAACGGCGAAATTCTTTGAACATTTACAAGAATTTATCCCTGAATGGGCAATTGAAGACTTTAAGAAGACATATTTGAAGTACTTGACGTATTTGAGCAAAAAGACAAAAAAAAACGGTTTTCAAACGTTGATTTGTTTTTCGTTACAATTTCAACAAAATTGTCCAGTCATTGATTGGTTATTCGTTTAGCCAATCACATTCTAGCACGTGACTTAAGGTAGCATTTAGCGACAATAGCATTTCTTCAATCCTATAAATCATGTACGCACGATAGCTGCAAAATCGTAACTTTTTCAATTTTCCACGTGTTGGGGAAAACAAAAACAACTTGTTTGCCATTTAAAAATGGGAATTTTTTCGGTTTTATTATATAAAACAATTAGATTACATTCACCAGTTTTTTGTCCAGTTATATATACACGGTTGAGACGTCATTTATGATAAGAACAAAAAGTGAACACTTGCCTCGGCGTGACTTGTGGCCACTTTTTAAGTTTTTATCAAAAATGACTTCATACACGTGTATCTATAACCGAACAGACAACGGTTAAATGTAATCTCTTTGTTAATTAAAAAATACGGAAATAAAGTACGTTGACTCACTGTTAGTTGTAACTTGCACATCGCCATCAAGAGCGCTTATCAGTCCAGGGACACGTGGTCCAAACGATAAATGATCAATGCGATGCGTGAAGTTATATTCTGTGATAAAAAAGTAAAAGAAACGCCAAAGATAAGGGCAGGAGGAAGGGTCGTGGCATCTTTCTAAAGCCTCCCAACGTAAAACAAGAGCAGTGAATGGTGGAAGACCCTAAAATTAAGACAATTTTTTTACTTCGACTTTTAAGATAGGACATGCTTCCGTTTGTTAATAAAATTTGTTCGGGGGAAACGATAATGGAACGACATTCCTGAAGAGAATGACCACAATAGGAAACAGTTGACAAAATATCTAATTTTTTTCGCTAATAATCACTTTAATTGGTTTCTTTTCATCACAGAGAAGTCTGATCCAGCAATGGCTGGTATTTTGTATCGATGCACAAAAACTGACCTGATTGAGGAACGAAAAGACTCAAATGCGCATGTCCTTGTGGATGTGGAATAGATCTATAACACAAAATGAAATTTAAATTCTCCTCATTTTATTGAAGCTTCATCAAAAAAAATTTCCTAAATCTCAACAAACTTCAACGTGGAACAAAAAAGAAAAAAAATGCTTATCTAACTGTTATGTTTATTCCAGTGAAACGCTTTATAGGTCTACTTAATCGGGGACGAGTATCCACGATTGTTTTGGTGTGAACCAGTGGTATGAGCGCTCGAGTTCGTATTACGTAGTTTACTGTGGTGACTTGTTGTCATACGTACCATTATTACCATAACAGAATTTTTTGTTAAATTCTGTTAATGATGGAAATTTTGAAAGTGTGTTCCATTTAATGTTAAGCACAACTGACTTTGTTTGTATTTTGATATACGTATTTAGTGTAGGGACATTGGAAACCCTCCTGCCAGGGGCTTCGGAAGGAACATAAAAATGAGGAGGGGGGGGGGCACGTTTTAGAAATTATGAGTACCAATCTACAACATGTTGCTAAGTAAACGCCATTTTGAATTTTAGCAACGCCGGTCGACCGATCGCGAATGTAATATACTAAAATAAAAGAATTGCAAAAGATTCCTGCGTGATTCTTTTGAAGCGCACTCAGCTGAATTGTAAATACATATGTTTTATAGCCAAAATAGACTATTAGTAAACATTCCCTTTCATAGAAATTTTGCTATTTTAATGCAAACGTGGCGGGGTACTGCCCCTTTCTTAGAAAATTGAGGGGAGGGGACTTAGCCCCTCTGCCTCCTCGTTTTCTACGTCGCTACCTCCTGTGCCAATCTAGCCGAGGCTAGGAGAGATGCACACCCCTCCTCTACATCTATCCTTGTATTTCGCAGAATCTAACACACATTCGTCAATGTGATACTAATCCATGCCTCCCGCCAAACATTGCGAACAGTTCCAAAATACGAAGGCAAAAACTCATACTTTCCAACAGTTATATGAAAGTTTCCAGCGACTTTATTAACGTTAAAAGATCCATAGAGTCGGCAACTATCGGCCTCATCTGATTTTTTACCAGCATCATCCCTAGACGAAAAAAAACATATGAAAGTCTATAAGGGGAAGGATAAGTTCATATCCTCTGTTATACGTACGTACGAATGGTCATTAAGTTAAACAGCAGTGCAAAACTACTACTTTTGTAACCAATGATTAGAGGGGATTGAGCTCTTTCATAACAATATCTAGTAATTTGGGTTTTTCTAAGACTTTTGGAAAACAACCAAAACACATCATTTTGATATAGTTTAAATGTTACAGGGAATCTGAAAAAAGTGCATATAAACAGCTATGAATGACGGCGAAAAAAATGTGTTTATAATTTAACATATGTATAACGCCTGCTCTGTTTGGTGGATGCGCATGCTTCGAATTTGATCAGACCATCCAAACCATTAACCATTGATTATTATATGGAAAACGTCAGTTCCGGCAAAATGGCGCGCAGTGATTCGCTCAGAAACATTTCTGCCGGTCCATTATTTTCCCGTAATCGACCACAGTCCAAAACGCGTAATTTTACAGTCAAATGTGAACAAACTTCGTAATGCAAACAGCAAAACGCAAAATAAAGAAATAAAAAACCATTTACGAATGTGATTCGAAGGAAAAACACTTGGAAAACAGTTAACCTATTCAGACGATACAATTTACAACGATTAACTTTTTATGGACGAAAAATAGAAAAGTGAAAGCCAACCCGTAAAAAACAGCAAGGACGAGAAAGAAAGCAAGCTTCGTTTCAGGTCAAATAATGCCATATAATAATCCTTCTAATAACCTCGTTTTCTCGTCTTTACTGAGTAATATCAGACCTCTGTCTTTTTGTACAAACCTCGCCCTACGGGCTCGGTCTGCACAAGAAGACATCGGTCGGATATATCTCCGTAAAGACCTCGAGCTCAGTTATAAAGGGCTTAGTAATTGGTTGTGGTAATAAACAATAACTTAATTACTTATAAAGTAACCCAACCACCACACGCCCATTCATCAGGATGGTCTGAAGTCAGTAAATATCAGCAGTGCTGTAGAACTAAATTTATCAGATGGGGGCTCTGTTGACGTTTTTGTCAATAGTGCCCTTTTAAAATTACCCATTTCAAAGGTAGAAGGGGGGCTCCTCCCCCAAGCGCCTCCCCCCACTTCTACAGCACTGAATATCAGCAAGCAAAATTGTTTTAGTATTCCTCTCATGTATTAGTATTCCTCTCATATCCTGCATGAATGCAGATCAAAATATTGCTGCTATGATGGTCATTATTTAAAGACATTAAAATGATAATGACCTTTCAGGCATTGCTGTGGGGAAGCTGTTTTGAAATAGTTCTACTTCATTTATGGTTCGATAACCTTCTGTACTTGATTTCATACGTTGAAAATTCCTAGAAAAAAGGCCAACAATTTGTAGAAAAACAACACTATAAGTTTCAATACAGCAATGTTACATTAAATACTATTCAAACCTCAGCCATTCTTTTTGATTTTCAGCCAATTCAAAATGCGCCTGTCAAAAATTTTAAAACAGAGTGAAAGTGAATGAGATGTGTTCGAATTTCAAAGTGAAAACAATTGGGAAGTGGAAAAGAAATTTGATAGGGTAAAAAAATTTGAAGATACAGGCAAAAGGTTTGAAGATGTCCATGGACTTTAAAAAAGAAAGAACTTTCATTCTGGAAAAGGAAAGAAGTTAAAAAGGAATTTGAACGTAATAAGGAATTTAAAAAGGGCAAGATATTTGTAAAGTTAAAAGGTAATTTAGAATTTGACAAAAGATTTAGTATGTTACAAAGGATTTAAATTAGGTCAAATGCATGAAGAAGCTTATTGTTAAGAGGATTCTTTAGATGCTGGATAACATCTTTTTGAATAACAAAAATCTCTAGTCATATTTAACTCTATTTTCACCAACCAAATGATCAACTCATTTAAAAGGCTTCATGAAAAAGTATTCAATGTGGCAATTAAGGTCATAAATCTATGATAAAACCAAATTACCGCTTCTTCATTGATATTATCTCCATCAACGGTGATGCCAGACAAATCCAGGATATCTGCTCCAATATCTTAAATGGTTAAAAATATGACACAATGATTGCATGATATGATTGAAAACTTAACAACGTTTTCCCAAATAGGTAATCAATTGTGAAAAAAGTGAAAGTGGTATGTAAACATAATATTTTTATAATCAATAAACGCTTGTATTGTAAATGTTTGAACTAACCTTGACATTTCATGGCAACAGTTAGATCAACATTAATTTGCAATTTGCTGAAATAAAATATTGTTAATTATTCTTAATTATGTTAAATATGCAAATTTCTGGTGCATAATTTGCATGTACACATGGGACCATTGGATCATCATATTCATTGAATGACACAATCTCACACATAAAACATGTATGCAAGCAGCAAACAAAAGATCTATGAAAAATCAAATTTTATGAGATGATTATGATTTGTGCCAATGTGCCAGTGAATGTGCGGTTATCACATTTGCCATCAATAAATAAACTAAGACCAAAGCCCACTCTATGAGTCTGAAATAGTGAAATGTATGACTGACTGTACCTGTCAGAGTCACCATCAACTTCGTACTTGTATCTAATATCAGTTGCACGATAATACTGAAGCTCTGATATTACCAGTATGCCAATGAAAACAAATGTAAGAATGGATACTAAAAAGTTGGAGTATCCAAAACCATGAGCATGTTAAATATAACACAGGGTCTCAAAAGCACCCCCTTCCCCACTAGAAAGTAACCACCCTCTCGAAAGTAGCCACCCCCATTAAGAGCTTTTAAAAGCTTAACAACATTTACAATATTATTTATTGTAATTAAAAAGATATGTTTATATTGCATGGATTGAGACTTAATCATGGAAGTTCACTAATGCTAAAAAAACAACTGGAAACTACGCACTCTTCAAAACAAAGCATTCTCCCTAAAAGTAGCCGCTACTTGAAGCGCATTACTTAAGCCTGGGCCACTACTTAAGAGGCTGTAAAATATTGAATATTAATAAAGAAGTGAAACTTTGTTTAACCAATATAGCAACAGGGTCATTTAAACTTAGGATAAGATGTCTCTTAGGGGCTGGTCAAGATGAATATTATTACATGTTTGTAGATTTAGATAGTCCAGGTTAGTAAAAAAATTCATTTTGACTCTGAAGATGACTACCACTAAGGTTATCGAAAGTCAGTCAACAACAACAAAAACAGTCCTTCTCAGGACTATACTAACCTGGACGATCTACATCTACAAACATGTAACAATACTCCCGGGTTCAAACCATTTACTTTATAAATATCATTTTGAGGAATAAGCATGAAGTAAAGGACAGTCAAAATAATAATTGATTAATTGCCTAAATTATATCAAATGGCTCAATTGTTCACTCGTACAAAACATGTTTGCCACTTTGAACTGATTTCAAACTGAAGAAACACATGCACTGATGGAGTAAAATACTAATGGAGAACTAGTACGGAAGCTAGTTATGACCAACATTTAATTTTTAGTGGTGAGACTTTTTGCTGGCATAAATTTGCATGAAATGAATCATTCCCGAAAGTCCTTTATAAGAAATTTAATGCTTAACTTGCAAATTATGGGAATTCTTAAGATACATTATAACACAGCACTCCATAGAATGTTATATACAGTTCATTATGATTAAAGTCATGCGAGCAGCACTCAGCAAAACAAATGGTTTGTTACAGTCAGTGGCACAGGGAAAGGGGAAGGAGATGCCACTCACCAGTCAGTACAGTATAGAATGTAACAAACTGTACTGACTGATGTTGGTGTTATCAAACAGTTCATAATACATGTGAATGACATTTAGCATGTGTTTTGAAGTTGCCTACCAACATTCCAAAAAATCAAACCAATCTTGCCGGCGCAACTGTAACATAGTCTATAGATGACTGCCTTCCAGCAAAATGTAAACAAGGCAAGTCGTCTATGGGTTAAAACTTAAAACTAGAAAGTCGACGAAACTCTTATAAATGCGGTTGAATGCTAATCATCGTAAGAAAGACAATTTGAAATGTCAAATGTGATATAGTACAAATAAATAAAGTCTACAAATAAACGTTATGTATTCATTAGACATATGCTAAACCGGCCCGTGAGTGTTTAGCGGACAGTTTAGTTTTCACAGATATTTACCCGACATTTTTACATACTTTTGATCTTTTTTATATATGTCAAAGCTTGGATAGTAAAGCAGTGAATGTGGCAGACTAGGGTGACGTGCATACCTGTTCCTCCACTGGCTGTTGTCTTTTGATAGCTTTCAGAAACTTTAGGAAATGCATCCAGTTCTTGGATTACTTTAAGAGTTTTTCTCTGTCGCAACTCGCTGCCAAACCTATTCATCCCTTAGGAATAAACCACTATTTTGCATATTTCTTATCTAAGTTGAAAAAAAAGAAGCAAGTACAACAAGAAAATGTCAACAAAGCAATCCACTGGTCCAACTCATTGAGTTCTATAATAACTGGAGCGGCTAACTTTACTGGGGCGAGGATGCCAAAAAAATGGCGGCCAACGGACGTATTTCCGCTGAAATGATCGCTTTGCAGAAAAATAATATTCTCGACCTCCCCCTGGTGTCTATAGTAAATTATAAAGAATTTTTCAAAAACAAACACGATATCACAGAATATGGATATCGTTAGTTCCATAATCTGTGACGATTCTTTTTTGGCATTTCTTTTATAATGCCAACACTTCAATCGTTCAATTGTTGGATGTCGTAGTTTCCACAAAAAGGAACATATCGCTTCTCACAGGTGAGGTAGTTGTTTGTTTTGTTAGTCCGTCAACGATTGAAAAGCAATTATACATGCACTTGAAAAGCCATAAAATACATATTAAAGATCGTATTTTTTAAGACTGACTTGAACGCCAAATATACTGATGTTTTCCTGTTTATAAAACTCTGTATACTTGTAAAATTCTTATAAAATTCTGTATACTTTTCTGTCATTTGTTAATGCATGAAATCGTAAATTTACCCATCTATTTGCAAAATAGTTTCCCTAAAGCAAAAAAAAGACACTGCACACATTTTGCTCTGTATCAAAAATGTGATCTGGTATCAAAAAGAAATGATCAGCCCCAACAGTACCCATGATTTGGAGCAGAGCTTGTTATGTTCTATTTGCTGACAACATGCAGGGAAGATCAAGGAGTAAAGATGACTGGAAGATGTTATTGACCAGGCAGAGTCTTAAAAAAATGATAATGCTGTAAGGATAATTGATTTATTGTCTGCCCTATCCAGAGTTATTTAATTTGATTGTGGTCAAATTCTATGGATGGAGACAATGGATTCACTAAGGATGCCTTGAATGCTTTGAAGTTAAAGTTCATGATCCAAAGAAAGATGGCAAGAAGGTTGTGTGTGTTTTGATGCTTAATGAAATGTCAATTCACAAACATGTAAAATGGAAGGCCATAAAGTTTGTGTCTATGTAAACATTTGTACTGAGATTGATGATGACTCGATGCAGATGTGAAGCTTCAAACTGTATAAGCCATTGGGTTTTATGTAACTTAATGTTTAAATCATGTCATATCTTTATCAAAATATTTTAGTTGAGTGTTGTTTGAATGTTACTAATATCTAATGCACTATACTGAAGCATTAAAGATTCAGTGATGAAACCTTTAAAGTTACTGTACTGTATATTTCTTATATATTTCTTATATTTCTTCAAGAAAAATTTGAGCTTATTTACCTATTAGAGTACAGAATGGAGATTTATCATATGCATTATTGCTGCTTTTTTAAAGAAAAGTTTTTCACTTTTCAAAGCTTTTCTACAAATTTTTTGCTTCTAGCATAAAAGTACACTATAGGAATGTAATTCATTTGGTTTTATTGCCTTGCTATGACATATCTACTTGCACTTCATCATTCTTGTATGAACAAAACACCAGATGTGGATACTCAGAGAACAAAATGCACTACCAACTGCTTATGAGATTTATTATTGAGGTGAAAACTGTGTTAATCATTCAAATTATAGTGCACTTATATTGCAAATATAGGAAAAACAAAACAAAGTGAAAAAGAAAGGTAGAAGTATTAAAACTACAAATGAATTATAAACACCATTGGAAGCATAAGTGTTTTGATGATTATTTGCATTTTGCCCAATTCATATATCAATACAACAAAATCAAAATGTGCTACAACTTCACAAGTATTTGATGCAGTTGCACTTCAGAACATCACAAAAAGGTTACTTAAAGTAATTTCTACACAATATTGTTTGTTTTTATTTACCAAACCTATGCAGACTTGAGTCTTTTTGAAATTTCATATGAAACTCAATTACAGAAAATCCGTAAATATCCAGAGATTTAATATGTACTTTTTTAAAGAAACAAGTAAAAATCCTACAATTGTGGCGAAAAAAGCCATTGCCCATTGCATGAAAAGAAGCAAAATAGCAATGATAACAAATAAGCTGACTTCTCTCTCGTGAACCGTGGAGATGAACTATGATATACTTTTTTGTATAGACTAAAGAGTTTAATCGATCAAACAAGTTTGACGCTGGTAAGAAAACGACGCACATCTGCATTCATACATGTGTAGCCGATATATAGGTCTTTCGTCGATAGTTATAAATGCATCCTCGTACCAGCAGATAACTGACAACCACAGTTGACTCGCTGTTATGAATTTAAGGTTTTTACCTTGATTTTCAACAAAAAATTGCTTGCCGAATCCCAAATACACACATACATTTTCCTCACTCTTCCCTCAGGAGGGAGTGGGAAATTGTGAAATTTTCGGAAAAGCGGTCAATTTCGGTAAATCTCAGCGGCAACGGACGAAATCCGCCATGTTTTTTACAACATCCGATATCTAAGGCCGCGCTTGAGATAGCCGCTCCAGTTATTATAGAACTCAATGGTCCAACTCAATTCTTTTCATCAATGGATCATGGCTTCACTTTTTCCCATCTGTCAGAATATCATTATTGCTACCAAACATAACAAACAACGAAGAAGCACACCAATGTTGACCAGTAAAGTTCATCAGAGTACATTTGGCCCAAACTTCCGCGAACTACGTATTGACCAAACGACCTGTTAACTGTCAGGTACAGACAAATTTTTCAACAGCCTGTCGGCTTCCATAAAACGATTAAACTTCCAAATCTGCCAGACGTAATTTATGTCTGACCCGAAAGAAATGTTGGTGTTTGGCGAGCCTGTTGCTTGGAAATACTCAAGAAAACCCATCAAAGTGCATGTGCTTTTCTGAAACTGTTCACTGTTGCGTGAAGATTAGGTTTAATTGGCGTGATTAAGTAAAGAAGATTGATTTCATTGATTATAAGCATTCAAAAATTATAACATTAAGATTCACAAATTTGCTTTATTTACAGCTTAGTACTAAAGCTAAAATGTTAAAAATTGCAAAAATCTTACATATTTTCACATGAACAATAATTAAACTAAGCACTGATATGCAATACAGATTGGTAGGTTTGGGCAGCTGAGAGTGTTGAAGATAAAGTGTTATAAATCACAAAAAATTTGCAGGTCACATTTTCAGAAGAACAAGTGTTGTCGGTTCATTGAAGGACCATATGCCTGCCAGGAATAACTTCCCATTTCATAACACTCCACTAACTTATAATGTTCAATTTATCAATATTGTTGCCAATGAAGTGCCAGGCCTGAAATGGATTCTCGATATAAATGCTAGAGCCCAACAAATAATTTTGAACTTAGCCATAACGTTCAATTTATTCTCCATGACCACAATTGTATCTCTTGTAATAATAGCACAACACAAACTTCTCTTTCATGACATGGTTGACAAGACTGTGATGTTACATGTCTGACAGTCATGTATGACTGTAATACAGGTAAGATCACAGTCAAGCCATTCATCCAATATTGAATTTTTCCATATAATTATAACCTCCAAGAAGAACAACTTCATCACTCCAACGAATTCAACCAATGGACAAGGCAATTGAGGCATCGTCTTCTAGAATCAAACTCAAAACACTCTACAAAGCTTCGCAATCTCTTTATCATCCTGCAAAAACAAGAATTTTATCATCAATAGCCTCAGCTCTATGGTGATGCCTTGGTTCAGGCATATGACAAAACTCTTTCAAAACACGAGATGTGGTACCAGTAATCAGCATTTTCCTGATCAGATCATAAGTACACGTTGTTCCTTCGCCATCATTGCCTGCATTTACATCCTCCATCATAGAGGATTTGTTGTTCATATATAAATGATAGTTCGGTGACCATAGCAAACATAAGGAAATATCCTCCATGTCAAAGGAAACCGATTAAAATCCAAAGTCTCTATAGATTTCCAGTCATATCCTCCAACAACAAATAAATTACCTTAGAAAGGTAATTTATTTGTTGTTGGAGGATATGACTGTAAATCATATCCTCCATCAACAAATACATTAGAAACTTACAATAGAAAGTTGGTATACCAACTTGGAACAAACCCCCTTGAACAGATCACAGCAATTACCAGCAACTTACAAACGACTTATTCACAATACAAACAAACAATCAACTAAAAACATTACACTTCACACTAATTCACAATGACAATACAAAATTGACACCCACACATTACAACTACAAACATCACACCTAAATCACACATCACAACTAAAAATATTTCACTTCACACTAATTCACAATGACAATACACATTTCCTGTACACACAATACAATGACGTAAGAGCCAGATAGCAAATACGGCTAACCTGACGTTTACTCCTCATTTGACTCTGAAGATGACTACCACTAAGGTTGTCGAAACGTCAGTCAACAACAACAAAAACAGTCCTTCTCAGGACTTTATTAACCTGGACGATCATCATTTACAAACCATGTAACGATACTCCCGGGTTCAAACCATTTACTTTAATTAAATTACCGTAACAAATAAATGAGGCAAACTTATGTTTATTTTTAATTGTTGAAATATCAAACCATTACTCCTCATTCTATGGAAAATATTTCAACACTCTTAATGGAACTTTTTGACCTACCTCCAGAAATGAAAACATCGCCTCTTACTGAGTTCATCCGCATTCCAATTAATGATGTAATTGTTTCTTTGTCACTTTAAAAAGATTATGTTGAACGTCTTTAATTTTTCTCCTTGATTCCATCATTTCCTTATGGATTTCTCTATACTGACGACATGCGTACATACATGAATAACTATTATTGATGTTATATACTCAAGTCGTAATAATGTTTTATCTCATTCATCTGCATTTTCAGAAGCTCATTGCGATATTTAAGACTTCGTTGAAATATTTCTCAAACCCAATCTCTTCCAATTCGTGAGAAGCAATCTTTAGGTATATCCATTCTCAATTTCACGTAAATGTTGTAATAATCTTATCTCGTTTATCTCCTGATCACAACGTTCGTTAGAACCCAACACTTTAAAGATCTTCAACATATATAAATTCAGGACAACCAAGACTGGCGATGTCGCAATCGATTTAAGACTGAAATAAGGAAAACGCGATACGTGGTTGAATAAAGCGACTATGGCGGCGACAGCGGGATTTAATTAATGCATGTTTTGCATTTTTTGTTCCGAGAAGACCTTTGGGAGAACTCGAGAGCAGATCATTGCAGCCCGAGACCGAAGCTCGAGGGTTTCACATGCTCGAGAGTTCTCACAAACGTCTGCAAGATTTGCATAAGCCAGTGCAAACATCTTTTATTTCTTTTATAGAATAACAATAATGCGAAAAGACAAACATTTCAAATTTTCCTCTAAAATGTGTTCATGATCGATTTGCTAATTCTCTTTGCTGAATGATTGTTTTGATTGATTTGATTGGTTGAGCTCAGATGTGTTTTGCACAGGCTAATGCAACACGGCTCTAGACCAATCAGCGCACGCGTTTCATTGTTTTTATTTTATAAAGGTAAATAACACGCGTGCTTTGTGCGTGTTGCGTGGATTATCACGAATATAGAAAACACAATGATCGTATGATGTGAGCTCTTTACGGAATACGGAGAAATATCGGACCGAGGTCTTTTTGTACAGACTGAGCCCGTAGGGGGGGTTTGTACAAAAAGACAGAGGTCCAATATTTCTCAGTAAAGACCGAGAAAGCGAGCTTACTAAAAGATTTATTACATAGCATTTATATATGGCAAGCATCACTTCCGGCAAATTGGCGGGTTTTGATTGGCTCAGAAACATTTTTGCCTGCCCATTATTTTCCATAATTGACCACGGTCTAAAACGCGTAATTTTACAAATGTAAACAAACTTTGTAAAGCAAACAGAAAACGCAAAAAAAAACAAACAAAAACATTTACGAATGTGAGTCGAAAAACACTCGGAAAACAGTTAAACTATCCAGACGATACAATTTAAAACGATTTATTTTTATGGACGAAAACTAGAAAAGTGAAAAGCAACCGGTAAAAAACAGCAAGAACGAGAAAAAAGAAAGCCTAGTTTCAGGTCAACTAATGCCATATAATAAACCTTTTAATAACCTCGTTTCTCACTCTTTACAAAAGTGTTTCTCGCCCTACGGCTCGGTCTGTACAAAAAAACGTCGGTCCGATATTTCTGCGTAAAGACCTCGTGCTCAGTTATTAAGGGCTTAATGTACGTCGTGTTTTTTAGATTGTTGTATAAAACAGTATTTAACGGTATGAAGATCGTGAAGAAAAACAAGCATTAAAGCGACGACGAATTTATAGCTACTGTCTTTTAATGTCATATACTTTCTATAGATAGATGGCTTCTTGGACATCCTTTTATCTCTCCAAATCCCATGTCGCACGGTTTAAGCCATAAAATCACTTCAGATAAGCTTGACGCTGAAAAAGATCAAGGGAGAAATCAAAATGGCTGTGATGATGGAGATGAGTATCCTGATCTGATGCCTATTCTTTCGGTTATGCTACGAGAAATTCAAGATTTCGGAATGAATTTAAGGTGTTGCAAACGCTTGGCAAAAGAAAAGTTTGCTTCCCTTGTCAAGGTAACTTCTTATTACATACATTGTTTAAATAGACAGTAATTTGGTCATGTGCAGGAAATTTTGTACATGATTTAGAAATGCTTGCAAACTTCCACTCAAAGCTTCCAATTGAAAAATAAAGTTCATGAAGAAACACAAGAATTAAAGTGACAAAGAATTTATAGCTACTATCTTTTAATGTAATATACTTTGTATAGATGTCTATATCTAGAGAACGGTAACCAATCCTTAGCACAGCAGCTTCTTGGACATCCTTTTATCTCTCCAAATCCAATGTCGCATGGTTTAAGCAATAACATCACTTCAGATAAGCTTGACGCTGAAAACGATCAAGGGAGAAATCAAATGGCTGTAATGATGGAGATAAGTATCCTGATTTGATGCCTATTCCTTTCGGCTACCCTGCGAGAAATTCAAGAGTTTGAAATGAATTTGAGGTGTGGAAAATGCGTAGAAAAAGGAGGGTTTGCTTCAGTTGTCAAGTTAACTTTTTATTACATGCATCATTTAAGTAGACGGTAATTTGGTCATATGAAGGAAATTTGTACGTGAATTGGAAATGCTTTATTTACGCTTGGGTATGTAATAACTAAGTTTTCGGTCCATTACATGAAACAAATAAAAATGAATATTGTAAACTAAACATTGGAAAAATGAGATATGCATGAGAAGCATTTTTTTATTCTTTATCTCCTGCCTGATATAGAAAAAAAGCTTGATTTAACTTACAAAATATGAAAGAGCATAAGGTTTAATATGGAAATTTACTGAACCAGATGTCACGCCTGTATAATACCTAGGAGCCTGGGTCATACCTACAGAAGTGCGTAACTGCCTGGATCATATTTTGACGAAAGTCTGCATTTTTAAAACACTGGCTGAATAAGTGTTATTTTACTTGACTATGGGAAAGTAGGGAAAGTTATTACTAAAATGACAAAGTAATGAATATACCAGGTAGCTAGAAATTTTAGTTGAGGTATAAAAAGAACTGGTATCGAGTTGTGTAATCTGATTTCGTGGAGAAGCCAATTTGATAAACATCTGTGAAACATATATATGTAAAATAGTACTCTTTGTGTAGTGAAAGATATCATATGTTTTCGATAGTCCTCCCTCCGATACACCCCTCCATTACTTTGTACATATACATGTTTTATAATGTTCTCCCTTTAGTCATAGTTAACGCTTCTTTTCTGACATTATAAATATTGTTAAATAACATTAATAATGACAGTCTCAAACTGGAATTGTTTGTGTCGTTGTCTCGGTACGCTACACCATTAATTGAACAGTTTTCATACTAAACTCTTAAAATACTTCACGCGACTAAATCTAAAAGCTACGGCATTCTTACCTTTCTTATTTAAAGCACTTTATTCTCATTGAATAAAACAAAACCTTTCTGAACACCTGTCTTAAAGGTAGTAAAGAACTACAACTTTTTTATTTTGCATCTTCTATGGTAGATGCAATTACTCTAAAAAGTAACTCTTCATTTGTTATCATAGTCTTCGTTAATTTCGTATTTATGAAAATGAGTCGCATATTCCAAAAGCAGTTTGCTGTCACTGGCGTATTCAGCCGGAAAACATTAGATTTCTAAAGAAATGGATAAAGATAATATTCTAAAATTTACATAGCTGGTCCAAAATTTGCTTGTTGGCTTTTCCACTGTTTTATGATACCATGCCGATCTAAAGGGAAAAGACTAATTGCTGGGCCGCACTAGATCGATAATTGGGGAGAATCATATTAATATATTCGTATGCTTTAATCCATATTTATCCACAACCACACTTGATTTCAATGAAAACTACTATAGCGGAACATGTACATATGAATAATCAAGTATTGCTCTTGCCTGCAATTAACGAATTCCTGGTTACTTTTGCCTCTTAAATTCGGATCAAAAACTCTCCATAAAACAAAGCATGCTATGCAATTTGCACATTGGAACAGCCAATTAAGAAAACATGTATCAAGATAGACTTGTAAAAAATACAAATTTATCAACTTCTTTACATTTATTATATGAGTGAAAAGACAGGGGAGAGCAATTTTAAGGGGCAGGTGACACTCCATGTTAGTTCATAAGATAAACATTTTATGCTTGGTTTGTCCATGGAGATTCCATTCTCGTGGAGGCCATGCTTTGGATAAAAAATTGTAGAAGTTGAACTACAATTTACTTGTTACAACATTTCCATTTCCAATCTCTTGTGATACAGAATATCGATCATGAATTGGAGTAGTAAATATATTTGGGAATTTAAAGAGAAGATCTTTATCAACAGGCTCCTGCGGACCGTCAAATTTTGCTAGATAATAGATTCAAAAAATACGAAGGTTACAATTTCAAAGAACAATTTTCAGACAACATCTACATGGCCTTTTGTGTTTATTTCTCAAATTGCATTCAAATGAGCTCAATTGCATAAATTTTCATAGCAAATATTTTTGCCTGAATTTTTCACATATTCATATGAATAGCCCCCCCCCCCCTCCTCTTAATTGTAGAGATCATTGCATGACTAATGATTGAACTTTCAAAAATCACTGTTTTAGCACATTTTACTTGCATTGTATGGTTGTTATCCTGAGTTTATATTTCGTCACAAGTTAAATTTTTTCTTGGACGTTTCAGGCTATTACGGTATTAAAAAGATTCCATCATTCAAAAAAGAAAAAATATCGAAATATCGAACTACATCGAAAATATGAAAATGATGAAAATGAAAAAAACGTATCTTAGTCGATTAAAAAATTAAATAATAACTGTATACCCTGCCATGCATACTGGATCACCTGCAAGCATGATTCAAGCACTAATCGTTTTCCTAGGTAATGATATTGTAGCCTTATTGTTTTTTGCACTCTTTGTTTGAAAATGTAAATATTAATTGTTTTCTTTGATCTATATACTTGAAACTTTATCGATAAACCTGTATGTTTACGTCATAGATAAACCGTTATGATTTAGATATAAAAAACATTCCATGTTTATCACTCATCACGCACTGTTGAAAGTTGAATATAAGTATTTTTCAATTGGCAATATTTGTCGGAACTATTGATTGTGCAACAGCCTTGACACGTATCTTCATTGAACTCGTCCTCTCACATACCTAATATAACACTGAATACGTAACCAACAAAAATAGTCACAAGCATGCCAACTGCACCGTAGTAGTAAAAAGATAATCCATAGAATCTTGCCAAAGGATCCCTGAAAGAAAGTATAAAATGAACATCGACGTAGACCTAAATGCTTGCTTATTTTAGCTTATAAATGTCGACATCCACTTTTATCGAAATCAATTGTTTTTACATAGCTAGAGCAAAAAGACCGGACTTCTTACACTACTGACAAGATAAAATCATGCAAACAGTTTCAGGATCACTTAAATATATTGTTAGTAAAATACTTATCATGTTTGAACAATAGTTAGAGCACAGATTTATTAAAATGACGACACCAGTTTGTTACTTGTAAAACACTAACAAACACATGAGTGCTGAAGAAATGCCCCTACTGACTCTTCAATGGAATTCGAACGAAATGTTTACATAGGTTTAGCAACAATTTCTAAGCAAAAGCAACAAATCAAGATTAAGTTACCTGTAAGAAATGGTTGAATTCTTCAAAGAACTATTTATTCCCAACGTGGTGTTGGTCCCGTTTAAGAAACTGCACCCCTCAATTGATGTTGGAGGTTTATTTACGACAGGAGGATAGAATCTACTGCCAATGTATAACCATCCAACGACAATAAATGAGAAAATTGAACCAATGTACGCTCCCTAACAGCAAAAAAATGGAAATATGGAAATTCAAATTATATTTATGATAACAACGTTTGCTAAAGACTAGAGGAAGTCTATTTTTTTCAGTTTTTATCACATGCGATATAATATTTTCCATTTTTCTCATTAAAAAGATCGTCCAACTAAGTTACAGCTAACCTTCCATGTTGCTTTTCGCGATAGCATTCCCAGAGTAAATAACCCTAACAGTGGTCCGGCTGAGAGATTGAATAAACTTGCTGTAAGCTAAAGGACAGATGAATTTGGTCAAACTATGCTCAAATATCAAAAATGAGTGAAGTCCAATCAATAAAAACCATGTTTACATGTGGGAAAAATACCTTCGGAACACTAACTTCAGTAGCACAGTCTCTTATAAAAATAAGGTGTGCGTAAGGTTGACTAAACTTACCTGTATTAGCAACGGCACTTTCACAAAATTTAAGAAAATTGCTCCCAACGTAATCAAGATACCGTATCCAACACCTAAAGAAATTCGTATTTAATCTTTTTTACAATGACTGTCAGCAGACTTCGTAATCTAGGGATTTAGGATCAACATTAAACAAAAATACATGGAACGCAAATATTTGAAGCCAAATCTTATACCAGACATGCGAGATTTTACTCCAGAAATGCGTGTGTAGTGTTTTGATATTCTCTCGCGGAGTGATAATTCATTTAGTATACACATGCATATCTGGGGTAAAATCACTGCTTCAAAAAATTACAGGCTCCATGTATTTTAGTTCAACGAGGATCAAACTGATCAGCCATGCTGAAACTACAGTATGAACTTATTCAGACTTGTTATATAGAGATCTTATTTACCAATTAATCGAGAAATGGATGTAGCCTCTGAATCAGGAATATTCTTCCTAATTTTCTTCACTATGTCTTCCAAAATGACCACAGATAGAGAGTTAATACCAGAAGAAACTGTGCTGTAATGAGAAGAAAAAAAATAGCATTTTTACTAGATTAAGTATGCTCAAAAATATTCTTTCTCAAGAATGACATTGAAAACTTCCTTCTTCAATTCAACCCCTCTCTTTGCAAAATCCACGCAGTATGCAATGACTGAATAATCAATCTTGCGATAAAATCACGATAAAATATATAATTGCTATGTCCAAATGTCCAAAAGACATAAGAAATGGGGTACGTTACAACTTTTTTATGAAAAGAAAGGCGAAACGGACAAAACATTTATATGTGTGTTGCATTGCTTCACCTTAATCTTTCAAAAGAAAGCGTTAATTAAACCCCATATTACCTTAATGATCCACTAAAAAGAGAGGCTATAAAAAGCCCTGGGAGACCGGTGAGATGCCCAAGCTTATCGACAACAAAATATGGTAAGATCTAAAAAATATCGCATGAGTATTAAATGGCATGTTTAATAAAAAACCTTTTGTATGTTGGATTTTCGTTTTTTTTTCTAGTGGAATGTGTTTATGCTCTTCTTATACGTTGACTTTATGGCGTCTAAGTATCAGACAAGCAGTTATGTTTTAACTGTGTGAGTTCTTGATCGTGCTTGTATAATTTGAAGCTGTTCCAATATAAAATGAAATTTTTCATCTCTGCACAATATAGACATAAATAGTTATTGGCGCATGCCATTTCAAAGTATGGCCATAGTCTTAAGCCTCTCGTTCAAGCAATTTTACAGCCATGCTCTCTTTAAAACGATAAAATAATGCATATAACTGAATTTACTTGATCATTTCTGGTTATCTTTTTGTCCCTGAATAAGTCGCAATTATGATATACAGCAAAAATAACAAGTCCATCGAAACAGCAAACTATGGCAATGAATATCGTCGCAGGAATGCCCAAAAGTATTGCCCTATATTGAAACATAAACAACATGTTTTTAAATGGAGAAACTGTAAAATATAGGGAGTGTGAAAACTTAGTTAATAAGAAAACTTCGTAAAACCTGAACTATAATTAATCTGCCACTTATCTATCTTGAGTCGTGTATGTGTATATACAAAATATCGATTCACTTTAATAAGCAACCTGTCCACCACACCCCTTTACGTAGCTTATCAAATACTCTGAAGTACTGTATTCTCACTAACTTTTTTGCATCTCTCAATGATTTCGATGCCAGAAATCTTTGAACAGAAAGCTGACTGACTGACCACGGAAAAAGATAGCTGAAAACTCCTCCAACAATAACAGTCCAAAATGTTGAACGAACTGTGGGGTCTGGGTTGAAGCTTAAAAACAAAAGAAACGCTCGTATAGACTTATACAGTGTCTCTTTTGGCTCGATAAGTAATACATGTCAGTTAAATACACAGTGCGTTTTAAAGTGCACAATATGTGTCAACGTGCAGTAAATTACTCATCAAAAGTTACAAAGAAAAGATCAAACTTTCAGGGGGGACAGGTTACACGAAGCCAGGATAGCGTTATCCATTGGATAGCAAGTTGTTTTTGAATTTTTATAACACCGTTTAAAAAGAAAAAGTATAAGATTCGAAATGAACAATCACTGAAATAAAACATTGTTTCAAAGATTGCGAAATTTCTTTGTCGTAAGAAAACGTCTTTTCTACAAGTTTAAAAATTTTTGCTATCCAATAGATAACGCTATCCAGGCTTCGTGCAACCAGCCCCAGAAGAACTAGCTAATTAGCAGAGAATACGATGTTAGGAAAACAAATTAGCTACAACAGACCATTGATTGGTAAGATTGTTTGTTGAGATTAAAAGCAATTATCAGCTATCATATATTGTGCCTAACAGGAAAAAATGAAAAATAAAAAAAGCCCTAGTTTACTTATGAAAAATGAATTCAATTTCTTACTCAAATACATTTAATCTCTTCATTTCTTTGTTTATGCGCCAAACATTGCCAAAACCATTTACTTCAATCGTCCCAGTTACAAATACAGTGATCATACCCACAAGAATCACAAAACCTTGAAATACGTCAGTCCAAATAACGGCTCTGAACCCGCCCTACCAAATAGGAAATCTCTGTAAAAATGATGCAAATGTTTTTCGTTGTCAGTTGCACAGGCAAAGCCAGCCTGCAAATTTGCCTAGCCGTAAAATTTTGTGTTTCTCAATTTCAAAACAACAGAATTTTCAAGAAAAATAATATTGCTCTAAAATTTGCATACACGCACTTGTGGGTAGGCTACGTTGTACGGGTCTTTTTGTGTACACCAGCATTTCTGAAGATGTTTGCCCAATATTTCTACCCACTAACGATCAGTTTTCTATTTTGTGTTGGCAGATAAGTCATGAGAATCGTAATGTTTACACTTGAGACCATTAAAGGGAAAGTTGGCTCGACTTTCCCCGAAGGCAGGACTCGGCAATTGAAACAAAAGCACTGCTTTTGTTTTGAATTTATTTTACAGGACATTATAAATAAACACAATGAAACGCTTGCGCTGATTGGCCTAGAGCTGAGCTTGCATTAACCAGTGCAAAGTACATCTGAGCTCAACGAATCAAATCAATCATTGAAAGAGAATTTTCAAATCAATCACGAATACATTTTACAGGAAGCATTAAAATGTCTGTCTTTTTCGCCTTATTGTTATTTTATAAAAGAAATAAAAGATGTTTTTCGTGTTTGCACTGGCTTATGCAAATCTCGGAGACGTTTGTGAGAACTCTCGAGCATGTGCAACCCTCGACCTTCGGTCTCGGGCTGGCACTGATATGCTCTCGAGTTCTCCCAAAGGTCTCCTCGGTTTGCATAAGCCCGTGCAAAACAGTAAACATCTTTTATTTCTCAAATAATATATGCATCAGAGGAGGCTTAATCCGCTTACATTTTGAAACCCTTTTCAACCCCTGAACTTTTGAAGTTTTACCTTTTAGAAAACACTCTACTTACCAGACTAGTGTAAAAAACGCATATAAAACCATTTGCAACTACAGATGCGATGATGGGTAGATCTGAAACTAACAAAATAAACAAAAACATTTCGTTAGCAACAATCAAAATGCAAAGATTTAGTAATTTTGGGCACCTAGCTGCGCAGTGTCTATTTTTTTTTGTCAACCTTATTTAATAAGCATTTATATAACATACCTGCATCAAGAGCAACCGCAGGTGCAAACAAAGCAATTGAAAGATACATTGTCTAAAAGAAACAGAGATAGAAGAAATAGAAATGATATAGTTTTATGATTCTTGACTAATTTTTATTGTATAAAGGCAGTTTCATGTTTAGGTTTTAATCATACTTGTGAGTTGTCTACTCATGTATACAGTTTTGTGCGTGTTTCACTTCCTGTATCCTACAATGCATTGCGTTCCGCTTTGTTTATTTTTCTTAGTTGATTCTCTCTCTTGCCAAGAGATATATTGTGTTAAATAGATAAGCATCCTAATCCACATCAATCTTAAATAAACAACAGGTTATGGGCCCAGACACCCATTCCAACTAAGAAAATAAACATCAGTGATCATGGATGATAAAAGCTGGAGTGTGGATAAGCTCGCTACAGACAATTACTCAACTTGGAAATTCAAACTCAAACACCTTCTCATAGTAAAGGACTTGTTTGGATATGTAGATGGATCCATTACTCTGAGCAGTGAGGCCAGTGAAGCAGACAAGACCGCTTATAAAAAGAATCATAGCAAAGCTTTCTCCCACATAGTCTTATCAGTAAGCGACAATCTCATCTATTTGATCACTGAATGTGCTAATGCCCAAGCAGCATGGGACAGGTTGAGTGCTCATTTTGAGCGTGATACTCTTGCCAACAAACTGTTTCTCAAGAAACAATACTTTAGAACTGTTATGAAGGAAGGTACGTCTATGCAGGAACATCTCCGACATATGAAAGCCATAACAGACAAACTCGCAGCGATCAAAGCTAATATAAGCGAAGAGGATCAGGTCGTCACTCTGCTCGGTAGCCTCCCCGATAGCTACTCAACTGTCGTAACCGCTCTAGAGGCACGAGGTGACGATATATCGCTGGAGTTTGTGAATCAGACATTACTTAATGAGGAACAGAAGAGAGAACAAAGATCTCTGGCTTCGGCTGGCGTATCTGGTAGTGGCAGATCTCAAGCCAATTGTGACACTGCCCTGCTGTCGGCCAATAGCAGAGCTGATCAGCAAAATAGAGGATGCTATATATGTGGTTGTTTGGACCACTATCAGAATGTCTGTCCCAGAAAGAGCAGTAGTGGTAGGGGAAGTCGCGGATCTCGTGGTGGTAGAGGACGTAGAGGGCGTGACCGTGGCTATCAAAATAACTCTGACAGACCTCATCATGCTAAGATGTCACAACAGGATGATGGTGATAGCGGTGAGACGGCGTTTGCGGTGTCCGAGGGTAACGCCGAACCTCAACTCTGGCTAATCGACAGTGGAGCTACTAGTCATATGGCCAAAGAACGAGATGCTTTCTGTGACTACACGCCTACTGCACCAGAATCACCCGAGTATGTTATGATAGCCGATGGTTCCAAGATACAAGTGAGGGGGGAAAGGTAGTGTGAAACTTCAGGTCTGGGAGAGTCGAAATAAATCCAGATATGCTACTCTGTACAATGTGTTACATATCCCCGAACTAAGTGGAAATCTGTTCTCAGTAAAAAGCCGCCACTCAGAATGGCTACGTAATCCAATTCGGACATTCTCGATGCTGGGTCAAAAATCGTAGAAAGATGGTGTGTGCATCTGGCACCATGAGAGATAAACTTTACTACCTCGATGTTAGAACCGATGATCATTCTGCTAGGTGTGCGTCTAATACAGTTCTGTGGCACCAACGTCTCGCACATGCTAATATCAACAGTATCAAAAACATGACTCAGTGGTGTAACAATGGCTGTGATCTATCAGGTAACATTGGTGTGTGTGAAGCCTGTGTAAAAGGCAAGATGACTCGTCAACCATTTCATACTGATAACATGATCAAATCAACCAGGGTGCTCGAGTTAGTCCATTCAGACGTGTGTGGCCCTATGCAAACAGAATCTATAGGTGGTAGTAAATACATAGTGTCATTCATTGATGATTTCTCTCGATATGCTCATGTTTATTTTTTTGCATGATAAATCCAGTGTGTTTCAGGTCTTCAAAGAGTATGAGTCTATGGTTACTAATGCTACCGGTCAGACTATAGGTACGTTGAGAACTGACGGCGGAGGCGAGTATGTATCTCACGAGTTTGAGAGTTACCTGACTTCACGAGGTATTCAGCATCAGCTGACTGCACGATACTCCCCCGCAGCAGAACGGCTGTGCCGAACGTTATAATCGTACTATCTGTGAGGCAGCACGTTCACTCATCGCTCAATCCGGTCTTCCCAAAACGTTTTGGGCTGAAGCAGTAGCCACCTCTGTGTATCTGAGAAATCGTCTTCCCACGCGAGCTCACAGAGAGGTCATAACTCCTTATGAGAAATGGAACAATAAAGGCCTGACCTCGGACACGTAAGAATCTTCGGATGTCTAGCGTTCGCTCACGTTCCAGATCAGCTGCGACGAAAGCTGGATGAGAAAGCAGACAAGATGATATTCGTGGGATATAGCCTCAGATCCAAAGCGTATCGACTCTACAATCCGCTGACTAAGAAGATAGAGGTGCGCCGTGATGTAGTATTCGACGAAACTAAGCTAGGTATGCCCAAGTCTACTGTCAAACCTGAGGAAGCTCGCTCTGAGACTTTAGAAGTAGACCTACATGTAAACAACACTGATGAGTCGTCCCCACCTACCTCCGCACGTCCATCTCGTTCTACTCAACCCATCATCCGCTTCGGTATTGATGATCACACTGGTATGGGTCACGTTGCTTGCTCAGCCACTGATATCATAGAGCCACTGTCTTTCTCAGAGGCGCAGGAGAGTGTGAATCGTGACAAATGGATGACTGCTGCTGAAAGTGAGTATAAATCACTTATCGAGAACAAAACCTGGGAGTTAGTGTCGCTACCGTCTGATCGTACTGCTATAGGTTCGAAGTGGGTGTTTAAAGCAAAATACTCACCCGATGGTACTGTAGATAAGTTCAAAGCTCAACTAGTCGCCAAAGGATACGCACAACAAGCTGGTATAGATTACGACGACACATACTCACCAGTAGTCCACCGCTCTTCATTACGTGTGCTACTGGCTGATGCTGTGGAACGTGAAATGCTCATTCACCAGATGGATGTGCAAACAGCCTTCCTAAATGGCACACTCCCTGATGACGAACAGATTTATATGACACAACCAGAGAGGTTTGTAGTTCCAGGTAAGGAACACTTAGTTTGCAAGCTAAATCGTTCGCTATACGGACTAAAGCAATCGCCGAAATGTTGGAACACTGTGCTAGATGAGTTCCTAAAATCTTTAGGGTTTACTCGATCTACTGCAGATAGCTGTGCTTACGTGCGATGGAAGGATAACTCTAAGATGATGATCGCAGTGTACGTGGACGACATTTGTATTATGTCTGATACAGACACACAGATGACTGAGGTAAAGTCTGCTCTCTCAGCTCGCTTCAAAATGACAGATCTCGGCGAGCTACACCACTGCATAGGTATAGTCGTAAAGAGAGAAGACAACTCCTCCTTACACCTCAGCCAGACACCGTATATCCGACAACTACTGAAAAGATTCGACATGGAAAACTGTAATCCTGTATCCACCCCTGCAGCATGTGATGTCAAGTTAGAAGAGAATGATGGTAGCAAGCCAGTCGACGCTAAGCTCTATCAGTCTATCATAGGAAGTCTCCTATACGCTGCAGTGTCTACTCGTCCTGATATAGCGGAGACAGTGGGAGTTTTATCAAAGTTCAACTCCTACCCATCTCAGACTCACCTGACGGCCGCCAGGAGGGTTCTTCGCTACCTCAAAGGTACCCAGGATTTAAGTCTCGTATATCAAAAACAAGGAAAATCCCTATATGGATATACAGATGCTGATTACGCCAGTAGTGCCGACCGTCACTCGAAGTCTGGAGCAGTGTTCATACACGCTGGTGGACCGGTGAGCTGGTGTAGTAAGCGTCAGTCAATCATAGCCTTATCAACTGCCGAGTCCGAATATATAGCTCTTCGATGGTGTGGTGGAGTGTGTATGGTTACGTCAGTTACTGTCAGATATTGGAGCCCCACCATCGACAGCCACCACCATTCATGTTGACAATCAATCTGCTCTCGCGATAGCAAACAACGGTAAAACAAGCAAGCGTACAAAGCATGTAGATATTAAGTATCATTACACACGTGAAGCTATCGAAAAAGGTGACATCGCTACTCAATATTGCCAATCCGAAGAAAATATAGCAGACATTCTCACGAAATCTCTGCCCCGAGAGCGATTCGTTTCACTTAGAGACATGTTAGGGTTAGCTTAGTCTGACCGGCATAGGACTAGATTTTGGAATGTGTTATTCCTGTTTCATGTTTTGTTCACTTGGTTGTATTTTGTTTTTGGTTAAACATCAAACTGAGTGGGAGTATTGTATAAAGGCAGTTTCATGTTTAGGTTTTAATCATACTTGTGAGTTGTCTACTCATGTATACAGTTTTGTGTGTGTTTCACTTCCTGTATCCTACAATGCATTGCGTTCCGCTTTGTTTATTTTTCTTAGTTGATTCTCTCTCTTGCCAAGAGATATATTGTGTTAAATAGATAAGCATCCTAATCCACATCAATCTTAAATAAACAACAATTTTTAAGAGTTAAAAGTTATGCTCCAAGGTAAACAACTAGCTATTTTTTACAAAATTAGATTTTACATGAAGAAAAATCTCAAGCATATGTTGTTGTAAATTGCCATGTCAAGTTATGTAACGTGTGATTGTGTTAGATTATAACTGATATTATTAAATTGATAGAAAATACGTAGATAGTTAAAAATTGTGGTTCCAGTGGAAATCCTGTACGTAAAACTAAAATACTATAGTCATGTCAAGGGAACACTTTCTCACCGCAATGCGTCATTGTGGTATGATGTAGGTAAAAAAAAAATCCAGAAGCGGAATGGTAAAGTTGCAAGTCATGTAAACGCCTAAAACCACCTCCTCATAATTATACATAAATAGAGCTCGTAAACGTTGGTTCAGGAGTTCGAAAAAGTTGACGTTATTGGTGAATGAATTGGTCATACATATTTGATAAATTAACAGTCGTATTGGAGAAGGCAATAAAGTTCGAAAACTCAGTTTAAGGATTGACGGTTGTCCGTAATCTTAACGATATCAATTCAAATATTCCGTATCGCAAAGAACCAACGCTTGGAACTCCGTAACGTAAAAATCGTGCACAACCACTGTAAATATCCTATCAAAGTGTTAATTATAATCGTCAAAATACGGTCCCATCGTTCGAGAGAAGTTTTGAGAACAGTGAACCAGCACTTCGTACAGATTGTGCAAAATATATTGTAGCTATACTTACATAGGTCATGATGAATAAGATCGAACCCATAAACCGTATCCCAGGAGAAAAACGTCTTTCAAGATACTACATTAAACAAAAAACCCGATGGTTGGAATGTAATGCACAAAGAACGAACATATTATTAAGTATTTTTTAAAGTAGAAAGAATAATCGAAATAAATCGTCAGAACTTCTGATTTCCTTAAATCGTTTCTAATTTTAAGATCGACGTAATTTGTTGCGTCAGTTTTACCGTCAATGTTTGTAAAAACAATTGTTTTGGGAAAATTACCTCATTTGTACTTAAAATTTTCATCTTATAAAAAACAGGAACGTAGAGGAATGCAGATATTGAAATGAGAATGGTAAACGCAAAGGAAATCAAGATGTAAGACAATCCATAGGTGTAAACTTCACTTGGAATTCCAAGAATTGCAACAGCTGATAGAAAGGACACAAGAAGTGAGATGGCGATAGGAAACGTTGAAATACTTTGATTTGCCAATAGGAACTCAGACGTTGTCTGTTGATTCTTTCTACGGATAGCATGGTAGACACCAATTGCTCCACTAACACACAACATCAACGAAAATATGACATAGTCTGCCACAGTCAAGGCGCTCATCGCGACGCTATTTCCTGCAAAGTGAAGAAAAAGCTGACATGGATGAACTTTGAATCTTGTTTTTATAACTAAAATACTTGCTTCAGAAGCACCAAGAGAAAACTTCTTATTTAGATGAAATAGAGAATTTGGGAAAAGTGGGGGGAAGGGGAGGGGGGGTGATGGAGGTGGCGTTACGGGATTTTCTGTAGAAGGACTGTTTTTGTTGTTGTTGAGTGACGTTTCGACAACATTAGCGGTAGTCATCTTCAGAGTCCAATGAGGAGTAAACGTCAGGTTAGCCGTATTTGTTACATACACGTGTTTCAATAATTAATTTTGAATTGCCTTTTACCTGCTGCAATCCATTCATAACAAAGATGTAAAAACAAAATTATAATTAAGTAATTTCTAAAATAGCCCCGTACCAAAGTTGCGCGAACTGTCGGGGCGAGTAGCAAATCGACTTTCCGTGTTATTATCTATTCAACGTATACAAGGCCAAAGTCTAACAATCGAAAAAATGTTGAGGTTTGACTTACTTTGTTCAGAAACACATTGTGTCTAAACTATAAAACCAGCTACTACAGCGCTTTTTGATTTTTATCTTCTACTAACTCACAGTAAGTAAAATGAAGACAGTCGTGTTGTGCAATCATTTATTGCACTTGCAATCTCGTATTTTAAATATTTATTGCATACGTCAAAGTTTATGGCTTAGTGCATTTACGTTAACCAATCAAATCGCGTTAAGTTTGCCTTGTATATGATATGAAATGAAATCAAGACGGAAGGTATTTATATTCAATAACTTTTAACCATAAATGTCAATTAAGGTTATGAATAATACAAAAGTCAATAACATTTTCATATAAATAATAAATAAACACTAGGCGTCTTATAAGGTAGTTCATCACTTAAAATATGTGATCATAAATAATCTTTTTGAATATTCTTAACAATTTCTAGGACCTGTGTAGCCAGCATTTTCCATCAAGGAAGGCCAGGTAAAAAGGAAAGGGGCATTGCTGTCGATTAAAGAATGTTATATCAGTAAAATAAGATATTCAAGAGGGAAATGAATTTTGCTATTTGAAGCATGGCCTCAGCGCCTTCCCTGATCCTACGTCCTTGCTTACGACATGTGAAAATATAAAGAAGATCTTTAAATCATAAAGCATTTTGAGATGTATATCATTTAAGTAAGTGAAGCAAAGACTGATGATAGATAACGCGGTATATCGGAAACCAATAAAGATGTTAATTTCATTAAAAACACTTAAAACAGAGGATGTATTTGCAAGGAACCTGGAAAAACGTGACAAGCATGACTGCTACAGAAACCAACGCAATTTTTTGTATTACAGCAACCATTTGAAACCAAATTGAACATATATTCAACTAGTTCAACTAGAAAATTCTATAGGTAAAGGCGTTATAATAAAGGCCGTCGGATGAGGATCTCTATATTTCAGCTTGGCTGCATTCATCCAGAAACTTGCAATTTCTTTCATGGAGTCATGGAGAATAATGTAAAGAAAAGTAAACAAGGTCACCCCGAGCGATTACTGTGCAATAAGCAGAAATTTACATTTAATTGTTGATGACGTCATCGATAGCTATAAAAAACAAAAAATTGCAAACTCGAAAATTTTCACTGCCACTAGATAGACAAGCATGATGAGTAAAAAGTGTATTACACCGTTTACATTCAATCACTTGTTAACGAAGAATGTTTTACTCAAGGATGCTTACTCAGCATTTTAATGTCTTATCTTTTACCACAAGCACATCTGCGAATCCCAATGATTTTATCAGATATCATCTTAATTATAAAAATATTTCCCGATAGCCAGTTTTGCAATCATTTTCAGCCGATGTTATAATAGAGTAAATGAAACAATTTTGTATGAGTCAACGCCGACTGATTATTTAAACGTGGTGACAAATAGACAGCATTGCACAGGTTAAGCATTCAAATTTTCTACACACTTTCTTAGCACGATAAAGAAATCAGGATTGGATTTTCTCCAATTGCTGTTTTTACACAAATCTCTGCCACCAAGCTCTGCTACTCAGTATATTATTGATTCCTTTAAAAATGATTTGACTAACTACCATGTTATAAAATCGTGCGAAAATGATCGCGAATCTGGTCATCGGCTGATTTTTTCTAAAATTAAGACGATATCTGATAAAATAAATGGGATTGGCAGGTCTGCTGCCTGCGGTAAAATACAAGACATTAAAATGTTGAGTCAGCATCTTTGTAAAAATTATTCGTCGTGACCTCGTTAACAAGTGGTTGAAAGTAAAAGGAGTAGTACACTTTTTTACTCCTATCATGCTTGTCTATCTAGTGTAGTAAGAATTTTGCGATTTGTTTGTTTTTTATAGCTGTCGAGCTATAGATGACGTCATCAACAATAAAACGCGAATTTCTGCTTATTGTGCACACTTTGATTATTTTGTTTGCATTATTCTTTACGTTCATATGAAAGAAATTAATATGTGTGTAGATGTCTAGATGTGTGCAACGAAAGTCGATTTCTAAAGACATTTAAACCTTCTGCATTGCAGCCCAATACAGATAACAATTCATTAAAGGTATAGTTATTGCTAGAAAAATTTTGTTGAAAGTAATGATAGTGATATTTCTTGCTGCTTCATGCGTTCCATTCATTTATATGATAGAAAACATACTCAAACTTTATCAAATTATTCAAGAAAACATTTTCCTTTTCTTACTTCTAGAAAATCAGCAAATGAAAATGAAATATTTGCTAATGAATTCGGTGCACAAACTCAAATGGATGAAAACTTCAAACAAAAGCCAAGATTAACTTGTGATATATGAAAAGACTTCATATACTAGCAGTAACTAATGGTATAGAGCAAATAAATTTAATTTTATATGATTAATGTCATTTATGCCATGTTAAGAATATGAGTGGAACCAAGATTTCTGCAAGCTATTTTACGCTGAGAAAATTTGTGAAATGGGAAAAAGCATAAAAATAGAATAAAGTGAGTTAAATGCGAAATGATTCAAGAAGTAATTTGCATGAAAAATGAAAAATTGACCATCAAATGCAGTCATAGAAAGAACTAAAACAAGTAAACTATATAAAAAAATATTTACTGATAAAGGAGAATGTACGAAGGTGAAGTGTTTGAAGTATATTGGATTAGTATAATTGGATTAAAAGTTGACAAAGGAGAATGCAAGAAGGAAAACAGGCTTCTCATATCACATGTTGATGATAAAACATGAGTTTATAAAAAGAAACTATCGGCTTAATTCAATTATGTGACTTAGATTTTACAAATTCAATTTTTTGTCTTATCTTTAAACTTCTTATCTTGTTACTTTGTATAGTAGAGTTTAATGTAGGTTTTTTAACTTATTGCGGAAGTACATGATGTAATTAGTGATATAATTCAATTTATATTATAAAGATGCTAGATATGATGAATTTTACTTATATTAACGCTCTTTTAATTTTATAGCAATATAGTAAGCGTCTGACTAAGGATTTCCTCATATTCGCACAAAGAGGATTTCCTTAAGTGTGAAGCGAATCGTCACAATTTAAGAAGATCAAATCTGAGAACTAGACGTGTCGACAAAAAGTTAGCAGCATAAATGAGCAAATGCTAACAAGTTGTAAGGAAATGCTATTACAAAAATCCAGTTGCGAAACCGTAACAGAAAACAAAAATGAACAAAAGATGATACAACAAAAGATGATACAACAAAAGATGCTCAATCATGAAACCGAGGAGTGGGGGATATAAGTAATACATATAGTTCTTTGATGTAAATGTAAGTAAATTATAAGGGCTGCATAAGAAGCGCATATTTTGACTAGTAGGTCAGCAATGTTGGTGACCTGATACAAAACAGCGTTTTATCAATATTATTTTTGGCACAAGCCAACGTGGGCGACCTTAATCGCTTGGTAAATCCCAAGATATCGATTGCAGGTTAAGAGTTCTCAAAGAGGCAAATTATAAAAAAATAATTTTGTTACATTCCATTGTGTCTAGCGTTCCCTCTTTCGAAACAACAAATTCCTCTCATCGGTTGCCTTTTTACTTAAAATTTTCATCATTTTCCTAAAAGTTGTAAATTTCACTTGCTTGTCTTGTTTGAATTTTGGACTGTTGTATTTTCTTTATAGTTTACAAATAACACCATATTTCATTTTTGATTTTCTTTTTTTCACTCAAATATTTCCTCACAGAGGAATATCCTACGAATTGGAAACCTTTTTTGTGTGTATAATCAATTGCTGAAAGTGTGATTAGACCAATGAGAATCTAGTGCCACTTTTCTGGAGCAATTTTATGTATTTGCAATGAAATTTCATTACCTGTCGAAGATTTGTTGCAGATAATCAATATGGATTGAATTAAATCATTCGGTGAAATGTGAACTGAGAACACGCAATTGTAATAGAATTATAATGAAATCAATAGCAACTTCACTGCGGGATAAAGTTACTATCAGATTCCAATAAATAGCCCTCAAGCTGCTTGTAAAGTTGCAGCATCCTTTCTATTTGCAGCAACTAGATATACGTAGTCTTTATGAAAACATTCATTAATTGCGCACCGCAGGTTTCCATATACTCCTATATTGAGTATCTTCTAAATGATATACATGACTTTCATAGCAATGGCAAAAAAATTATATTTGTATGAGGTGTAATAATTACTGAAGTTTCAAAATTAAAGCACAGCCGGCAGTTTGAAATAACGCCATTTTAAGCATGCATGTGTATAGAAGAGTGTCTTACCAGAGACACATTTTCCATAGTGTTTCCTATTCAGCGTTACGCTCATCACAAACATCTAATTAAGTTACCTTGTAATTACTCTAAAAGCAAAACCCAAAAAATGAACAAGTACCATTGAAATTTTGACGCAGTAAATTGTTGTTTTAAATTAAGGGGAAACATTCATTTTTAGTTTTGCATAGTCCCGTAGGGGGGCGAACAGCTGGATAGCAACGCCACTAAATGCACCCATAATAAGATGTTACAATACGTTATTTTTAGCATGTAGACGAAAACAACGTATATTTAAGGATTAGTTTTCTTAAGTTTGTAAATTATTTATGTATATGCCTTCCACAATAAACTTTGCAACTTACAAGAGTATTTTAAATTTTCCAACCCAAGTTGGCTCCTTTGTCTTGGTCAGGTATTTTGGCTCATCCTCAATCGACAATTGATAGAATGTGAGCTATGTATTTGATGATTTTAAATATTTGGTGTGGAATTTAACCTTATCATTCTAATTACACATTGCAATCTCTGAATGAAAGACTAAGACGGATAGGTAGAATTAAGGATTAAGTGCAGAAATGAGAAGATTAGACAGCTTTATTTGCAAAAAATAGTTTTGTAACTTATGGCAACATACTTATTATGACGACAACGTTGTCGTTCCAGTTTCGTAGAGGTCAGTGCAACCAACATTGTAATCAGGGTATTTTAAGATAGATATATCATCTAAAAGAATGTGAATTTCGTTGGTAGTCAGCGTTGTTGAACATTTTTAGGTAAAATTTATCTGTTATTCATAAAATCTTCTTAAAAATAAACATTTTTAAATAAGTGCTTAACCGATAATGACAGAGCGATTGCAACTGATGATTGCAAACATATTGCATTTTTAATAACACACGAAAGAATATAATTAAAGCATTTTGCATTTCAGTGACTCAGCTTCAAACTATTTTATGACATAAATGTAAGAAATGTATCAGCATTAGCGAAATTACTCTAAGTTAAATAGTTTTATCTAAATAATGAACGATAAAATCAATTTATTTTCATCCTAGAAAGTAACGCATTACGTTTTTTTGCAAATTAAAAAAAATACATAGGGTTAAAAAATTGCAGAATTTCATTTTGGATGTATTCGATCGTCGTAAGTTCGATTAGAAGGATTTTTGCGGGAAATTCTTTACCATCGGCGCAAATGTATTTTCAATTTAATTGAGCTGCTATAATTTGTTTTGAGTTTTGACTTATGCACCCCATAGTCACGTTTTGAGAATGGGAAGCGATTATGTAAACGATGGATTTGCCTTTCCAAACTTTATTGCCTTTTAATTAGCTTTTCCACCGATGAAATTTCTCATACCGAAACTCAAGTAAATATCAAGGAACAATTGTGAGAATAAAACAGGAAGAAAAATACAGCTTGCAATTCCTATGCAGTGTAAGAGCAGTCTTTTGCTTTATTTTGAAACTTGATCTGTAAAACATGTGCAGATCTTTACACGTTGTGTCTAATGGTTTGTTTACTTATTATTATGATGAAAAATGACAGTATGAGGAATGAATGGCTTTCAAAACAAAATACTGAAAATAGTTATGGTCAAAACGCGCACAGGAAGAGGATATAACGATATTTGAACTTGCTCTGCATAGAGAGCGCAAATTTGGAAAACACCGGTTGGTCGTTTCAGTCGTGAGTGTTTGTATTTTTCAATAATTGTTTGATTGGAAAACAAAAATTCACTGCAAATGCATGTGAACCTTTGCTTTGACAACTATTTCTTGGTTATGTGTACAATGTTGATTTCACGTGTTGCAAACTCGACTTATTAACTTCTCTCAACTTATAAATAGCTTTGCTGCATTTGTACAATTCTATGAGATCTTTTACATTGCCAGTGTTTTTCAAGAAGCCGGGTAAAAGAATTTACCGACGGCACGCGATAGTTAAGCGTATATATTCGTATTAATAAAGGTCGAATTAATCAAATGATTGGCAAAGTGAACAAGGACTATTGACGAAAGTTATCAATGAATTGACACAGAGGAACGATTTCCGAGATTATTCAATACATGTTGCTGCCGATTGTGATGTGAGCATGCTGTTTTCAATCTGGCAGCGCTGTCTGAACAAATACGCAAACGAAATGCTTTCATTCACAAATGGCATTTACTTGCTCCATTTTAACTTAACTTTCTTTTGTTTTACCTAAGTCTTCAAAATATTTTTGCTATTTTAATAAAACATCCAAACAAGGAATTTATAATTGCGTGCGTCTGCGTAATTTTAAATTTTTTTGCCTCGAGAATTTCCGTTCCAGAACACCAGAAACCATGGCCTGATTGCCACATGTTCCTTCATTATGAATATTTCAATGACTGATAAATAACATGACCATGTTTGTATTTTCTATTGTGTTTGAACGCATATAATTGTACAAACCTTTACTAAAACATATGAACTAAACAATGTAGTTTGTGCTGTTTCTCAGACTTACCAGCATGGCCTCATAACATTGCCATTGACATTTCCTTTGTTTGAGGAAGAATTTCAGCATCAAGCAACAACCGCATACATATATTGTTTACTATTAGAAAAGCATTTACTTCGAGTTCGGAAAAAATTAGAAATATTTTCATGCATATTGGACTTTTAAGGTACTTACTTCAAAAATCGTCCAGTATGTCGATTCTTTTGTTTCCGCTGCTTGATGATGAGCTTCACCGTTTGGCTATGCTGCTTGTGGTCGATCTGAAGTGTGAATAACTGAACCTTGTACGTCAATGTGACATAGATTGCCCTTTGCATTGCCATTGCATTATACAAGATCGTTGAGATGATTAGGTGCACGTGATTAAACGTGGATGCAAATAGTGGATGCAAAGTACATAGAATGGGCAAATTACACTTTCTCAGATAAGTGAAATTCACTTTTTAGTTAATTTTTAAAAACACTGCTCTTAGTCGACAGCTTTGAAATTCAGAGCATGTAATCATTGAGGCAAAGTATTCTGACGTTTTCTGAGGATGCAGATGACAGCAGGATTTATTTTTTCACAGTAAAGCTATAAGACTGGTTTTGATGGAAGTGCTCTACGCTTCAAAATTTCACACATAAAAACTCTCTTCTAAGTGTACTTCAATAACTTTAAACAAATAAAAAAGTAAAGTTTCGCATTATTACCTGTAACAATCTTGTCCGTCTTCCGCACGTAATGCATCCGCATCTGCAATTGATCTACACGTAATTATGAGCGTAATTCTATACTTGTAGTATGTAAAATGAAGTCATTCACAAAATACAGGTCATCAGATTCACAGCATGGTTCAAGGCGTAATTGCTGTAACCCACAAGGCAAGATTACTTTATCAAGTCTTCATTACTTAAGTTTTGACGCACTAAAGGATTATTTTTATAAAAATTACTACAAATATCAACGAACACGACGTGTGATGAGCTCATTTTCGAATTCCATTCTCGTGTGAATTACGAGCTCAATTTGTGATATCGTATCCACGAAATGAGTTTCACAAAAATGCATACTCATGTTTTTACATGTTATGTTACATCAATAAATTATCAAAATTAGACAAAAATCTCATTATGAGTACTATACACCCTTGAAATATCGTATTTTATCAAGGGAAAATGCTTTTGCGCATTGCACAGTCCCTTCTCGAAATTGCGTGAGTATTCATAAATCTCAGTTTTGTTAATGTAAAAGGGAAATTAGCTTTGCGTACATTTCATCAATTCTTGATAAAATACTCAGACAACAAAACCATGTTTTTAATTAAAATAGTGAGATACACGATACGCCGTATTATCGTTCAATCTTTTAACGAAGGAAGGACTAGAAGCTGGTGATTACAATGTTCGATCTTTTTATTTATTAATTATCTATAAAATAGCCGCGCGTAGATATGGAGCTTTTTCAAAATCTGATCTTTTTTGATTATTGCTATCATAAAAATTTGTGAACCTTCCCGAAAAGCTTTCAGAATTTATTATAATAAATACTATTAATACTATAATTTATAAAAAGACTGAGCAGGAAGAAAGGAAATACAAGAGCAAAGCACTGCGCGAAAGGTGGGTGGTGAAAAGTTGTCACAAGCTGGATAGTCATGTTGTGTTATGTAAAACAATAGATTTATAAATAAATAGATAATGCACGAAAGATATGAAATTCACAAAGCACGAAAAAAAAGCAAGCAGGCTATGCCACTCGCTATTCTCAAAACAGACTCCATGAATAGAGCACTGAGAACAGATAACAATAAATAAGCCAACACCACATATGACGGCAACCCTTATTATATATATATACTTAGTGAATTTTATAGTGCATCTACACTGCATTAATATGCCTCTAGATTAGTAGAATGATGCATTTTTAAAAGATTTTTCTTACCTCCACACCTTCATATACTTGTTTATGTATTAACCTCCAATTGCAAGAATGAACTCTCGTTGACCTTTAAACAGATAAATGAAACGTCTTAGTCTTTTTGATATGCAAGTACGTCCTTTATTTAAAGCTTATTCTGGCTAGTCTGTTTGAACAATGGGGTCAACATAAAAAAGTAGGCACTGAAATTCTTCCTCTTTCACGATGAAAGATTATATTGATATGTGGGCGTGTACTAATAGCTGTACAATAAAAACAATTATATTAATATTTAATCAACGAGCGAACATGCGGCAAGTGAATTTGGAGTTCTTGACTTAGTTTATTAAACTAAAAATCCTGAACAGCGCTTCAAATTTCAAATTCTAGTCTAGGTTTATTGTTAGCTTAATTTAAAATCGAACATAGACTGGGTTTTATAATAAAAGATTCTCTCAAATCTAACTGCCAGTTCAGCATAGTCAGCACTACACAATAGTCAATACAGATAACTTGCTAAAATTGGTTTACTTAGTTTGATGTCTTAAATCGACTACGTCAAAGATGTATTAATCTATTACAAAGAGCAGGCCGACGTTTGGCCTACTCTGGAAACGTCTGGTCGAATTTGTAACGATAAAGTTATGGCACATGGAGTTGCTATGATTGAGTTGCTATAAATTTAATTAACCGTCGAACTATCGTCATTTCATTGCTTTCTGTCACGACAGTTTCAAACAATCGATCAGTCAATTAATGTTTACTCAGATATTGAACAAAATGCTACAAAGACCTACACTACACATGTGTGTTTGGTATTTTCTTCTTTAAACTAGGTACTCTCATCTTCGCCCACTGTTGAAAAAATACACAATGAGAATAATGAACGAACTTACAGATTCAACTTTTCTTTTCTTAGAAATGTTTCAAAGAATCAGCAATAAGTAAATAGTTCTCCTTCAACCTTCTTGTAACGTAAGAATAATGAATAAATCATATCTTTGTACAAAGAGTAACATAATTTCTCACAAAAATCACCGCAGTGAAAGTTGGAGGTATATTTTAGTTACAATTAGTACATGTGACGCTAGTGCCTTGAAATAACAAACCCGATCGAAAGCTTTAGATGATTTACAAGTATTGGATCAAATAGCGGCCGCAATTTAAAGTCTTGAGATAATTAATTAAAGGCATGTCAGAATATTTATAAAAGAAAATACGAGAAATCTAAAGCGAATATCATACTTCTATACGTCTGTTTTAATAAACAACACGAGCAGCTGTGACTGTAGTGACTGATACCCACACAATTTAGCGATATTAATTATGCTTTACCTCCACAAATGTCATTTGATGGATGCTTATAAGTTATAACAGAACGGGAATTTTAATCATAGTTGGTGAAAATCAAACTGTCATTAGGCCAAAATGATTTTTGATATTGCACAAGTATTTTATGCAATTGCCAAGTTCTCTAGAAGGAATGCACTGAGCATTTTTAACTAGAATATCCAAAATAGCTTTCTAAAAAGTAGTTGCACTTCTCTAAAATAATTCTCAGTTTTATTACGCAGCATACATGAGCAGCTGTTATTGAAGTAGCTTACAATGAAACAATCAAGTAATGTTATGACGATTTACGTCCACAAAAGTCATCCGATAGATGCTAAAAAGCATGGGAATTTTAAATTTGTTGATTAAAATCATAATTAAGGGAAACGATTTTCGAATTTGATACAGCCAAAGTATTCCATGCGATTGCCAACTTTTCAAGAATGGTTGCACTCTCCATTTTTAACTTGAATAGCCAAAATATTTTTCCCAGTAAAAAGAGGTTGGCACTTCTCTAAAATGGTTTGTTATGGATTATCATTTTCATCAATATAAATTTTGTTATGTCGTTGCCAACTAAAAACAACAATTTCAAAGTTCAGTGACACAGAAAAATCATGACGCCCTCTCTATCACAATGATCACCCACTGGCCAAAGGATACTCAACGCTGGCATGTGCTTCATCACGCTGACAGCAAGGCGAGTCAGCATTTTTAGCACATTTTATACTATATGCAGTTTTCGAATGAAATGGCTGATTGAAAATTCAATGAATCAATTCAACCTAATCATTTAGAATTTATTTGCTTCAACTTGTTAGAGCTTGTAGTTCAAGAATACAATCATTGTATTAATCGTAATTAAACTCTCTTCAATTAATGGCTGTCATGAAATTGCGTCAGTTTGCATTTTCTCTTTTCCAAGGCTGAATATTTTTCAATTCTGCTGAATGAAAAAGGTTAATAGCATGAATTCTTTGGTGAGTCCTTATAGAAACCACATTACTTCGAGGGCAAGTCTACCAAGTCAAAAATCCTCTTGTTCGACAGAATCGACTGTTGCGGCGTATCGTCAATTCTTCAGGCACAAATAACTAAATCTTTCGCACTATTGTTCAAAATCACCAAACTCGTTATTACAAGCTTTAGCTCATTTCTACCAAGCAATTTATGTCGTTGAGTGATCGTCCTTCCCTCGCATCGGGAAATTTCTTGTCATAATAGAAAGTTTTCAGTTTTTGCGTTTACGGCAAATGGCAAACTTCAACTACCCGCTTGCCGTCGAAGTTTGCCGTTTCAAAAAAATTTCAATTCAGTTTGGCGTTTTGCATTTGTATTTTACAGTTTGGATTGTAATGAGCTCAATTTCATGTTTCGTTAAAAGTTTATCGGTGAAAAAGACACATTCATGATTTAAACTCTCATAAAAGAATTACATTGAGCCATAAACGTCCGTTTGTGTTAAAGCTTACGGTGCATCACCTACCGCAAGAAAGGCCTCTTGCCGTTAAAACCCATACCGCAAACCACAACAACCACAAAGCCATGATGGCGCGACCATTTTCGGTTTGCCGTTTGCCGTTAACGCCAAACTAAAAGCCCTGTTCACATGAGACCGGAACGAACTCAAACCGGTACCAGCTGGTGTCAGTTATAGTATAATTTATAGTAGATGTTTACATGAAACCGGTACGAAAATAACTCAGAGCGTTCTGAAGTCGTACCCAGAGACCTACATCCAATGATATATAACCAATCCTCCAGATATCTAACAGCCGTTGTCACGGTGAGGCAAATTTCTTCACGGGCGCCATCTTGAAAGGTGGCAAAAAGGCGAGACTCTTAATAAAGTCTAAGTAAAATGTAAGTTTAAATGAAGAATTCTGTCGAAAATTTTAAAAGCAAACCTAAACTATCACCTCCGCACTTATGTATAAACATAGGAGAAGCATATTTTAGACCTAAATCTCGTCAGGTTTAATAAAGCATGGTTAAATCGTGCGCAACTTATATGAATGTGCAACTCACTTTTCAAAGGTGAGCAACGCATCTTTCCATAAATTTTTCTAAAGCCTGGTAAGAAATTGATCATTATCACTACAGAATTTTGTTAATAAGTTTTTGAAGAGGCACATTATTATGCAAAGGCCTAAGATGAATGTAGAACAGCCTAAAATTGCAGAACAAAAATTTAGCAGCTTACAGCTGTTTTAAATGTGATAAAACGCATGCCTTTCTGATTAACCTACTTTAAGTAATATAAGGGCAAAAATAAAGTTTTAAAAGTATTGCTATCAGGCTATTAGACTCACCAAACACAAGAGTTACTTTGATTCAATATTTTGACCACTCTTTCTACAAGGTCACTCCACAGAGGATAAGTGAAACATACATATTGTTCTTTACTTTGGAAGAGTAAAATTCTGAAATTCCTATGTTTAAATATAGAAGGACAAAAATTTTTTGGTCTTATAGAAGATGCACTAAGCATTAAAGGGTTTGCTCACTTTCTTCTAACAAAGGATCTTGTCTCCATTACATAACAATGTCCCAAAATCATCTTGAGTTGCTGCTTGCATGCATTGATTACATAAAGAATAACTTCAAAAATAAATCAGATATTTTTTATTTTAAATCAACATTATAAACTTTTATCAAAGGACACCGAGTGAATTAGTAAATTAGTATGTACAGATCACTGAGATCAGAATCATCACTGGATTTGTTGTAGAGAAATATAAATACAGGATCACTTTTTCAATCAATGTGCCAGAACTCTTTCACTCTCCTTTCATGGTTTGACAAAGACAACTTTTATCTATGAATGGAGAACATTTGGTGAATTTGCAGATCAAATATTTGATTATTTGGTAAAGCTTGCAGAGCAATGCAAGGCTACTAGACTAGACTTTGTTGCGGACAGATATCCAGCAATAAGTATCAAGAATTCAGAAAGGTCCAAAAGGGCTGCTCAAGGCGTTCAAAGAGGACACATCCTAAGCAAAGAACAGAATATTCCAAAAGAGTGGAAAAAATACTTAAACTCTGGAGAGAACAAAGAGTTATTGATAGCATTTCTCTGTGATTACTGGAGAAATTACCCTTCCTCGTATCTAAGACACCCGCACTGCATGTACGTCACCACAACAGAGAAATGCTTGTTATTTAAATCTGGTATCTTATATGAAAACAGCGTTCTTGCACAAGAAGTACCTCGACTGGTGTGTGACCACGAGGAAGCAGATACGCGATTACTTTTTCACTTCAAGGATGCCGCCGCCACTCATCAACGCATTATCATCAAAACACCAGACACAGATGTGTTTGTACTTTGTGTTGTAATGCAAAAGATCGTCAATAAAGAACTTCTCGTGATGACCGGGACAGGCAACAATTTTCACCTGATCGATTTTCCACCATATCGACTTTACTTGGTGAAGAGTTAAGCTCGTGTTTGCCAGGATTTCATGCTTTCTCTGGTATACTTGATAATTTCCATAAAATGTAGAACTGCTATGTTAAAATGATTTAATGGATTTCAATTCTTTTTATCATTTTCCCTTCATTTTTTACACGTTGTGATTCCACTAGCACTTTTCTAGGTAAAGGTAAAGTAAAGCCATGGAGGTATTGCAAATGCATCCGAAGTTTGTAGAGAGTTTTTGTCAGTTGGAAAGATTGAATGAAGTTCCCGAGGAGCTTTTTATGTCACTGGGTACATTTGCTTGTCTACTTGGCGACAAAACATCAACAACTGTTGACGAGTGCAGATACCATCTTTTTAATTCAGGCAAGTATTCTGACAATGTTCTTCACCAAATTATGATAGCCTTCGTTAAAATGTTAAAAGGGCTAACTTTCAGTCGTTCCCTTGGAATTGATGCTTATCAGCTCAATTAAAACTTCCTACTCCAGCTGGAAATTGATGGAAATTGACTGATGGCCAACTAGAGATTGTGTGAATGACTCGCCCCTCTGCCCCAGAGTCCTTTCTTGAACACAACAAATGTAAATGTCTAAAAGGCTGTAAGACAAATCACTGCAGTTGCTTAAAATATGGTCTTCCGTGCACTGGTTTGTGTGGTTGCACAGGCTGTCATAATTGTCAGCTATAAGAACATGATCTTCTGGAAACTGATGACCCGTTTTCTAATTTCACTTTTTCTGAAGGCGATCAAGAAACTAGCTAGGACTTTTTTCATGACGATTGGTAGTTTTTATCGTGAAATGTGATTTTTGATCGAAGTTTATAAAAAGGGAGTACTAAAGAGTTCTTTGCCTGGAAACATTTTACTGTTGAAAAAAGATTCAAGTTCATTGGTTAAGTCGGAATTTATGTTAAGGAAGCACTTTCTCCTATGTTTACAACCACTGCATGTTAAACAATGTAGGTGAAATGTTAAAAGTTCAAGTTTTGTTTTATTGACAAGAAGCAAACAGATAAACACTCGTGCTAAGCAAAAAAAAAATGCGTAATAAAAACCTGGAACTAGTACATATAAATGTTTTAACATGAAGCTTCCCGAAAACAAAATGGCGGATTTAGATTTCTACAGAGTGAAAATTCAGGATTTTCGATTGCAAAATACAAAAAAACTGCGGGTTTGTGCCAGTGAGAATAAGTGGATTCGGATTCAGCATATAAAAATCTACAGAAACATGTGAGAAGAATTTAGTGCCCGAGTGAGGGCAACAAAATACTGCTTTTTTGATGTACAGAATACGGACTATTGTGTCCTATTTAATAATAACAGTAATTATATATCTTGTGACATTTTGGTCATAATTAGCTAGGATATTTGGTAGTGTTGTTAAATTTTGTATTTTGATCAAAAGTTTGCAGTACCATTAAACATTTACATCCTAAGGCAACAATGACAATGTATCTAAGCGCATTTTACATGTCAAACATGCAAAACTGTTCAATTAATGCAATAAAGTACTTGCATGTTACGAAGCATCCGTTATTGCTCAAAAACTAATCATAAGCTATGTATAATCGAAACAGAATTGTTAGGAGCATAATCGTATAAAAATTCTGTTGAGTACCAATCACACAATCTTTATCTCCTCTTGTTAGATTGAATTTTGTTAATTTTGGCTCTACCTACAGCAATAATTAACTTTAAATAAGTTCATTTTCTGAACATAACTTTCTTATGTAAAGTCGACTTTTTTACATGGTTCAATAATTCAACTTAACTGAAAAATGAGAAAATTATTCAAAATTATTCAAACTCTTGGGAATCGTCTTATTTATCTCATTCGTAATACCACACATACGAATAGTTGTCGTAATTCGTCTGAAAAGTGGATGAGTCCTCCTTCGAGATTTTGTTAAAATTCATTTGGGTAGCCATTTTTACCACCTTCCTTTTAAAATTTTCTACACACTGAAGCGAATGAAATTCTTGAAAATAAATGGATCATCCACAAAAAACTTGTAGGCTACAATTCAATTCTTGGCGCAGTGATTACTAAATCTTCAGGTAAATCAACGAGGGCTTGTTTTCCAGAGAATAATTCTTAGGAACCAGAACAATTCGATCAGATGCAGAGTGACTTATAATCAACTACAACAGCTCGTTGTGGTTGTATTATATGAGTGTATAATATCTTCTTCATCAATCTCCAGTAGCAATATTATATCTTCGGGAATATCATTATTATGGAAATACTTTGAATGTAACTAACATTGGTGAATAAAACTGGATCCGCCTGCTTCACAAAAACTAAACTGACTGATCAGGGACGGATCTAGGATTTTTCAAACATCAGTCAAAAAACGTCGGAGGCGCTCCGCACCTGGGGGGGGTCTGAGGCATTCTCCCCTCAGAAATTTTAAATTTCAGAGCCTTGAAAATGCCATTTTCAGCGTTTTAGAGCAATACAAAATGTATTTTGTGGGCATCGTTTTTGCGTAAAAACAACTTGAATGTTTTGCCAAATGTTTAGGCTCATTAGCATGTCTAGGAACGTAAAATTTATTTTACAATAATGCTATGTAAAAACAGATATAGTCCTTAAAAATTTCTACCAAGTTGTTAGGCATAGACCCCCCTAGAGACACTCATTCAAACCTCTATGTAATGAGTTAAGTTAGAAATTTGGTACTACAAGTGACAGTTCATAGATATAGAAAAGCTCAGACTTCAAACCATGCAAGTTTATTGTAACCCTTTACCCATCTCCACAACAGTTCCAGCAAATTCCCCTTTTGAAAAGAAACTCAAAATTTTTTTCTGCCAAAGATTAAGCAAAAATTATCAGAGTGAAAATTTGCAGTTAAGGACAGCTTAATGACATAAATGTTTATTAGGCATTTCACTTGACTATTATCTTCTGCAAGGTGTGCTATATAGCAATCACTAGTAGCATTGTATTATCAAATACAAACAGAATGTAACCAACATGTGTTTAGTTATATAACACATGTTGTTATGGAAAACAATTACATGGATGTTAAAATTAGTTCATGTGTCATGCTTACTGGTTATGATAAATATCTTTTCATATGATCAAAGCTCGTTTAAATGTAACTCTGAAATAATTTAGTTTAGAAATTATAATGATCATCAGAAAAATTACCTAGTGATCATGAAAAATACTTTGATGTTTTGCCAAATTTCAAAGTTTATCTGCTTATATAGGAAGACATTTTTACTTTATAGAAAATGCTTTTCATACATCAATAGCCCTTTGGAATTTATGGAAAACAATCTGGTATGAGCTGTAGATCAACACACCTTTACATATCTACATGAGGTGTTCAGTTAGAAAAGGGGACAATATGTGACATGGGACAACATTTCATGTATGTGAAATACTCAGGTTTAATATCATTCCAGTCAACTTGTCAAAATAAAAAGCTTCATGGATCAGAAAAGACTCAAAATCACAGGTTATAGTAAACAGCTTCTCATGTAATCAATGTTAGTTTTCTCAAATCTAAAACAATATGTAGTATAACTGTCCAATGATTGAATGATCAATAATCATAAACTGAAAAGCTCCAAACATTTGTTTATGATAAAATGTAGAATTTCACTGTCATATAACGGCCACGATTCCCCAATTAGTAAAGAAATCATAGCTAAAAGTCCGTCGGCAACAACAATTTTAGAAGCATCAATCTGCTTACCATACGCCATATTGACATAAATCGCATCGCACACTCGCATAAATTGACTTTGAGATTCATGCATACACTTCACTTGTCCTTTACTTACGATTTTGGATGTAAATTTCTGCTAATAAAACTCAAAACAATGTTGGCTTTCTTTTGAACATCAATGACTGAAATGTTGCTCGCGAGATCGTCTTTGCCAAGCATTTACAATTTATCCGTAAATTTTTCACCCTCTTGAAAAAATTCACAGTTTCGACGGCAGCATTCATGTCAACACATGAATTTGTAAAAGATTTCCATAAATTTCATATGATTGTAGTTTAGTTTCTATCATGCTTTAGAAAATTACTATGAAACGATCAAACATTCAATTCAGACAGTGAGCTTGACTATATGTTCAGTGGGCTATCAGTCGAAATCCGTCACACCAATCACAATAAAACAAAATTTAAATGAACCAATTGTAAGATAGCAATTGGACTCCCTTATACGTCCGGCCACCCTATTATCAGTCGAGACCATTCCAGACTGTCCACTGATCTGGCCATTGACCAATAAAATAAGCGTTTTGGCGTTCATAGACTCCTTTATCCGTCGAACCAGTCAAGCCACCCGCTTATCAGTCGGTTATTCCAGGTCAATTAAAATTCAACTGATCTGGTTACCAACGAGATATTCATTGGATTAGTCATTAGTTTTCAATAATAAATAAAGCTGGATTTTATCACGAAGTAAATGCGATAATAAATTAAGAATAATTAATGAAGTTTTATTGAATAGGTAATTTATTAATATGAATAGGTAATTTTTGAATTTCAAACATCAGTCACGCGACGGATTTGACATACTCTAGATCCACCTGTGACTGATGGCGAGAACTGGTTTGCTATAGTGGAAGAAATGGTCTATGCAACTTTGTATAAGCCTTGCTGTGTTTGATATTAATGCGATGTTTCAATTTTTTACAAACCAAGCTAACGGCACTGTTGTATTCCTTTTCATACTACATTGTTTGGCTCTGAAAAAAGTTTTTTGAAAATTGTTTTAAAAAGAGCAATTATCACGGTGAATGGTCGACAGTTTTATTAAGAATGGATCAACGGAATGGATATACAGTTTTAATACAATGCAGTTCTTTGAAAGCCTCCCAAGTCTTCTGCTTTTTATCTTGTCCCATATTTTCTAATGCCATGCATTAAACACAAAATTGGGTTGAAAAGAAACTCCAGTAAAAATACCATAATTAGATCGGCTTTTCAATTGCTTAATTTTTACAACAGGGAATAACTTACCTTCATTTGGTTACATAATGGAAATTTTTGCCGTCTTTCCCACGACAAAAGCGAACGAATGAAAATTCGCTCATCATGATACTCAATTTTGACGTTTGCGACGTTGTGTTATCCATATGATGTTTTGGTTAATTTTATTTTATCAAAACTATAACTAAAAATCTTTACACAAATTATACATGAAACATACATTAAGCATATTAGATATTGTTGGAAAGATTGACAATAGTAGCGTAGCAAGCCCTCGGCTTTGCTCTTGATATAGGAATTTTTCTATATTCACTCACTCTAGAAACAATCTAAAGACGTCTAAAGAAATGAATAATAATGATTTGAAATCTGTATAACAAGGCTAAAACCGGTGAGCTGGCTTCGCTAGTTCTAGATATGATATTGTGAATACTTCAGGTCTTCTATGTAATTTCTATGCACATATAGGAACATTTTTCTATAGCCAAATTCATAATTGGCTTGAGGTAAAGACTAAAGATTACATGTCTATATGCTTTACAAAAAACAAAACACCTACAACGCAGCAATACAGAAATTATGACGTCATACAAAGTAACGTTTGTATCTGGTTAACTTTCATAACGTAAATTTCATATGTAGAGTTGAATTTCTAATTGTTAACGTAGCTAACCATTGATACATTTATTCGAAATCGGTAATTAACATAAATATTGCTTTGAATGGGGTATTTTTAGAACGAAGGAGTTAGCATTTACCATGGCCAACACCCTATTTAAAATTAAAGTTATTAGTCGTCATAACTATCCCATTCGTACTGCCATACATACGTCTCCACCCAAGCATCAGCAGGATGTCCGAACATCTGTCGCAATTCGTCTGAAAAGTGGATGGGGCGTCCTTCTTTTTTCAGATTTGATGGAAATTCATTTGGGCAGCCGTTTTCACCACCTTCCTCTTCAAAATTTCTCCACACTAAGCGAATTGAATTCTTGAAAATAACTGGATCATCCACGAAAAATTTGTACGCAACAATCCTTTTCAAAGGCTCATCCGGGCCGTGCATGTACGTAAGACCTGAATGAAAGCCATCATATGTATGCTGATTGAAATAGAAGGCGGACAGAAAGAAGTCTTCGGTGCCAGAGGAAAGAAAAAGCGTCTCATTTGAATTGTCAATATTTGCACGAACACATCCCTCAAGAAACAGGAGAGTTTGACTGGCCATGTGGACGGTAACGAGAAACAACATTCCGGACGTGTTTTTAGCATCTAACATCGTAACAAAATCCAGTGGAGCAACAGTGGTTTCTTGTTTGTACAGTCGAAGTCTGGTATTTTTTGGCAGCTCAAACGACCCGACAGTGAGAGGGACTCCAGTAATGCCCCTGATAATGTACCTGTTTCACATATAATTAAAAAAAACCCCACATTAATTCGAATATCAATTTGATTGTCTTTAATGTATTCAAAATTTCATTCTACAAGGTGTAAAAATACTTTTTCGTTAAATCAATTTTTCATTATAAGTACGAAAACAGTACTTCACAAGACGGAGTCGTCTATAACTGAAGTATTTCAACGTAGGTCACAAATATTTATGAAAATAATAAGATTCACTTCAGCAGAAGCGGATCAGGGATTAGGGAAAATAAATTATAGCAGCTGAATTTAAATCTAAATACTTATGTAAGAATGCCATTCGTAGTCAATTTCCAAAGAATAAAAAATTCCTTTACGATTTAGCAACCTGAAACAGCTACTAAGAATTTCACTGAAATAACGTTCATCTAAACACACTAAAATCTTTTCAAAAAACCTCTGATATAGGTAACTTATGAAATTTAATAGACAATTGATGTTTCAAATACCTAGGATAAGTATGAACTAAGATGGCGGAAGGTTGTTCTTTATTGTCTCGCGATCAATGTAATCTTACTTGTGATATAGACAGAATTTATAGTTTTAAAGCTTCTAAATGTATTGCTTATGATGGAAAACGATTAAAATGGCAAAATTGTTTTAAAACACTGGAAGATTTTTTCGAAAATAGCCTTAATCAACGAGGCAGATGGTCATCACCGGAAGGTAGTTCAAAAAAGTTTGTCGGTTCAAGTAATGATCTGGTTTGTACTTGGTACTGTGGTAGACAGAATACATTGATGTTTCAAGGAGAAAGCGGTAATCAACTAAGATATTGTCTAATTCAAATGTGTGTATCTGCAACTTTGGAAGAATTTAAAGCAAATACAAAGGTATATTGTACATGTTTACATCGTATTCCTTCCCAAGCCTCAGTTGGAATGACACCTCAATCGCCGAAAGTTAACATTAATGAGTGTGTCGAAGATATTAAACTTGATATCGAAATTCTTCAAAGCCGAGTCGATGCACTTCAAACCTTAGAACATACCAAATCTTTTCCCCTCGTAGCAAAGGTTCAAATTCTCATAGACGACATAAGAGCATTGCAAACAGAGTTACAAGTACAAAAGAATAAAAATATCAAACTTGAGTTGGAAATTAAAGAGCTTAGAACGGACGTATTAATGTTAAAAAAGGGATTTGAAAACAAAAAGACTGACCGAGCTATTGAAACTAGAAACAATAGACATGAATTTAAAATTTGCAATAATTTTGTTCCATCACAATCGCTTAACTCTCTTGATGATTAACTAGAAATATATCGTGCCAAACACAAAAATAATTGCACCAAGGCGAAAAACTGTCCGGTTACCCTACAAAATTATACTACAATTAATAACAAACAAAATTTCAATGACACGTTTTCAATGCAAATGACTAAATATTGTGAAAAAACAACATGTTAAGTATTCTGCAAATCATGCTGGCATGGAACAACTCCAGATAAACAACTCTGTTACTATCCATCAGGAACAGAAGCCATCAAACCCAGTTGATACAACTCATGATGTCCTTTCTCTATCAAGAACAAAATTTAACGTCTCTAACAGCAATTAACACCGAGCAACTCCCGAGTCCTACTACTGTTTTCCAAAACAATTTTTATCATAAAAGTACCCGTTTTCTGTATTACCATTATCCCCGACAACATTCACATCACCAAGATTTTCGCAAACAAGCTTTTTTTGAAGTACGATTATCAGACATCTTGCAAAAGGAAGAACAAAGCAAAAGAATGGTTAACATACCTACACTTTGTTCATCAAACAATGAACAAAAAATAACTACTATTGAACAGCATGTTGGCAGTTGTTCTCAGTATAGGACTGGTTTCGGGGCTAAGCTGGGGAGGAAAATGGATCGTATGCATCGCGGTTTAATCGCATCAGATTACACAACCAATGATAACATATTCTCGATTGACGTACTTATAACCCAGATAAAACCAATCAAACATATTAAAATAAATAATGGATACAGTATGAATTATGGCAAATTCAACTGTATAGAAATCAAAACTAATAGTAATGATCCAGTCAAACCCTTTCTACCAACAATCATGCTCACAAATGCATGTCATATAACTAATAAAATTTATGAACTACATGGAGTCGTCATGAATAATGGTCTTGAAGTTGTACTGATTACAGAATCCTGGCTTTCCCCAAATATACCAGACACAGCAATATCGATTAATGATGAATACAAAATATTTCGCAAAGACAGACCCAACCTTGGCGGAGGAGTTCTTACTTATGTACATCAAAGTATACCTGTTAGTCGTAAGTTATTTGATGAAGACAATGATAAAGAGGTGCTATGGTTAGTACTTAAACCAACAAGAACGCCTCGCCCATTTAGTGCAATTATTATTGTCATTACTTATTATTCACCTGGACAAAGTGCCGAAAAAGAACATGATATGATTGAATATATAATCAAAAATTTAGATCAGTTACTATGTGAACGTCCATGCTCTGCAATTATAGTTGCTGGAGACTTCAATAAATTAAACTTGAATAATCTATGTAATTGTTTCAATTTAAAAATCTATCCTATACCCAACCAGAGGAAAAAACGTTTTGGATCAAGTCTTGACGAATATGCGAGATATGTACAAACCAACACAGCATCTACCACCATTGGTACGTTCTGATCACAAATGCCTTCTATTAGTGCCAAAACAGAAAGAAAATACACCGACGATTCCCAGAAGGGCAAAACTCTTAACACCTGGAAAAGTAAATGTCTTATGCAGAAAACTTATTCTTGAAGATTGGTCGGAGGTCTTTAATGTAGAAGATGTAGATGAAAAAGTAAATGCCTTTACCTCGACGATGCTTAGTATTATGAAACTATTCCTGAAAAAACAGTACGAATGCATACTTCAGATAAGCCTTGGATGACAAGCTTTATAAAATCAAAGATCAAAGTCAGAAAACGTGCTTTCTCATGTAATAAGCAAGCTCGCTATGAAAAAACTATGTTCTGATGCCTCAAAACATAAAAACAACGCCAAAATTTCATATTACAAACGAAAAGCAAGACTTTCGTACGACTAACCCTAAAAAATGGTATAAATCAATCTTCTTAATGTTGGGAATTGATAACGGGAATAATGTAAAAAGAAATGTCTATGATGAAAATGTACTGGAACTAGCTGAAAAATTACAACAAGTCTTTACAAAACCTTGGTTAAACCAATTACCCAACTACGAAATTGAAGATAACTTGATCAACCAAACGCTTAAGGATATGAAACCTCCTTTACCATCTATTGGACAGGTCAAGAGCTGTCTACAGCACCTAAATCCTAGAAAAGCAACAGGAGATGACAAAATTCCGGCATGGATACTTAAACGTTTTTTGCGAAGATCTTGCACCAGTCGCACACAATATAGTAACCACAAGTATAAAACAATGCAAGTACCCCAGCCATTATAAACATGCACTAATAACTCCAGTTGCTAAAGTGAATAATCCAAGCAATGTTGAAAATGACTTCAGACCTATATCTGTCCTTCCTCAAAGGGCTAAAATAATAGACAAACTTCAAATCCATTTGAATAAATCAGATTTTAAAATAAAGGGCAACCAACATGTCTTTACTCATGGCCGATCTAATGTATCTGCTCTAATATCTATGACACAAATTTGGTATAATGCAACATATAATTCTCAATTAGGAAGAATAGGAATTCACGTATTATTTATAGATTTTTGAAAGGCGTTTGACATGGTGAATCACAACATATTACTACAAAAATTAGCATCTATGGAAATTAATAAATCTTTCTGGCAATGGATTCGAAGTTTTTTGACAGGAAGAACGCAACAAGTCAACCTACAAGGAGTGAAAGTGCAAGACTATACCTAATATATGCTGCTTAAAACATTTTCTAATGCTTTGACTTTTTACTCTCGACTTCTTTCTGTTTTCCTTAATTTTTAACTTTTTCATAGCTTTTCCTCTCCCCTCTCTTTGTTTTTTCTACACATTTCCTCCACTGAGAGTTATATGTTACATGCATACAGAGAAAAATAGAGCATTTATGACTATAATAAATCAAACATTAGGATTACCACAACTCTAACATTTTCTCCCATTGAATCAAGAGTCTTTTTTAAAATTGATAATACCAAATTTGCATTTCCACCCATTTCGGAGAAATAGGTGGAAATGGAAACTCGGTTAATTGTGCAATTGCGCATGCGCAATTCAATCGATCAATTGTTCATATTCATACTCATGACACAGAATAGATAACGTAACAGAAGGTCCACTCGTGTCGGAACTTTTGATGTTTGCGTCCCCCAGTTTTCTGAAGCAATTTCTAAGCAGACACGCCTTCCAGCAAGAAAATATAGATGTTTTTACAAATATATCGTTTTGCACTACAAAAGCGTGCAACCTTATCTTCTTTGCAAGACGATAACATTTTGTAAAAATTTCGGCACATTTTTCCTTTAACAGTGAATTATTAGTAAAATAGCATTCTCGTGTAATACTATTCCATATTGTATTTGTTAATTACCTTGATGGGAAGTCACGCATGCGTAGTAAAAAATACAACCAAATTTTAGCCGAGTGGGCCTTCTGTCAGATGTCTATTCTATGCCCATGACAAGGACCAACTAGATGAACTTGCACTAATTTCAGATAAACTTGATCACTTACGTAGCAACCGAAGTCGACACAACCAACAATTTGACTAAAGCATTCAACAATTTTATAGCAAAGAAGGATTATCTTCTTTCCTTAACTGTCTTATATAGTTAATACAAAATAACAAAATAGAATATTTTGTCACAAATTTTCGACATTGTACGGGTTGTAAAAGTTTATATAGGGATTATCGCTTGCAATATATCAATACAGCATAATCCAATGCAATGTCTCTTTTCAAAGTCCACTTGGAAATAAATCTGGCGGAATATAGCACTCACATAAATGCGTATATCTCGTAATGGTAATCACCACTCCCAATATGAATGTAAAAATACATGTTCTGTTACATGTTGAGTCAAACAGCATCATTTGTGAACACGTGTGAAATCAGAATTGTTTACACATTCGAAAACAACATTGTCTGACTTCTTCTTGGCTTCCATATCTAATGCAGTTGAAGAATCAACTGTTTTTGAGTAAGATCCTTTACAAAACTGAAATTCAAATGCAACAAAAGTTACAGAAAAGACAGCGATTTCTCAAAATTCTTGTGTTTTTTGCAAAACATCAAAGATTTTTTTAACTAAAACAATTTTAACTGACTACCTAAATAACCTTCCACACGAGTTGATTAATTGTACCTTAAATCACGACGGATATAAATTGCCCACTTCAACTCCCCGGGAAAGTTTGCACAATGTAACACTAATGTATGACTCATTTGAATTTTGACCATTTATCACAATACTGCAGAGTCTCTATGGATGCATTGCACTTACAACAAAATGCAACTAACTGGCAGTATCTGCATACAAACAAGTCAGTCAACTTTAGAATTGAAGACATTAATACATACTCCAAATGGATAGCAATAAAGCTTGTAAATTAAGATAAATTGCAGTACATTGATTTGTGCCCATGGAACAGCTAGCAAAGTTTATATACGTATATGCAATTGAGTTGCTTTTATCTAGGTTCTTCCACCCTTATGTAAACACAAATATGATAATTTGAACATCCCTGATGTAATATGCCAAATTTATTTACAGTATTGAAGTACAGAATATACATTCGCTAATCAAACAAAAGAATAGTGGACTTACCAAACAGTGCCTGTGCTATGATCATTGGTCATTGTTATCTTTATACTTGAATTAAATGGTATTCTAAATGTATTGAAATAGCCACCACCTGAAGCTAATTTTCCAAAGAATCTATTGGATCTTGGCTTGTTATTGGTCGCCCCAGGAAGAACTGCATGTGCCATAAGTAGCATGTAATCTATCGATGGTTCTTCTTCGCCATCAATATAAATGCGAATTCTTGTATTCTGGTTAAACTCTTGGTTTGAGTTGGTGCCAGTATACCATTGTTCAGTCAATGATCCAGAACAGCTAAAGTTCTTTTCAAACAATGTTGTTTCAATGCTGACGTTTTTGTACTGGAATCCTTTCACAACAGAACCAAATGACTGTGTATCACTGTTAATTTTAACCGTTACACAACCAACTTTTCCAAGTAAGCCAAGTGCTGCTACAATGACAAACAGAGAACATGTAGTACTAGTGGGCATGATTTCACCTAAATAAAAAAAAAACATTTACAGTACGGTCATCAAAATACTAACTTGGGATTTGTAGTACACAGTTTAAAACAAGAACAACTCAGACTTTGCTAAAATTGATCAGTTGATTTAAAAAACAAGCACAAAAGTGACAAAACAATAACAAAAGTAGCTCCTTTATAAATAAATGCTACAAATTGAGACATTACAGAAGCCTCCAACGAGTACTTTGAAGCAACAGAATGTGCATGTTATATGGTTAATCATGATAGTTAAACTGATAAAAACACATAATGACATAACTGATGTTATAAATTAAAGTATCAAGTTTAAAGAATTCATGTTGATTTTTACGATTTTGTTTGACCGATAGTCATCTCAGTCACAAATAGTAAACATTGCTTAAAAAAATACCGTTGACATTACATACCACTGTAATACAAAAATCACTTCAGCTTAAAATGATATAAATAATGAATTGCATCGTTCATATGAATCATAACTCTAACTTGAGTACTCATGTGACCATTGTAATCAGTGTTGTGGCACTTCTTAGTTCTTTGCCCAACCACAGAATAGATACATTTCTTATTCTGTGGCCCAACTTTCAAACTTTTAATCCCATAAATGTATTTAAAGAAAGGTTTATTAAGATTAAAAATTAACTGCATATGTCTACGCCCATACCACAAGGAAAGCACTGGTTCTCGTCTGATCACCGCAGTTAAGCCTTGTCGGGCGAAGTTAGTACTTGGATGGGTGACCGCCTGGGAATACTTTGTGCTGTAGACTTTTTATTATCGTTTTTATTTTCGACACGTGACAAACTGTTCAATAGGTCACTAAATAATTACTTTTTCTTCATTATTTACAAATTATAAGGCGCTGAAGCGAGAAAAAATGCTGTATTGCATAAATTTTTGCCCAGTGCAAATATTCATGCTAAGTGCAAACATATTCATAAATACTCAAGGGAAGATCCAGATTACGTCTAGTACGTCGCATCACATGCTGAAAAATCCAGAAATTTAATAATTCTTTTTCAATGATCGTTACAAATTACAGTTTGTTAAGTCAAAATAGTTTAAAGAATTTCTCACAAAATCAACGTAATTGCGAAAAGTTTTAAAACTTTAAAATGAAATTAGATGAAGTAGTCAAACTCTAGTAATGTCATACGATTAGCTAACTCAAAACTCTTACACAGAGCAACTTCGTCGTTGCTTGCAAGTTTTGACTAGGGTTAGGGTTAAGGTTGGGATAAGGGTTACTCTAACGTACGGCTAACAACTTTGGCTTACCACAGTTGACCATACTTAACCACAACTTTGGCTAATCATTGTAGTTAGCGTTACTGCTTTGCTACACTTTGCTACCGTCAAAAAGTTTCTGTCTGTCTGTTGTAATCTTTGGTGCTAGCTGGATAAACTAGCGATGACGAAATATACCGTTTTGTCTGTTTGTCGTTTGTTGGAGAATTATTGTAAGTTGTTTAATTTACTTTCAATTTTTTATTTTATTCGACTTTCCTCGCAATGAAAATGAAGAAAGTCACGTGTATAGCATAGATTTAAAATAATTATACTTTTTCTTTGTGTGAGCTGCGATGCGTCTGTCCTTTTACAAAGATCAACCAGAACTACAGAAGTTATTTGTAATTAGCACAGAGTCTTGGGTGGCATAATCATAAGAATATGTTGTAATTTTTAGAAATATTAACTAAAGACATTAATTTTTGAATTGATTTGTATATTTGTCTTTAATTTGGTTTTGAATATTGCACGAAATACAAGTGTGATTTATTTGTGTGGATTGCCAATTTACAATTTTACATCAAGTGAATTATGATATATTTCAATCTATAAGCAGTAAATACGATAGACTTGCGATCACTGAAGTACTATAATTCAAGTTTCATATATCTAATCTTCTCCATCAAATTTTTTATTTGTTTTCTTTGAAAAAACTTTTAAACGCCGCGAGAAATCTAAATAAATAAAATATTGCTTGGACATATAACTAAACAATATTTTCAAATGTTGAACAGGTTTGACATAAATATATAGTTTTATTGGAATCATGCTCGTTTAGTCTCATTCATTTAGTGTTTATTTACTTCACAGGCAACCCACATGTACGCATGCGTACCTATTATTACCAAAATTCAGTGCAGTGTGGAAATCCTGCAAACCAAAATCGCTTCATGCGTTTTTTAATTCGAATTACTTTTAAAAAATGATATTATAAAGGGATTATCGCTGTCATGATCTAATATATCATGCCGGATTTATCAACTAGAAAATATATCTATAATATGAAGTAGAAAACTTTGTTTACATTTTTGTATTCTTTTAAGTATAATCAAATGAAATTTTGATAAGTTGTGGTTTATATTTCACGTTGAAATTGTTCGATAATCAATGTTTTATCAACTTATTTGGAATGTCATGCAACTATTTAGGGGTAGCGGTGCTCATACAGTTGTGAAGTAACTTGGCTTACAAAGTGTGTAAAAGTTATGTTGGTTATTTGAAACTATCAAATAAGAAATCCCGTCGTGAAATTTGGTTATTTGAAATTACCCAGTTGTATGATGTTTATTATTTGATATAATCCAATGAAAACATGTTGGCAAAATTTTGTTATTTGATAAAGTCATTACTATTATAAATATACTTTCATAAACTGACGAGATTTTTTGTTGTATAATATTATAAAACAAACAATACGAAATATTCTTGTTTGCGTCAGATAAAGTGATAAACAGACGTTTTGACGCCTCTACCAAGCCCCATTATAAAGACATATTGTCTTTCATCGATGTCCTGTCATCTTGCGGAAGTTGAACGTTAAGATTTGTGTTTTAATGACATGAATGTATGTTAGGTGATTATTTGTAATTCGTAAGCTAGACTGGCAAGTACGATTTCCAGTGTAATCACTGATTGTAACACGGAACTTTTTGGTACGTTTTGTTTTAGAGGTACGTAAGCGTGATTTGAATTATCCATTTTTGCTTGAAGTAGGTAGTAAATAATTTGCGCAAAATGACCTCAAAGATTTTAAACAGCACTACTATGAAATTTGCTATCTGTCTACGTAACTGATTAAGAGGTTATTTTACGAAGGGTGTTTTACGAAATTTCAAAATAATTTATCAACAAACTTTGGTCAATCGAAATAATGACAAGTATTGTGTACATGCTTTAAATTTGAACACAAATCATAGCGACAAGAGAAAGTGTCAGCCGTCAATTGTCGAAAAGCGTCTCATCTTTAGAACGAGACTTCTGCTGCGTCAGACAGCCCTCACAGCAATTAACCGTGTTTCAATACTTTATTAACGGGGACGATCTATATGTACGAGCATCTATCAATACACTTTGGCTCACACCATGCATTCTGTTCAAAGCTGATTTGATATTCATGTCATGTATCATCTAAACAAATTTTCGATAAATTGAAGTTCATTTTTATAATGAATTAAGTCGAACGATGATCATTGTTTTATCCAAGTTATTTGTACATGCTTTTGTTATTATAGTATAATTACTGTTGCATTTTGAAGACATGCTTAAAATATTGTGATGACATTCGGCAAGTATAAAGTGCTTGCATGTGAAGTCAAACGGCCTTTTGAGGTGGTGATATGAAGTTTCGATGCTCAACGGAGCATCAAAATTGACAAAAATTCTTTCGGCTATCTGTAAAAAAGGAATGGGGAAATAGAATACAGGATGGGAAATTCAGGATTGAGAAAAACTGAAATTTGCTTGTTAGTTTTGATAACATTAGTCCTGTTTCAAATGTTAACAACCGATATCCACAAAAATACGAATGTTATTTGAAAAAAGTCATATTCGATTGATCATGAGTTATTGCTATCTAAAATTTCAAGTGCGTAGATGTAGATGACCCTGGCTAGTAGAGTCCTGAGAAGGACTGTTGGTGTTTTGACAACCTTAGCCCTTAGCAGTGGTCATTTTCAGAGTCTGGTTTGCCGTATTTTTGGTCTGGTTTGCCGTATTTTTGGTCTGGTTTATACTTCATCGTATTATATGTGTAGGAAATGAGTGAGTGTGTGGGTGTCAATTGCGTGTTGTTATTGTGGTTAGCTATAGTCCAAATGCGAATAGTTTCCTTTTTTTTGAGATTGGGAATAAGTCGTTTGTAATGTGCCGGTAATTTTTGTGATCCAACTTTTTAATGTAAGCCGTTGTCTGTAGTCAGTGCTGTAGTAATGCATTTTGTCAAGTCACTGTCAATGTTGTGTTTTGTCAGTCGGTGATGTTCGGCAATGTTATTGGTTTTGTCTTGTTTCTTTGTTGCTTGTTTGTGTTCATTAAGTCCTATGATCAAGTTCCTGCCTGTCTCCCCGATATAGGAGGTGTGGCAGTCGGAGCAGTTTATCTTGTTAAGCCCGGTTTCCATATGATCGTTTCTGTCGTAAGGATCGTCTTTGTCGCTTACAATTTGTAGAAGCGACAGAGACGATCATATGGAAACGCTCAACTCAAACGACAAAAGCGATCCTTACGTTAGAAACGATCCTTGCGTATCGATCGTTTGAGATAGACTAGAGTTCTATCCTTGCGACAGAAACGACCGGAAACACCTTTTACGCGCTTGCATTTTTTTAATGGAAACCGGTGCAAAACGATCGTTACGCCAGAAGCGACTTGATATATCCCATGATACATCCGTAATTCCATGAGCGAGACTCCGTATTCAAAGATGGCGGCTATCAACTTTAATTCTACGTCTTCATTTATGGAAGAAGTACAGAAGTATGATTGTTTATATAACAAATTTTCGAAATATTAAAACCCAAAAACGATGTTTTCTTTTTTTCTTTGGCTCTCTTCTTCTCAGCACACGCAAAAGAAAATAACACGCTACAAGTCTTCCTCTTCGATTGACTGCCGCCATTTTGAACACATCATACAGTAAGTGTATGGTGACTAGTTCAAATTAGATACGATGCATACGATTAATGGAAACCAGTTCATCGCAATAATCGCCTCTGTCGTTTGATCACCGCAGGGGACTTTTTTTAAAAGACAGAAACGACTCTAGCGACAGAAACGATCATATGGAAACCAGGCATTACGTTATAAACGATCCTTGCGTATCGATCGTTTGAGATAGACTAGAGTTCTATCCTGGCGACAGAAACGACCGGAAACACCTTTTACGCGCTTGCATTTTTTTAATGGAAACCGGTGCAAAACGATCGTTACGCCATAAGCGACTTGATATATCCCATGATACATCCGTAATTCCATGTGCGAGATTCCGTATTCAAAGATGGCGGCTATCAACTTTAATTCTACGTCTTCATTTATGGAAGAAGTACAGAAGTATGATTGTTTATATAACAAATTTTCGAAATATTAAAACCCAAAAACGATGTTTTCTTTTGCTTCTCTCTCTTCTTCTCAGCACACGCAAAAGAAAATAACACGCTACAAGTCTTCAAATTAGATACGATGCATACGATTAATGGAAACCAGTTCATCGCAATAATCGCTTCTGTCGTTTGATCACCGCAGGACTTTTTCAACAGACAGAAACGACTCTAGCAACAGAAACGATCATATGGAAACCAGGCATAAAGTGCACCTTTTCAAATGTTTATTATCGTTCGTTTGGTTGTTCTTTGTCCTTGACGTTTGTTAGTGCTTGTCGTAACGTTGTAGTTTGTTTATGAGAGACACGTGTGTTATATGGACGTAAGATACGCGAGATAGTCTCAGACGTACCTTTGATATAAGGTATTGCTGTTGTTGTCTTAAGTTGTTGTTCCCTGGGATCATTGTCTTTCTAAATATAATTCATATAAAATGATATTTGTACGGTGGCCACAAGGGACATGCAACTTACATAAGTCTGTTGCTGCAAATTAAGTCGGTTGCTGCAAGTTAAGTCTGTTGCTGCAAGTTAAGTCTGTTGCTGCAAATTAAGTCGGTTGCTGCAAGTTAAGTCTGTTGCTGCAAGTTAAGTCTGTTGCTGCAATTAAGTCGGTTGCTGCAAGTTAAGTCTGTTGCTGCAAGTTAAGTCTGTTGCTGCAAATTAAGTCTGCGCCTGCAATTTGCAATTGTCGTATGCTGAATGAATAATAAAAAATGGCTGCTGAAGATAACGAAAACGCTTTAAGGACTTTAATAGAAAATTATTTTTATTCAGGATATAAATACAACGAAATAGTCTTACTTCTACTTCTAGACAAGCATCATGCCGTAAAAATGTGTTGTAGAACTTTAAAAAGAAAAGTCAGAGAATATGGTTTCAAAAAACGAAAAAATGATGATTGTATTGATGACGATAGGCTAAAAGAAACTATTCGTCAGCTAATAAATGATGCTGGAAGCTTGTCAGGATATCGAACAATCTGGCATACCCTGCGTCGTCGATTCCACGTACACGTTTCACGTAAAAAAGTGGCATTAATAATGAGGAAATTGATCCACAAGGTGTCCAGCAAAGGAAAACTCACTGTCTCCAACGACGAGTATATCGATCATACGGTCCAAACTTTGGCTGGCACATGGACGGTAGGAAAATTGAAATTTACTAAAGTACAAAAGATGGCTACGTTGATTTATTTGGTTTGCCTGTTTTGATTGGTTATAAAACATAACATGTTTTATTTCATATTAATCACACCATTGCTAATTGTTACAGGCTATGACAAATTAAAGCCCTATGGATTCCCTATTCATGGGGCTATAGATGGTTACAGCCGACGGATAATTTGGCTTGAAGTGGTAAAATCCAACAACGACCCAAAAGTGCCTGCAAATCTTTTTCTTAAAAGTGTAAAAGAAAACCTCGGATGTCCACTTCTATTATGGAGTGACTGTGGCACAGAGAATGGATTACGGCTTCAATGCAATGTTATTTTAGAGATAATGGGACAGATGACTTGGCAGGAGAGAATGCTCATCGCTATGGTTCTTCTCACGCAAACCAGAGGATAGAAAATTGGTGGTCGTACTTTCGTCGTAGTCGAAGCAACTGGTGGATTAATTTTTTTAAAGGTCTAGTTCACGATGGGGTTGTTCTTCTTGGAAACTTAATTCACATGGAGTGCCTCTGGTTTTGTTTCCAATCTGTGCTACAAAATGAACTCAATGATATAATTGACCACTGGAACACTCACTATATCCGACGTTCGCGATATGATACTATACCTGGTGTGCCAAATCTTCTTTACTTTTTACCAGAATTAACTGGTGGAGCTGACTACATTGTCCAAGTGCCAACAGACAAAATTAACGAAATGGAGGAAGAATGTGAGATGGAAGAAGGACTAAATGACTACAAAGAGTATTTCGAACATGTAATGGAAATAAAAGGACTACGTCTTCCAAATAATGCAACTGAAGCATTAGCACTATTTCAATGCTTAGTAGAAGCTGCTAATGATAAGGATTAAATGTTAACGGGAAAATTGACAAAAAACACATGAGTTTCACGTCATGGACAAACCAGGCACGACGTTTGACTTTTCCTGTAAATGTTGTTTACTTACAATAGAGTGTAAGCGAATAACCATAACATCAACAAAACTATTTCGCAATGATCAAGTCGATTAAAGTATTAGTTTCAATTGTCAGATCTGCTTTTCAGATAAGTCCAAAATCACACGAATCCCCAATGGCAGAAACCATTAATTCTTCCATTTCACATTCCGAAGCTATATGAACAGGTAACTTCACCAGCAAGTCACATGTTGACGTAGATGGTCTACATTTGCAGCAATCTTTGCAACCATGGATGAAAGCAACATTGAACTTATTGGGAAAACCTAACGGCGGTACTTCCTTGGAGCCACTGCACCATTGCAGGAAATCTGTCATAGTTAAATTTTGCAAACCTGAAATGCCTCAGCGGCAAAAACATAGCTTATAACACACGCTGTAGATGTTGAAATAAAATTGCACCGCACATATAACAGTGCAACTTCATTTGTTAATGAGCTGATTGTTGTGTTGCAGAGTTTTGGTAATGAAAGCGTAGATCGATGCACTCCGAATTTGGTAAATTTTGTCTTCAAAACATGGATCTATCTATCACATCACCATTAAACTTATTTTGTTATCCTTTAAGCTTAGCAACTTCTGCACGGATGAAACATGCTGTAGAATATCTTATTTTTACTCTAGAATACAATTTATATGTGCACTATACATATTGTGTTCCTGCACTGTTTATGTAAGCCTTATTGTATAGAATTAATGTGCTTATATTAGTATCCTTACCATCTTCAAACTTTTGTATTACATCATTGAAGAATTTAAAGGTATCCACTTCCTTCATCTTCAAAGCTTGAGAGCTACTATATTGAGGTTGCAGATGGTCAAGAAACTCATCAGCAGTAAACTTGAAAATATCACTTGGCACAAACACTGCCTTCCATACATGTGGCTGTTTTCTTATAGCGTCAAGAAGATTACAGTTAGACAAGCCTTCTTGAAGTTGTTGCAGCTGGGCTACGCTGTTAGAGATTTGATCTTTTATACAAATAGATCTAGTGAAAAAGAACAAATCAAAAGCAATTAATGCATGTGAGCAGAGGCAAATAAAAAGGGGTTATTTTCCTCTAAGTGAGCAGCACACACTAAGCTAGCAACCCATTTATGCAAGAGTGAGAGTAAACAATTTTGCAAAAATTCGTCATTTTAAACTCCTGATGTAGTTATGACTATCATGCTATGATTATGTAGCAGGAGTGTTTGCCAGCAGCCATCCCAGGTGTGTGAGAATGAAGGTTACTTTGATTTTTACACGATGCCAATTGAAAGTATATTGATACATTAATACTAAGATGAAGTACTTTTAAAAGCAATTTTATATAAAAATATTAGCAGAATAAAAAATTACACATACTGCACTATGTCTTTGGATGATTTGATGCTTTCTTTTTGAGGCACACCGGTGTATCCAACATTCTGCAAAACATCTAATATCTCATCTGCCAATATGGTTTCATGAAATACATCATCTGTTATACAGGATGATAACTAAAATACAAAAAAGAGCAATTTCACTTTCTCTAATACAGAACATAAAACTAAACTTTATGCAATAAAAATAAACATAAGAATGAAAAAGATCAATAAGGTTAGGTCATCTTCTAAAATACTTCATACCTTAATAGCTGCTGATTTAAATGCCTCATTTTGACAATTTTCTGCAGATAAATCTTGCTTTGCAATATATTGGAATATACTTTCATTTAAGAAATTTGGAGCTGGACCACCCTGTATGACAGACATAACCATAGCCTCACCAAGTAGTCGGAAGTCATTAGCCATCAGTGCCATGGTGGAATCATTGGGAAATCCACGAGACATTAACTTCCTTTTTCCTGCTTCTAACAATTCTACAAAAGCAACATTAATGAACATAAATAATTTTAAACACCACTGTTTTTACAGTGATTGTGGAGGTTAAATATGAAAAAACATCAAGTTTACCTGTGAAGAACTCTCTTTTTGGTCCTCCATCATCAATGGCACATTCGCCAATAAACACAACCTTTAAGTTGTCATCAGGTTTGATCTTTGTAAGACGTGCTTGTTTAAAGTCGATCCATAGAAACTTTCTTCGAACATTTATTCTGACTCTGTCTTGCTTCAAAATATTATTATTCATAAGTTTTATAGACTCTTTCAACACAGATTTTATCTCCTCTGGACTTTTGTGTGCTTGTTTTTCTGATAATAATGATAGCTCAAAAACATCTTTTACAGAGCTCTCAATATTGCTAAGTACTGTGTCTTTCTTATGAGAAGTGTCATCAAGTAACCAGCTATTACATATGTCAGCATGTTCAGCAATATCTTTCACTGAAAATGGCAAGAAGCATATTGGACACTGTATAGCTGAACTAGTAGCTGCTGATGCCAATCCATCATCTGCTTCCGCATGCAAGTTTATGTCAGGTTTAGAAAAGTCATCAAATGAAGGAGTAGATGCCAATCCATTGTCTATTTGTGCAGGAAAAGTTAAGCCTTGTTTGGATGATTCATCAAATGTAGGATTATTCATTATTGCAGATGTATTGGTAGAATGATTAAAAGAATCCTTTGATAAGTCAATAAAACAAGTTTCTTTATTGTTGTCAAATGATGTATTGATGAAACATGAAGTGCTACTGTTTCCATACCTACAAGCCCCTTCATTCAAAAGAATCGTCAGAGTCAGTGTCTGATGTAAAGTCTTCTGCCTTAGGCAAAGAATCAAAAAGAACATCTTTTCTTGTCGCCATGAACATTGTTATCCTTGAGTAGGATTTTCCTGAAGCCTTTTTGTACTGACTCAAGACAAATGGATCCGAAGTTCCAGGAATATTAACAACTTCAGAACCATCAGGGTAAAGGAGTGCATACTCACAATCTTTGACAAATGACCGCTCAAAAGCACTATACTTTTCAAATGCTGCATTTAAAATTACTGATGATGAAGCACTGGCTGAGATTTCAAGCGCTAAACGGCCACGAGCTGGCTTTGAGTTTCTTTGTCTTTCCATCATATTTCATTAAACCTATTTGTATCACATGTTTCTATCCACACTCTTCTTTGATTTTGATAAAAACGAAGATCTACTCGCACTTTCGCTTTTGTATTCCGTAAATGTCAATACCTTTTCTCGCCCGAATGAGCTTTGTTTAAGCCTTGTGGCGGGGTAGACGTAGTAAGGTGTGCATCACTGTTTAAGGTGCAAATAATATTAAAACGCTTTTGGATGTTGATGTTCTTTACTTATTCAATGATTCAACTTTAACTTAGTTATGGTAATACTTCATGATATATTTGCTAAAGTACATTTATTTTGCAGCAACCGACTTAATTTGCAGCAACAGACTTAACTTGCAGCAACAGACGTAACTTGCAGCAACCGACTTAATTTGCAGCAACAGATTTAATTTGCAGCAACAGACTTAACTTGCAGCAACAGACTTAACTTGCAGCAACCGACTTAATTTGCAGCAACAGACTTAACTTGCAGCAACCGACTTAATTTGCAGCAACAGACTTATGTAAGTTGCATGTCCCTTGTGGGCTACCGTATATTTGTAATAGGAAAGCAATGAAAAAAAAGTGTAACAATAAAACAAACATGCAAAAAGTCGTAGAATATTAAAATAGTCTGTCATTATAATCTTGGCTCGTCTTTGTTTCCATGAAAAGATACAAAATTTCGCTGCGATTGAATCTTTCCTCAATTTTATGTACGAATGTTTCACATCATTAGTTGAAGTTCATCAAAATTGATTCATTGAATGATTTCCATGAGGTTGTAATTTGGTTGTTTAAAAAATAAGGAATCTAACCTTTACCTTCCTTGTCTGTCAACATTCCTTACTGGCTACAATATTCCACAATATTTTAAGCAGTTAAGCCGTATATCCGCTATTGTGACAGTGCTCGTGTGACGAAAATATAATATTTATGTGGATTTAAGGCGTCAATAACAAAGTATTTAAATGTATGGTTCGAATATAATAAAAACAAAAACGAAAAAATAAATGGAAGAACCTAATGCACAGTTTACACAAATTTCCTATGGATGATTCCACACGTATGATAATTTTTGAAGAAGGCAAACACCGATTGTGGTCCTACAACAGTAATAAAGGAGGAAGTTGCCTTAGTTTATCTGTGAAAAAGAATGGTATGAAAATATTTTTATCATTATTTTATCAAATCTGTTATCCCCCTCCCGAAAAAGGTATTTTGTTTACCAGTTAGAGGATATTCGTGTATTGAATAACTGCCATCCTGGCAGTTTCTACAGCTAGCAGTTTGTTTCTCTTTAAAATCTTGACGAAAACTTACTAAGTTGTCGTTTTGGCTTAAGAATTTTAACAAACCACTGAACTTCCTCTTGAACTTACTGAGTGAATCCTTATTCTTGCACTTCAATAGTTCTAAAACTTTATTCTCCTTCAAAGAAATTATGAGTGAAAAGTGCCCCGCTGGACTTTCATTCACGAATGTTAAAAAGATGGCTAAATAAGACTAAACTTTGAATGCGAGGCTGGAGCTCTGATAACCACCATTGGTTCATTTTATCAAATTTGAAAACCGCATGCGTGCTTTTGATAATGTATATGCCAAATAAAAACAACTATAACTCTGACTTTATCAAACGCAACACTTACAAGCACAATAAAACGAACGAAACAAACAACTCAAAACAGCAGCAACGGTAACTTATATCAGAGGTACGTCTGAGACTGTATCTCGCGTAATTAACGACCATACAACATACGTGTCCCACATAAACCAATCACAACGCTACGACAAGTACTTACGAACATCAAGGACGAAGAACAACAACGAACGACAAGGTGCAGTTTAGAAAATAAACTGTTCCGACTGCCTCCTATATCGGGGAAACTGGCAGGAACTTAAACATAAGACTTACTGAACACAAACGAGCTACAAAGAAAGAAGACAAAACTAATCACATTGCGGAACATCACCAACTGACAACACACAACATTAACTGGGACTCGGCAAAATGCATTACCTACAGCACTGACAAACTATAGACGACGGCTTTCATTAGAAAGTTGATATACCCACTTGGAATAACCACCCTGTCTATTTCATATTGAAATTCCCGTTTCATATATGAAATTAAATGTGAAATTTTTATAATGGAATATATGAATATTTACTACCCCCTCCCCTTAACGTTTTGCACTTGATATGTTTCTGCCTGATTGATATCTTTTGCATTGCAGTCTCCATAGGTAAAGTAAAAGCAAATGGAGGATCTGAAGGTATATTTTTTCTTGGTATTGTCACGGCATTTACATTAGCTTCACATAAATCAATCTAGTAGACACTTTTTTCATGTTATTACCAATGTAAATTTGTAGAAACATAAAACATGCACCGTTGATTGATATTTATCATTCAAAGGAATACCTGACTTATTATAAAATAGGCATGGTGTGTAACAAATAGTTATTTTAAGAGCACCAAATTCTCAAGTGCTAAAACAATAGGTCATGTTCAATTGTATAAATCTCAAAAAGGACTAATGAATTTTGAGATTGCCAATTTTAACCTGTTTTTCCTTGCTTTATTTTTGCTATTGACGGTACTCGCGGGTTCAGACGATTTACTTTATTGGAAAGTTTGTGGTAAATTTTCATTGTATTTTGAATCATCAGAGAAGTTCAAATTTCCTAGGAAGAAATGACACCAAAACTTTTTTTAACATGAATAATTGTAGAATTTACAAACTTATTAATGATCTTGTAATAAGAGGTATGCAATGATTTTTCCCAACCAGAAAATGCTGTTAATAAAGCATATACATTTTTGAAGCCTTGGGAAAAAGTAATTAGTAAATTGCAAACAGTATAAAAAACATTTGCACGATAAATTTACATGTGTTTATTTGCTTAAAAAATGCACACGATCATACAAGCCAATTAGTATTATTATACTCACTATGTAAACAATGTCGGTTGTGATTGGTCAATTAATTGCAAATCATTCTCGATATCTGTAATTATGACGTCGTATCTACAAATAACAGTTTGTACAATTAGTGACGCCGGTAAAAGCCGGTTAAGAAAAAGTCAAATAGTAACGAGGTTTGACAAAGTTTCTAAAAACGATATGTTAAAGTGTATGGTGCAGCTTGTATGTGGTTCGAATTTGTTGTGTTAAGCTTCAATGCTTTGTTAATGCTATTTTGGACAGCATTTATGAATGCGAAGAAAGATTCTCATCAGCTTAACTTCAGGTGTTGGAAAATTTCACTTGGGCTGGTTATCATTAACGTGCAATATTTATGTGTGATACATGCAATTTACTATCTTATCATTAAGCTGATACTCTGGATTCGTGCTGTAGCAATTTAATGTACAATCTTTTTTCTTAGCTGAAGCATTGATAAATTTTGCAAAAGCTAAGGATAAGCACGAGGCAGATTTTTACAACCTGCTGTTTGCAAAAAATGAAGAGACGTACTGTTTAGATGAAAAGGATGGCAAAATTTTTGCTGTGAAAAAGGTACAATATTCCATTTTTGCTTTTTACAAATACTTCAAATATTGCAAAATTTTTGGTTAGAAACTCTGCGAAAATAGGAATGAGAATTAAAAATTGCAGTTCTGTGAAGAGAAAGTCCTGTGCATAATTAAGCTGTTTGAAATAAAATGCTACCTGTATATTGTACAACGCAGTGATTATTAATTTGTGCATGGAGTCATGGACAGACTTCATAACCATAATCCGTTATGCGTAAAAAATATAATTATTGAAGCTTAGATTTTGATACTTCAGTTGTAGATTACTCAATACATGTTAGCAGAGCTAAATATAAATCATATTTATATAATATAAATAATACAATTTGTATAACTATACACTTCTCCCGAGTGCTTAAGTTTTTACTTTTGAGCATTGTGTAGGTTACTAACTAGAAGAATACGTCTTATTAAGACGCTCTTTAAACAATTCCGAGAGTGCTTAAGCTATACGAACGCACTTAAAGCATATTATACATACTTAGAATATAATATGATTATAACACTTCCGTAAACGTGTAATTGATATTATACGGTAAACAAGAACTTATAGCATGGTTTGTGTTTTGCATTCAATCTTATATGTGTGGAGGGCTTGTTACAAGAGAGCAACAGTCCGTTCCTCTAAGTTTTGAACAAAATAGTTGGCAAAATTCATGCAAAGGAATGGGTAGCTTGAAGACTTTAATAGAAGTGTATAAAGAAATTTCAAGTCTTACAAAAACCTCTCAAATTTTAAGTCCTCCATATGAATGAAATGAGATTTTTTAAAATACTGAAAGTCCTTCTCAAGACAAATTTCGTCACAGTTATGCAGCTTTGGAAGTTATCTCTTTTTGAATGACCAAAATGTTTAAGTGAAAGAGGAAAATAGACTTCCTGTGGTAATGAAAACACTTTTTGTTCAATGATCTCAATATCGTAAGAAGTGACTTTTACATTTAAATATTTATATTGTAAATAAAATTGTCTTAAAATTTTGGGTATTTTCAGAAGAATAAACGAGATCATTTAGAAATTAAAGCAGCATTGTTCCAGGATGCGACTGGATGAGGCTGAGTTTTGTTCGAGTTTCTACGTCAAATTGAAATATTTTAGAAAGCTGACATTGAACAAAAAATTATGGAATGCTTTCGTTGTTGGTTTGCAAAAATTTTGTTTATTATATGTTTTATATTAAGTCCACTAGAAGCATTTACTCGTACTGACAGCTTGGACAGACTTTGATGGAAAACACAAATTATGACTCTAATCATTATATCTTGTAGTTTCCAATACAAAGGTATTTACTACGTTTGGTTGATTTGCTCCTGATTAAAGTGGAATCGTTAAATTTCAACTAGTACATGCAGTTAACTATAAATATTTATTTGTTTCAAATCACTTTCAAAGAGGCAGTAGTAACAACAGAATATTTCAATATACACGATCACCAACCTAACTTCCCCCTAATGGCCACAATCAGAAACAAAATAAAGTTAATTGAGAAAATTCCTTGGACTTTCAAAGGTGTAGTAAAAGGAAGGAAAATTATAGCTATGACTAAAAAATTTGATAAAATGGTAAAAAGAATTGACACTGCTTTTAATTTTTAGAGCTCAAGCTCGTTTTATCTATCTCCGAAAGAATTAAGGACGCCAAATGATGGTTTTTTGTGCAAAAAGTATAAAGATCCAAAGAAGGTGGACCTGATATGCTTTTATACAGTAATGGCAAGCGGTAAGTTATCATTAACCTTGGAATCAAAGGAACTAGTCCTGCAGATGATTTGGTCCTTTGCCGATCCTGGTTTATGTTCCGCGTTGTAAAAGTTTTGAAATAATAAATCAATCAATTCATCATTACAATGGAACAGTATAAATTTTAAGATCTGAATTTGTATTAAGGTATCAAGTTTTATAGGGTGTGATTTACATGACTTCAGCAGCATTTGTTCGTCAATTTAAATATATGAGTACAAAAAATGTTTCCAAATTCTGTCCTGAGTTACGCTGTTAATATGTTCCTTGATTCTAGCAGTAGTTTTGTTGCTATAAGCTTATCATAATGTAATAAGCATTGATGCAAATTTAAGATGGAAATAACAAATGAAAGAAATAATAGTCATTGAAAGAGAAGCAGAGATATTGTAAGATGCTTGCGTTTTTTTATGAGAAAAGTGACAAAATTTCTAACTATACGGTCATCAAAATTAACTTCAGAATTGTAGTACAGTTTAAAACAAGAACAACTTAGCCTTTGCTAAAATTGATCAGTTGATTTAAAAATAAGCACAAAGTGACAAAACAATAAGAAGCCCTTTATAAATAAATGCCAAATTGAGACGAAGCCCCTAACGACTACTTTGAAGCACAGGTGACAATGTCATATGGGTAAACATGATAGTTAAACTGATAAAAATGGACATAACTGATGTTATAAATTAAAGTATCAAGTTTAAACAATTCATGTTGATTTTAAATTTTGTTTGACCGATAGTCATCCTCAGCACAAATAGTAAACTTTAAATAAATACCGTTGACATTACATACCACTGTAATACAAAAATCACTTCTCTAAAATGATATAAATAATGAATTGCATCGTTCATATGAATCATAAAACTTGAGTACCGAGGACCATTGTAATCAGTGTTGTGGCACTCTTAGTTCTTGCCCAACCACAGAATAGATGCAGCCTCTATTCTGTGACCTAACTTTCTAAACTTTTAATCCATAAATGTACCAGGTTTATTAACCATAAAAATAATGTGCTGATGTCTACGACCATACCTGGCGGAAGCACCTAATGAATCTGACGTTCGGTGTCTGCTTAAAGCGGTATACATTGTGAAAACTTTGCCTCTCTTTTTTTTTCATAGATTAATAGCGTATGTAAAAATCTCTTCTGTCGAAATTTTAGCGCAATGTATTCATGCTGCTCCGAGTTATGAAAGATAAACTTTAAACTTGCAAGATTTTATTAAAATGCTTTGAATTTTCAAGAAGGAAGGTGTGACAATCATAGTCTTAACTCGCGGCTGTTTACAATATAACACTATATACAAATAGAGATTCAAAAGGTTGTATAACTCATTTTTTAACATGCCTTCAACACACGCTGTGCACTGGTGGTAATAAGTCTGATAGAAGTACAAGAATTTCATTACAAAAGCCCAAACGACGAGTCTTGAGAAGATTTTGTTAAATTTGTTCAGACGAAGCGCGCAAACTTTAACTGAGTTCGCGCGAAATTCAATTTATGATTTGTTCGAACCACTTCTCGATGATGGTTTTGCGTATTCCATTCCATTGGTAGCGGATTAGACCTGGTGCCGTCCACCTTCCATTTGGAAGAAATCACAAACACCAACAACGTCAAGAGAGCGGCATCAGGTTAGCACAATTTGCAATTATTATATACCTACATTTACGCAGATGAGTATCCAACAATATCCAGCAAAATTTCAAGGCAACCTACATACTTTATACTTATAAGGTTTTAAAGGAAATACAAAATGAAGTGTCTGTATATTGCGATGACCATTGGTCTTTAAACCTAACGAAGCTGCTTGAAGAACAAAATCCGTTCAGGCAAACTTTGTTAAAGCCAGGGTGATCCAAAATGCATTTCCTTTCATCGATTTCTGAACTGATACATTTTACCACGGCATTGCTCTCTATTTCCAAGCAGCAACAGCACTCTTGAGGGTTGACAACAAGATCCAACGAACAATGGCTTTAATTCACACCTTTTTATTGTTTGCCATTGCATGTTTCATAAAGTTATCATAGCTAACGGCAGACGATCCAGATCAAAGTAACACACTAAGAATGACATCTTACCATGAAGTAACATCAGACACAGCATCAAACGATCTTGCATGTCTTCAACCCGCCGTTCTTCTGCAACTGTAGCTTCGTACTCAGCTAGGCGAAGCAAGCGGTTCAATATCGACAAATGGCAAAATTTCCGAATTAGATTCGTTGAATTGCTGTCAGAAATTCCGATAAAGAAATCGATGCGTTTGTTCTGATCTGAAGACTCAGAGAGCGAGCTAGATCTCAATGAATTTGACATTTTGCTCTATTTATGCACTTAGTATACTCTTCAAAATGCGCTTTGCCGTGCAGACTATGACGTCACAGACCTTCGCTGATTGCAATATTCAAATGGCCGATTTTAATGGCGGACATGAAAATTAGACATTTCAAATGTGCACAACCCTCGTTGTATTATTATTTTGCTTACATTTTACGAAAGTACAATTTAACATGTGTTTACACTATTGAATGCTAAAATCGATTATTTTTAATGTTAAGTTTTCGTCATAGAACCAGTTTATTTCTGTCAGTTAGTACTGGATGGGTGACCGCCGGAATACTTTGTGTTGTAGACTTTAAAATATCGTTTTGATTTTCAACGTGACGAACTGTTCAATAGGCCATTAATTCTACTTTTTCTTTATTATTTACAATTATAAGGCGCTGAAGCTAGAAAAATGCTATATTGCATAAATTCTTGCCTGAATGCAAATGTTCATGCTAAGTGCAAATATGGATAAGAGACTGGCGGGATCCAGATTACGTCTACTACGTCGCATCACATAACTAAAAATCCAGAAATTTAATAATTGTTTTTCAATGATCATTACAAATTACAGTTTGTTAAGTTAAAATAGTTTATAGAATCAACACACAAAATATTCATCTGTAATGTCATACGTAACGTCGATTAACCTACCAGAACTGTCCCCGCCAGGTTCGTACACGCTTGCAAGTTTAAGAAAGCTTCTGCGAAGAGTTAGGGTAAGGGTTAAGTTAAGGGGCAGGTTAGGGTTAGGCTTAGGGGGGCTAGGGGTTCCAGGTTAGGTTAGGAGGCTAGGAAGCCAGGCCCGGCGTCTGTCGCTGGGATTGGTTACCTAACGTACGTTCCAACTTTCCATATAGTTGTTCATATCCCACAACTTTGGCTAACGTGGTTAGCCTTACTTTCGCTACACTT